AAAAAGGTAAAAAGTATTTTTACCTTTTTTATTTCACATGAGAATCCATGAACTCAGTTTCCATTACAATATCAGAAATAACAAGAAAGATATTTTTCGATTACTGATTTGATTTGACAAATCAATAAACAGTATTCATAATAAAAGAAAATTAACGAAATGAAGTAGTCTCGAGCAGACTCATCCCCACTGGCAGCACCCACTCACGAGTTTAACGCATGAGCCAGCCACCGCTTCGCTAAACCATATTTTAGGGAACGTAACGGCCCGACGCACACGACACCACCGCAGAGATTTTTAAGAGAGTGTGCCTACTCTAGGTACTTATGCAGTGAATTAAGGAAGCTAGTTCTAATATCTATCAATGGCTGCAGGACATACTCGTAATACATATGTACAATGTTAATCACGTTAGATGTAAATATCTAACACAATGCCATTTTGTCATTTAGATATTATTTAACGATTCTTTACTTTGTAAACAATTTTTAATACGACTTTTAAAATGATTCAATGGCAAACCTAATACATCACTGGGGGTCTTGTTAAAGTACTGTATACTTTGACCCATGACTGAACCAAATATCTTCTGTAACGTGTAATAAGTTATTACTAGCTTGTTTTTATATGTTTTTTTTTTGTTTTATTTGATATTTATTTGAGAAATGTTCGTGAGCCTAATCGATAGATAACTCTTATTGCTCTTTTTTGTAAAACAAACATAGCCTTAATATCGGCTGCTGTTCCCCAGAATGATATTGAGTACATATTTGTTATTTTCCCAATATCATGTCCTATGGTATTATATTGTGGGCAAAATAATACCATAAGACATGATACTGTGAAAATAACTAAAGTACACTAACCGAACAATTTCTATATCGGTGATTTGTCTTATTTTTCGTATAGTATATTCTGCCGAGCTGAGTTTACCAGCTAATATAGAAATGTGCGAGTTCCATTGCAGTTTTGACTCTAGTGTTATGTCCAAAAAATTTTGTTCAATTTACTAACTATAAATGTTCGTTGTTGAGTTTAATTTCATTTGGTTCTACTTTTACTTTGGGTAAAGTGAAATTTATACATTTGATTTTTTTAGCATTCAATTGAAGGTTATTAACTGAACCGAGACAACACCAGTTAAAGAGCATTGTTTGGATCATCAAAATTTTACTTATTTCTGTCAATGTTAAATATCAACGAAGTTTGTGTTATGGAACTGACATACGACAGCATCAGTTTTTGAGCAAGCAGTTTAAACGACAGTGTCTAATGCTCAACGCAGTCCAATGCTTTGGGCAAATCGCAAAACGCTCTAGGAGTGTATCCCTCCCATGCTTTAGAAGCGCTACTCCCCCATTAGTTGTCGAGCGACCCTTGGTAAAACTATATCGCTTAGTACACAATAGTTCGTTGTAATTAAAGTAGGATATTAGTTATTACAGGATTAGTCTTTCAATTCTAGCTTAGTATCGGTAAAATTCAAATTGGTCTATGATTACTAGGATCTTGTTTATTACCACACCCTTATCAATACATTGGTTGAAAATATCAGCGAGATAGGGAGCAATTATGTTAATTATTTTACTAATATACCCTATTAGTCATGTGTGTGTTTTTTTATTGCTTTAATAACATCTTATGAATCAATTTATTTGAACTTAAATAAGATATGACCAAAATAAAAACAATTAAAAAATTCCCAAAATAAAAACAAATAATTTTTATTGATCTAAAGTAGGTAGCTTGTCTAAAACTATAATAATTTATTAATTCATAACAAAGGTTCAGAATTTTATTGATAAAACAATGTCAATAAGGGATTATACGCCGCTCGTCTTAATTATGACATTTCAAAATAAGACACATTCTGGTTTGTTAAGTATAGGTTGCTCGCTAATTCTGAAGTTAAATGTCAAACACGGACTTCATTGCGCGCAAGGGAAAACTATATACAAATGGTCATCACTATAATTTATATTGTATTTAGTTTTTCTCTATTCACTGCTTTATAAAATGACTTAAAATATTGGTAAACATTTACAAGTGAAAGAAAATACCGGTTTTTGTACATCAAACGTTTATACTTTTATTTAAGCAATGTGAAATTGTACAATAAGGCATTTTGCATAAGCTCGTTTTATGGTTACTATGACAACTATCAATATGGGATGCCAAAGAGTCCAACAAACGAGGATCTGTAGTTCCTAGTTGACGTATTTTTCCATAAGATTTTCGACATGGCTACCACGCCCACTTGGCTTTTCTATCTTGCTACATTTCTGTGGCCCAGTAGTTCGGAGTCCGTTCATTGGTAACAAACAACCAATAAAATCTTTCCTATTTATAATACTATTATAGACGAGATTTTGTTTGATGCAAATCTAGCCCATCATTATGCTTCATTTAAAATATGAAAGAGTAAGGTTAGTAGTCATAATTTTTAACAATAAAAATTATCATGTTAATTCTTTGACTTTAAATAGGTCGAAGTTTTCAGGTGTCTATAATTATCTTGTTGTTGAATATCTTATCATACTTTCTTTAATATAATGATTCAACTTCAATAATTCTTTCAAGCAAAATTATAATAATACGTCTGCGTCATCAATATTTTATTCGATAATATATATTTCTAGAGGCTTAATACTTAAACAAAGATAATTACTGATAAAGAACAAATAAATCAAAACTCTTTTATGATTTTATAAAAATCGAAGTTTTAAAATATCTTAAACGTCAATATCTTTAAAATGTAAATTCAAACATTAAATAAACTGTGAAAAATAATACTTGTCACAAAACCGTTTAATAATTCAAATATTGCAAATTAAATCGGACGGTTATCATTTTATAACCTACAGAAAACCTCCGCTCGATTTCAATAGCAATTTCTTGAATAATTAAACCATTTTTAACATATATGTGGGAAATGGAACGAAAGACGATGGTTAAAAGAAAGGCAAGGTGTGTGTGAATGAAAGAAAATATACAAAAATAAAGTTGGCGATTTTTCAGAAAGAAAGAGTGTGTAGTAGTTCATGTGCCAGTATAAAAAAATTGTAAAAATAAGAAAAATAAAGGTTTTGATCCTGGAAAACGTCATATTATTCGCCCATCTCTTCGCCGACGCCCACATATATATTATTTCTCACTTGTCAGAAGACTGAAGTAGATTCCATTTTATGTGAATAAATATATATTTTATACTTTTTAAATATATATTTTATTTGTTTATGTATCACTAAAATATTAAATATTTATTTTAGAAAAATATTCTAACATAAAGGAAGTCTTAGGAAAGGTGATTTTGTTTATTTTTCCGTGAAAAACTGAATAGTGCAATTTTAATTACAAGCTTTTATTTAACTTGTTAATATGTTAGTGTGCAAATCTTGGAACTCAATTTTGACCCTCTTTCCAATGCAAGTCAGATGACTATGCAATATCTTAGTATCAGTAAGCTGATATGATGGTGAAGTCGGAAGATGTACATAGGAACTTAGTGATGAAATGACCCAAATACATCTTGTTTGAGCTCGTTAAATCCATCTTTATGTTTACTTGGTAGTGGATGCTTTCCAGACCAAAATCTGGTGATGATGAAGCTGGAAAGGGTTCATAGGAAGTTAGCAATGATATAACGCGACTGCATCGTGTTTGGACTCTTTAGATCCGTTTTTATGAGAACAACAATATATTGAGACAAAAATAGAAAGTAAAAAATAAAAATATAATTTAAAAAAACTTAGAAATAGGTACTTTAAATGTTTAGAATATATTTATTTACGTCTTAATGCGCACAATTATGATAATTATTAAACCCGCTATAATATAAGTGGCATACAATCATAATTTCTGTAGTCATTATAAATGTAATATAATATATATACACGGTATCTTTGCTACCACTTTTGTTACCGATCAGAAATGAACTACTGGTGTTATATACAGTTCTCTCATACGGACCCGCCTATAGAAGGAGAACTAGTCAAAACGCAAGGATCATACTGACTAAAATCCATAGATGTCCCTCTATGGCTATCGATGTCCCACGGTAACAGCCGAAGCCTTTTACCGCGTAACTCACCACCATTATTGGTATGTTTGCTATAATTTACTTGCTATAAATTGTCATAAATTTACTGATACATCTATGGTTGCTGCACTCTTTACTAATTATATGGAAATTATTGCAGAAGACTGCGACTACTGAACACAAATTTTCTATCTAATAAAGAAATTCTATCAGCCATACACATAAGATATGCAGCATATCCAGCGAGTCACCAAAACTTGCAGCTTAAGTTCACTTGCTTGCAAGAGCTTTTAGTAGTTGGAAAGCGCTTTCACATCTCAGAAAAAGGAAAATACTTATTTCTCCAAATAGAAATAATACCCACTGACCATGAGATAATGGAGCTAATTGTGTAATTTTATCCCCTTTGGTCACATTTATTACTTTACCTTTGAAAAAGATTGTGATAAATTTTGTAATTAAACAATAGGGATGATGACTGGGTAAAAAAAATGCAATTCTATTTAGTCCGTCAGCCAGATAATAGAAAAATATTAGATACGTATTTTTTTTACTTCAATTTAACAAGAAATAGCTTAGATAACAGGCATTAAAGTTGAGGAGTGGGGGCTCGCTACGTCACAGTTGAGTAGAAAACGTACTCTAACGTGACGTCATACGAAATTTCAACTCAATGTAACGCCGTAATTTTATGATTACGAAAAAAATTAAAAAATACTTGTTTAATACTCTACCTGACGGACAAACAAACAAAAATGAGTCATCATCCCTATTAACATATTAGGTCGTAATGCAATTGCATATTTAAATATTTCCTCATAGGATAAGTAGTTAAAAAACATCTGAAACCGATGTACATAGCATTAGTTAATTCATGTACCGATAAAAAAAACTTTGATAAGATTTCACATATATATGATAAATGACTCGATAAATTAACACTTTATTAGTTAGTGAGCTAATGGACTGTGGCTGGTGTATTAAAAATTATGATCTGACAATGTTCAAAATGTTTTTGTTAGTGTTAAGTCTCTTAGGACTATGTCGAATCAGTGTAGGACAGCTTATACAGTTTGGACAATGCAACGAAAATATAGATTTGGATGCAAACTTTAACTATGAAAATGTAAGCAAGTTATTTTTAACATTTTTAATTTTAATTTTATTTGTTGATATTTACAATGTTCTCTAATAGCTGTGGGACAAAACAAAGTGGTTAGGAATAACCAATTGAAACGTGTAGATAAAATCTGTTACCTCAAAAATAAGAGCCTACAGTCCGAAACAAATTAGTGAAAAACTGCAAATACAAAAACAAAATAACGCCTTGTTTTCGTAGTAAGCCCTTAAGTCCAACTAATAGGCCAAATGACCCAGTATTGACCATTTTAATATTATAAGCTAGTTTTGCCCACTTTGAGAGTTACGACAAAGTGATCTTTGATACATCAAATCTGTTATGTAATAAGTTTTGGCATTATGCAACATTTTGAAGACTGTTCATAGTAAATTAAAATATGTGTTCATACGTTGGTTAGAACGCTTTGAAGTTCCAAACTGCCAAAAAGGGGACAGTATCCAAAACCGGGTCTTCTGCCCTAGAAATTTTTGCTTTAAACTCTTTGCAAAACATTATTTTTCACACATTATCATAATATTTAAAAGCTTGCTTACTTTAACAAACTGAAACTTAAACACAATAAAATAGCAGTTAATCTTAATTCGCTATAACTTTATCCATACCAGTAAAAACATTTTATTGAATTTATCAATGAATATTATATTCTATTATTTTTATACGAGTATTTTACTGACTGGGACAATTTCAAAATTATAACTGATAGAACTAAAGTTAATAAATATTTATATAATATTATTGTTTCAATTATTAATCAATGGTTTTGGTTGATGTAGTTTTTCGAACTTATATTAAGTTTGACTACATTAAAAAAAATAGACAAAATAAACTGTGAAGTTATTCAAAATATTTCAAAAAATAATAATCATTATATAATGATTTAATTTAATTAAATAATGTTGTTTATTATTTTATTAATAAAAAAATTATAACTCTATACTTATTAGGATTAGGTTAGGCCCTATCCAGATGTGCTAAATGCTATCCAGAGATTTGTAAAATGTAATTATTTTCAACGATTACATTTGTAAAGTTAAATCGTAATTTTTGATAAATTTAGTGACCATCTCTGCTGCAATCTAACCAGATGTACTGATGTACACATATTTATCTGAAAAGAAAATAAAATTAAATCTAATATGATAGAGAAGAATGACACGATGTAGACACTGTAGGCGATTTTAGGTGGCTGTTCTATGAAATGGCCGGCCGGATCATGAAATAATCAATTCTACAATTACTCGACATATAGACGATAGACATTACAATGATTGAAATAATAATTTTGGAGTAGTTAATGAAATATTAAAAAAAAAAACACGATTGCCAAAATAGACGACCAATGTTATTTAACTCGAAAATTTCGAATGATTCCATCGAAAACGTCATACGTGTTTTTTAACGTTTATTAAATGAAAATGGTACGGAACCAATCGTGAGCGAGTACGACTCTCGCTTGGCCATTTTTTTAGTTAGATTTTGGTAAACGAGTTTTTATATATTTTCATTTTATTACTTTTGATGAACAGTTATTAATGTACACAAATTACATGTTTTTGGAAAGTACTCGTCGTATATTATTAGTGAGCATATCAGTCTATCCTATCGAAATATCAATTCAATAATGAAAATTAACACAGGGGAAAAGATAAGGACTTAATGAGAATTGGTCACTATCGAAAGAGATAAAGTTGATCGGACCGTACGATTACACTTATCGACATCCTTAGACTAGTCGCTGTCGTCACTGAAAAACGAATCAGATACGGAAATTTAATTCGAAAAAATCTGGACGTAAAGATAAAAGATTTTCCTTGAGATAATACAAAATTCCGATTGGAATTAAGTACTTTACATTTGATATATGTATTTTATTCTCCAAATAGTTAATCTGAAATAGTGCGTTTTGTATTTAAATACTTTTCATAAACTATTTAGTACTTCTCATCATAAAACCATTGCTTTACAAGATTCGAGTAGCTTTAGTTCAGTTTTTTTAATTAATTTTACATGATGTATTGATATATATTTTTTAGAAAAATCTGATCTCAGGCTCCCCTGAGACTGATTATTTTTCTACATACTCTTCTTCTTTCTACTTATGAGAAAAATATCTAGTTTTATTTTTCAAAACAATTCACCATTTTAAAGTAATTTTATTTAAAAAAAAACAATTTTATTTTGAAATTTTTTTAATATATTGTTTTAATTTTTCACTTAGAAAAACCCTTTTTCTAACGAAAAATTGTGACTCGATATTATCGAAATAAAAATGTTTCTGTTTCTTGTTTCTTTTATTTTTAATTCGATTTTGTGTTTGTTTGTTTATTTTTAGAACAATTTTTTTCTTTTATTTTAGGTCGATTTTGACAGTCATCGTTTTAAATTTTTTATTTATTAGTGTACTGCTAAATGTAACTTATATACGTTTTTGAACGTTAAATTGCGTCATACATCTGCCATATTGGTACCTCGGCTATCTCCGGGTCTATCAGTTCCCTCATGCGGACAAGCAATTTCTCGGTCCGTTCCTCGATGTCGTCACCCGCCACTTCTATGAGGCGGGCGCCCGTTACCGCAGCTTTATATTAATAATTGTTTTTTCTAACACCCATATAGAAAAATACACAAATAAGATATAAAATTATTATCTTAATCGTATTCACTTACAATTAAGCGATAATTTAATCAAATTTGACGTGTCATTAAAGCACGGAAAATCCAAAAACATTAACAAAGTATTTACTATGAGCACGCCAAAACAATTTAAGTTCTCCAGTTTCGCTCGCAGTGGCTGCATGTATGGCCAACTTCGTGGACAACTGGCAGCAGCCGGCGCCTACCCACAGACACAAAGTCGTACTAAATAGGCTTTTCTACAAGATGTAGTAGTGAATGTATGAAGATTCCCCGTGTACGAATGGTGCCAACCTTCCCCTACCTGAAAACCGAATATAAATCAGTGCAGCCGGTTAATCTACCTAAAACCTTCTTCTAAGTCTGACAAATACTATGTTGAAAACACCATCAAAATCGGTTCAGTGAACGCGAGATATTAAAACTGAGAACCTCCTTATTTTGAAGTCAGTTAAAAGACCTCACTCGGGAGCCGGGACTATGTAACGTTTCTAATGATACCCTAAACTAATATAAATCGCACGTTGAGAATGACGAGGTCACTAACCAAAAACGACGTATTTTTTACTTTTGGCAACATTTTTCTTTGTTAAGTATAAACTTTAAAATGCAAACTTGCATAGAAACTGCTAGGTGGCGTAGTGACGATACGTTGTTTAAAGGAGCTGCTTACAGTTTCTTGAACTTTAAACGCTCATTACTCAAAATCGCATTTTTTGCATTGTGTCACTATCGTTCTCAACGTACGAAATGTTGAGCCTTTTAAAAGTGATGTAATATTTTATTGTTCATAATAAAATAATTTTGTTAAGTTCTCTTGAACTCTTGATTTATTTACGTTATTTTAATAGACTAATATCTAATATAGTAATGTAGCCTTGCTTCTGTACAGGGAGACAGTGCCTGTTTAGCCTCATTTTCCATTTTAGCCTCACTTCTGCCGAATTTGTAACCCAACTCTTTTAAGATCCTTGGTTTGTTGATATACTTCAATCTCAAATAGCCTCTCGAAAAGAAAGCTGGAGGTTTCAAATTTAGTGAACTTGGTATCTAATCATAATTACCATTTTTCGACACAAATCTCCAGGGAACAATGACTTCAAAAATTTGGATATAGATCGAGCTATGTATGGTTGAGTTCTCGTAAGCATACGGTCTGAATCTAGTTTGGATATTCCTTGTCAGATACCAGATACCAAGACCCGAAACACGCTGAAGATAAAACAAAGGTCATATAAGGTAGACCAACAGCTCTGAACCGCCGTCCCTTGCAGTTGGAGAGCCCCGGTCTAGTTGTCTCTCGTCCAGGTCGATAATTCAGGTCAGATCCCTTCGGTTAAAAAAAAGGAGTTCTCGTAAGGCAATACAATGATTTTTACTTAATCTACGTCTATTAGTATCTTTTCTGACTCTAACTTTATTTGCTTTGTTTTTGATATACCCCTCTCAGTATTCACCGAAGTTTGACGCACCCTAGCTGTTGATTTTTTTTTTTATGATAAAACTATAAATTCCAAAATTCAGGAAAGACTTTTAAATTGATTATATCAATACCTGTATATTCTCTATTAAATTCAACTTAGAATGACAACTCATCTATAAATTGTAGCACAATATTACGAAATTTTTCTGACAACGTTTTTTTTCCATTATTGTAAAATAATTTTATTCTTCTTTCTACAAACATATTACTTTGGTGTCAGTTTTTGTCTTCGCGATCCGCCCAAGCGAGGATGGAGTACAGGGTTGTTTGTTAAAAAATAGTCTTTTCAAAATAATATTTATACCAACTTAAGTAATGAAGCTCAATAGCGCAGTGGTTAGCGCGCTCGGTCTTCGATACGTTTGTTAAGCAACTTTCGCATAGGATGGGTGACCAAAAACTTATTATCTCGTGCTCCTCAATGCTTCAGAAGGTTGGTGACGGCTGCACTTGCAGTCGTTAATACCCAATCCACACTGGCCCGCGTGGTGGGTCATAGCCCATCCTCTCTTTTCGATTTTATCCATAGGTCAAAGTCAAAGTCAAAGTAAAAATAATCTTTATTCAAATAGACTTCTTAAAAGTACTTTTGAATCGTCCAACATTTTTTTCCCTACCACTCATTCAGGACGTCTTTTGGTTGATAAGAAGAACGAGCAAGAAACTTACCAGCTCTAATAAGAGTAATTACATTTACAAAAACCATGTCATTACCATATCAATACAATATAAACAGAGAGAGAGAGAGAAAAAAACTATGGTCTTATAATGATAAATAATTGTTTAATAATAATGGAAACAAGATAATGAGTTTAGAGTACCTATCCAGTTGTTGGATCATCTCAAGTCCAAGCGTTCTTATCTGTTATATAATCGGATACCTTATAATAAGCTTTTTTAATAAGTATTATTTTAATAGTAGATTTAAACTGCATGATATCTAATTGTTGTATTTTGCTTGGGACGTTATTGTAGAAGCGCACACAAAGACCCTTGAATAAGTTATTAACTTTTTGCAGTCTAGTGACAGGCACCGTTAATTTATTTTTATTTCTTGTATTAAAATTGTGTACATCACTTATAGAAAACAAACTAATAATTTTACGAACGTACATTAAGTTCTCGTATATGTATTGAGAAGCAACAGTCATAATGTCTAATTCCTATTTCTTATAGGGAAGCCTTGAGCCCCAGAAGTGGGGACATTAATGGGCTAGTGATGAATATGAAGTCAATTTTTGGTGACGACTAAAAAAAATTAAACTTACTAGTAATTATTCGTTCACAGATCTTAGGAAATTGGCATGAGCTCCGAACGACTGAAATGCTGAGTGGAGAATGTTCGCATTACCAGTTCAATGAAGATAACACTGTAGTCCGGAACAGCGTGAACGAAAACTTCGAGGACACGCTAACCGGTATTGTGGAGGTAGAAAATAACACCGCAAAGATGACCGTCAACTGGAGCTCTTCTTCTGGCTGTAAGTGTTTACTTTCAATGTCTGTAAGTTATTTGGGAAGTTTTGTTACCTTACATTTAAAAATCTATACGAATATTAAAATAAAGAGGTAGAATCTCTTATTTTGTCTGTTTGTAGGGGGTAATCTTCGGAAACACAAATGCGATCTTGATTCTTTCACTTACAGAAAACTTCATCATACGCGGGTGACATAAGCGGAAAATTCACTTGACGGGCCTACCGCAGACATGTCTGCCTGCATCGCATTTATTACTTAGACCTATGTATATTAACGAAGTCTGACAGGCATATCTGCATGCTTGCCCAAGGGCATGCCCATTTAGTGAATTCCTCGCTTAAGGCTATGATTTAACGTCGAAAACAACTAGTAACATTTTTGAAAAGGCGTTGTATAGCTATCTTTTGAAATAAGCTAATTCGTCGAATAGTTAGTTGTTATTGTAGGTTATATATTTAAGATTATGACACAGTATGAACAGTTTATGTATGGATAATCTCCGTTTACGATCCCGCCCCGGAATAGAGCTAGTCAAAGAGCAGGGGTATACCCACTAAAACCCAGCGATGTCCCTCACATGGAAGGCGATGCACGGGATCGGTCCGGAGGCCATACACCACGCAGTTTGCCCCCATTTCGGTCCGCTCTGAAAAAGGCAGGTCCCTCTGCGGGTTGGGGTATGTCTCAGATACCCCGTCTCAACGAGCACCTCATATGATATTTTAATTTATTGATATTTATTCTGTTGGTTTTGTTGCAGCTCAAGATTTCTGGGTGCTTCTCAATAACAACGCTATACAAAGCCTAGTCACCTACAAATGTGTTAACATATCCCCATCACAGAGAAGCGGTGAGTATTTTACATTGCTTCTCTAATATAAATAATATAAATTCATATTAGAGAACAAAAACCACCAAATGGAAGGTTTCCTTCCATACACATTACACATATTATATTTTGAAACGCAGACTTAATTGTTTTTCTATATAATCTATTCTATTGGTAAAGAACAATTTTTGTACTTCTAAGACCTGTAGCCGAATTTGTAATCAACTACAAAAGTAACACTATAAATTTAATTTTGTGATAAGGAGCTTAAAAAATTAAATAACTTAGCGAGAAAACTTTTGTATTGCATACAATAATAAAATTGACATCTTTTTCAGTGTCCTTGTGGATTATGAGTAGAAGTGAGACAATAAGCACTATAGGTTGGTCTTTCATCAATACTACTCTTATAAATAATTTGGATATTAATATCGATGATCTTCGCGAAGTGTCTCGTAGTGCTACCGCATGCTACGTTTTGCCGACCATAGAACCAGGGAAACCAATAATTTTGCCTGGACAATGCAACGAGGACATCAGTGTAGTACAAGAATTCAATGTAGCTGCTGTAAGTGTCATATAATTAACATTGTTTGCTTTTATTTTACACATTAGTAAGCGTTATAGCTGCATATCATCAACATCATAAACCGTAAGACGGCCACTGCTGAGCAACGGCCTCCCATAAATCTCCACATATATTTATAAAGTATTTTTTATGTTTCATGATTTTAGTTTACTGGTCTATGGCATGAAGTCGCTAGCTACTACTCGGAAAATTCGGAAAACCGTTGTACAAGAGCTCAGTACACTGCCAATGGAGACGTTGTTGAGGTTATTAATAGTCAGGTCATTAACGAAAGCCTCGCTATCATAGAAGGTACAGCAACGGTAGCCAGCACAGATGGCAGTGCGAGACTATCCGTATCACTCTTCGTTAATGGCGGTAAGCATGCTTCTCAATTTTGAAATAATTATTTCCAGAAAAAAAGGTATTTACACCCAAAAAAGAATAATGTCGAAAATTTTACTATTACACTATAATAGAAACAAATCAATTTTAATTTTTCATGAAATTCTGCCCATTCTGCGCTAGGTTACATTTTCATAAACATCAAAATCTCTAAAGAATCCCTCTTATATTATATATTTTCAATTTTTTATTGCACACCGTACAAATACAAACTGGATCAAAACTAAACATATTTTATTGAAAAAGTACGATACTTAGCCATTATTACCACATATTTTTTATAGAATATATTTTAAGCGAAATTCACTGCAACTCTTTATACCCAAAAATATTTTTTTAATGATGTCCCTAATCAATATCAAATATTTTTTTTTCAGAAACTGTTCAGCAAAATCTGCTGGTTCTCGCGACTGACTACTCAAGCTATGCTGTTTCATACACATGCATAAATTTACCGGATGACACAATGCGAGGTTAGTTATCGTTTTAATATCATCATTCTTAGTTTGAAACTCCATTGAATCATCATCATCACCAACCTATTAATGTCCTCACTTCCGGGGCTCTGGCCTTCCTATGGATGGAATCGAATAGGGGGAATGTGCCATGACCCACCACGGGGGCCCCGTTTGGATTCGACTGCAGATGCAGCTAGGATCAACGGCTTAACGAGCCTTCCGAAAGTGAGGAGCCATCAAGCTCTTCACTTTGTCCAATCTATTCAATAAATTTATGATTTTCAAAGAAAACTATACGAACACAGTGGCGTAGCGTAGACAATTTTGTTGCCCCTCTTAATTAGGTATTTTATATAATGAAACTATAGATATATACATTAATTATAAAGAATTTTTCGATAAGAACTGTCATCATTATTTTCCATTATACAGGTTTGGATTTTGACTGAACGGTTGGTCGAGTGGTTTAGTTGTCGCTATGCAACTTCCCACGGATCCAGTGTTGTGGTTCGATCCCCATAAAGGACAATTTTTCTTGTGATATACAAATAATTGTTCTTAGTCTGGGTGTACTTTGTCCCAGGACTCGTATAATAAAAGCGGGCTTGTCTTTTAAAAACAGAAAAAGATTTGAAATGAAAATAAATATGAATTAAACAACTGAAGATCCATGAAAAAAACTTTCTTTGAATTGTCAAAGCATCACGTACTTTCTCAAAGGGACATAATAAATAATATTAACCTGAATATATATGTAATATAAGTCATTCTTGATTATAAGTCATAAACAATCCAAGCACAAAATAAAATACGTAGAATCCCCTTGAGTCAGTATAAATGGTGTTGCCATTCGCTATAAATCATGTAAAGAAAAGAGTATTCTCCAAATTTGTCACAGAATAAGTAATGAAAAATTTCGTGCTCTTTTCATTCAGTCCAAATTTATAGTGGTGTTAAAAATATAAACTGGCTCCAATATTAAAAAAAAAAAATTGTTTACTGTGTAATTTTGCCGCCCCCTAAAAAGTGCCCCCCGGCTCCACTACGCTACGCCACTGTACTAACATCAAAACTATTTATACTAAATGCTTATTTCAGTATTTAGCTGGATCCTTAGCAGAAACCGCCTGCTATCTGAGTCTGCACAAGCAGCGGTGAACCAGGTCATAGCCTCGGAGATTACCCTCAATAACAAATACTTCACACAGTCGGACCAATCAAACGAAGGCTGCTTCTTTTTCCCCGACGTTGTTGCTGGACAGCCAGTTGTATTCCGTGGAGGGTGTAATGCAAGCATTGCAGTTGTTCAGGACTTTGACCCTGTAGCAGTAAGTGTGATCTCCATTATTAAAACTCAACTTTCTGGAGGATATGGACGAGTATTATAAGGAATTTCACAGTCTTATAAAAATTTTAATACTTTAATTTAGTGCGAATATTATGGTGTAATTTTTGTTGCCTGGACTGGCATGCCCGCCGGTTTTTAAGGTGTCACCATCTTTAATCTGACCATCTCTAGATTCTCAGTAGTGTCAATATAGTATTTTCTATATATTTTGTCTCAGGTCTCAAGGTTGTGGTACCTTCTTGATTTCAAATTTCCTACATTGAAGTCCTTTAGCTACTTAGTTTTGGATCAGAGCAATGTCTGAGATATTGTATAATATGTGTGTATTTATTATTTATATTATTTCCCATCGATCCATTTTCTAACATAATTAGTATTAATTTATAGTTAACACTAGTTTTCGTATAAATTACTTTGCCAATTAGGTTGTTAACATTTTTGCTACAAAAATCTTGAAGATCACTTACCTTTTCGCAGTATATGGGAATATGGCACGATATCGAATCTTATCCATCAGTCTTTCAAACTGGCGACTGTAGAAATGCTAACTATGAATTGACCAATGTAGTAGAAGTCCTCAATACGCAAGTCATTAATCAGACCCTCGACACAATGAGGGGAGTTGCTGTACTAGTATCAGATGACAACTCTGCCAAGCTTGAAGTGACATTCCCCGTTGCTGATACGGATGGTGAGAAGCAATTATGATTAGTTATGATTCCGTAGTCAATTTTATAATATCGCTAGTCTACCTGTTTGTGTTTTGAGCTTATATTATTTCTAGAACTCTCAATTAGGCATAAATAAACATAATTTTAATCACTCAGATACAGGGGAAGAACAAAATCTTGATAATATTCTTAATAATTATTGTATAGAGTGATTTTTTTGTATCGTTCATTGGTTTATTTATACTCGCTCCATGATTTAGAGGATTTTTTTGCATAATATTAAAAGTCCAATTATGCTAGCTAAAGTATAGTACTAGCTAAGCCTTATTCTGAAAATACCATGTTTGGCACATTCAACGGTGATACAAGCTCCGATAATAGACCTCAAGTTTATACAGTTAATGTATACATTGAATAGTAGTAAAAGTACAACTAGACCATCCAAAATAAATAAAGGTATATTTTTTACAGTATCCATCACTACTGACTACTGGGTCTTAAGTACAGATTATAAGTCGTACGCTCTTGTATACACTTGTTTGGAATTGCCCGCAACAGAGGAAAAACAAGGTATGCACTTTACTTATTCATATTTTTATTTAAAATATATAGATAGTTTAAAACAAAGTTTCATTTTGCTGTCTGTACGCTTCTTTTAAATTACACAACGGATATTTACTCAGTATTCGCCAATATATATAATGATTCAATAGGAAAGTTAAAATATTTTAAATGTATAAAATATGACAACGCTTGTAACTCCGCTGGTGGAGAGCTAGTTGATAGATAATAAGCTAAACGCTTTATTACTCCTGCGAAGTAACCTACTACAATTACAAAGTAAATGCTAGCTCGAGAATAAGGTAAGTTTTTTGAATTTTAGTTATTTAATATTTATACTATTATTCTATTATTTGTAACCAACTATCATAACCATGACTGATATAATATATCACTGACACCTATAAGTATTAGTAGTAGTATTTGTATCATTTAAGAAGTCTTTAAATTATTTGTTCTTTTTTTCTATAAAGTATGGGCTTGGAAGCTGAGTCGTACAAAGGAATTAACCCAATCAGCTTCGGATAGTATCAACGAGGCAATGGCGCAGGTTCCTGTTTTGGACCAACGGTACTTCGTCCCAGTTGATCAGAGTCCAGATGGCTGCTTCTACTTCCCTGAACCTCAATCTGGGGTACCAGTAGTCTTTCCCGGTCAATGTGATGAGAATATCGCCGTTGTTCAGGACTTCAATCTAACACAGGTAAGATTCATCAGGGTAACCCTATTCAAACCTTCACTAGTACGGCAACAGAATGGATGAATCAACCACGCATGTAGAGTACTTAGGCGTAAGTTTATAAGACAATAATTTTGTATCGATTAGAATTAGCTCAATGGTGCTATGATTAACTAGTTTATAGTGATGTTGCTTATGTTAGCAAAAGCTAAAATAATATTAAATTTTCTTAATGACTTACTCATTTCATGGTTATTTTCTTTTTTTGATATTCATTGCTATACATAATTATTATGATATGACAATAGTTTAGAATATAACGAATGTTTAAAATACATAAAAGTGGTGTAAGGAGCCTAACCACTAAAGATAAAAAAATCCCATTGTAAAATTTTCTCATGCTAGTTTCAAGGTACCTGGATCGAAATAGAGGCTTACCCCAAAGAAGAAGTGCAAGGACAATGTATCAGACATCAATACTCTATCGGCACCGGGAATGTGTTGAATTTACAATCGACGCAAATAGAAGATCAATTCCTACAGACCACCAACGGAATTCTATCGTTCGCAAATGCCAATGACAATTCTGGAAGACTAGTGATTACTCTGGACGGAGGTTGGAACTAACTAACTAAATATATTATAAAGAATTAAGATAATTCGATTTCAGTTAAATTATATTTGTTTAAAAGGATAAATATTTTCACTTTTATAAAAGCATAAAGTTTCCTTTTTTTTTATTTAAACAACGTTTTAATAAAAAGCTTGTCCTTGTTTTTATTATAATATTTATTTTTCTCTAAATATTATTTAAGTTAAACAAATATTCAGATACATATTTAACTAACAATAAGCATAACTTACTTCTGACATTCTTTTGAAAACTCTTTTTAGGTATTGAAATTCCTTTCTGGATACTGGACACCGACTATGTTGATTATGCTTTGGCTTACAGCTGTGTAAATAGTGGCGATGATTTCAGAAGAGGTAAGTATTGATTTGATTTGGACTAAATCAAAAGAGATATTACCACTAAAGCTGAAGGTTTCTTTTTTAAAACCGTGTTTGTTTATCATAAGAATAACAAATATATCTTAATAATAATAATATATTCCATAATGAATACAAATATCAGTAAATTTTTATAATATATTTTTTAATTGCAGTTTTCTCTTGGAAACTCAGTAGGACAAACGTATTGTCTGGCAGTGCAACAACAGCCATTGCAAATGTGATGTCAAAAATTGATGTATTGGGACAACAATATTTTGAGCATGTTGATCAGTCACTGGATGCCTGCTTTTATCTACCAGATCTAGAGCCAGGAGAGCCTATTATACTAGTAGGACAATGTGACCCCAACATTACAGTAGCCCCAAACTTTGTCGCCAGTTCGGTGAGTTAACAATAACACGAAAAAATTGGTTTGGTTTTTTTAAAGATTTTGCTGTCAATATATTATTAGTTTCATTTTTATTTATTCAGACCAAGTCAACTGCACGTCGGATTATACAAAACTGTCAAATTTCCTCCAACAATTTAAATTAAAACAATTTAAATTATATACCTCAATTTAAAACATTGTTTTATTAATTGTAAAGATCAAAATCCATTGCAGAAGTTTGATATATTGTGGTAACCTGACGTGCAGCCATGTGTGAGTGCCAACAAATGAATTATTTCCAGTTCTTGGGCCGTTGGCGTTTGATTGAAAGCTATCCTTCTGAATTCCAAAATGGTGAATGCAGTGACGCTACATATGATCTCAATTCCAATGGAATTATTGATGTTCGAAATACAGAAGTAATTGACACAACTCTATCTGTTATCAACGGTCAAGCTACTATAATAGATGACGCCAAGCTACTAGTTTCTTTCCCAAATGGTATGATTAAAAAAACAAAACAAACTTGGTTAGGATATATAATGTAAATCATTAGTGTTTTTAATAATATACTCAGTAGTTTGACATAATATACTCAGATCTTTGCATTTGTTTTTAATATTATATGACATCATTATTGTTGACTTTTAGATCTATTAATATTTATGCCAGAGCCTTACCAACTCTCGGTACAAGTATGCAAACCAATTTTTTATTGTCTCAGCTCCCACACCACTGGAATACTGGATCTTGGACACCGATTATACTTCGTATGCATTAGTATATACCTGCCTAAACCTGGATAGCGAGACAAGAAGAGGTAATTAGTAAAGTTCTCATGTCTCTTTATAAATAATCTCTCAATGTTGAATTTGAAGTCACACCGCTACTTACATCGAGCATTTAAATGTTTGATGTAATCAATTTTAAATACCCGAAGTATTTGCTTGACAAATTAGTATTCTGTATTAGCGATTTAAGAGAGCCAAGGACCAGGAGGCCCTAAAAAATAAAACTATGGCATTTAGGGGCAGCTTCCTTTATCACGCGACGAAATACTGGTGCAATATACCACCTCCAGTAAGGCTCCTAGCATTATGATTTTCATTTAAAAACAATACAATCTACTTAATACGCAAAAGGTGTGTGATGACGGTTCCTAGAATATAGCTATATAATATGCATTTGTACCTTTGCATATACATACCTATATAATAACTTACAGATGTATGTCTATTGTGGCTTTTATTAGTTAATTATATATTATTTAAACCATTTTATTCTTATCCTGAAATATATAATTTTTTTATTAAATTTTAATTAGTTTAATTATATTCCAATGTAATACTTGTGACATTTCATAATATAATTCAATTTCAATTAGTACTAACATATCGATAAGAACATAGCTATTGGGTGACTTTGGTCGTTCTCTGGGTATAAGCTGAAAGTCAGTGCTTTGCTCCCTGAGCAAAGGTATCTAAACCTATATATATATACCCTTCTGGTCTATAATACCTTGATTTCGAATTAGAAGAAGCTTGGTGGCGTAGTGGACAAGCACGGCCCACGATTTTTGCTGTTAAGCAACTATCGCAAGCGTCGGTCACAGGATGGGTGACCAAAAAATATTATCTCGATCTACTTCATCTTTGGAAGGTACCTCAAGCTTTGGTCCCGGCTGCATTTGCAATCTTTAATGCCCTTCAATTCGCATTGAACCAGCGTTTAAGATCATGGCTCATCCGCCGAAATCATCCATAAGGAAGGCCTGAGCCCTACAGTGGCGACGTAACTGGAAAGTAACACAAAAAATTCCACGACTCGTTTTAAAATTTCAAATTCATAAAGATTATACTTATGAGTAAAGGCTATAATACAGTTGATGATTATTTTAAGGATCGCAATGCATGGAATTGATAGCCTTCGCTTTGTTCTATAAAGACCAATTATATGTTCAACCTATGTCCTACAGACATTGAAAGTTGTATTTATTATTGTGATAATACATATTATTTTGGTAATGACATGATTTATGTAAATGTCATTACTTATGATAAAAAGCTGGTAAGTTTCTTTCGCTTGTTCTTTTTGTCAGCTAAAAGACGTCCTGAACAAGTGGTAGGGGAAAAAAATTTTTTTTGACGATTCAAAAGTGCTTGTAATAGCCTACTTGAATAAAGATATTTTCATTTCATTTCATTTTCATTTCATTTCATTTACTCTTATATGAAATAATATAAATAACAGCATAATGTAATTCTTTCTCTTAAAGCATAATGTTTTATTCCTAATATACACTACCATTATGCATTATTGTTTCGGCATAATTGTGTTTCGCCTCATAATTATTTGGCATTCAAGATTTATAGATATAATTATTTTTTGGACTATGTTTACTCCACTTTAAATGGCATTAAATTGCTAGACATGCCGATTTAAATCTAAACCGATAAATCAGTTAAGCTGGGTTGGAATTTGGACCAAAACAAAAAACGAGCCCAGGGAACATATACAAGTTTTTAAATACATGCTTTAGCATTATGTGCTTTGAAAAATTTTGCGTAAATATAATCAGAACAAAGAAAAGTTTGCCTTGTAAGATTTGATGCAAATTGATACGGAACCTTCAATGTACAACCATAATTATTTTGTGGCTGTAAGCTAGATCATTTATTGATAAATAATTTCAGTGTGGAGTTGGAAAATGAGCCGCACTAGGAGTTTAACACCAGAAGCAAACGCTGCTATAAATCAGAAAATAAACACCATCAACGTACTAAACAATAGATACTATGAAGAAATCAGCCACTCGGATGAGGATTGTTTCTATTTCCCGGAACCTTCGCAAACGCCAGTCCAGTTCCGAGGACAATGTGATCCGAATATACAAACCGTGTCGAACTTCGATGTTCTTCAGGTACGACCTCATCGACTGCCTCACGTATTTATAACAATATTGAATAGGTAACGGTGATCGACTTTATGTTATTTTGCTTTCCGCATCATTTGATCATCTTTTAAATTTTGAACAATAGTTAATAGGGAAGTTTAAAAAAAAATTTTTTTTTGAATGAACTTTCAATAAAATATTATTTTAATGTTTCATCCCAAAACTGCATTCATATATGTGATAAAAACTAAATTGTTTTCAGTACCAAGGCTTATGGCACACCATAGAACAATATCCTTCATTTAATCAAGAAGGTACTTGTGGCAATGCTATGTACCAACTTGGTGAAGACGGTGTGATCGTATTCAACACAGAAGTGGTCAACCAAACCTTGAGCACAATAACAGGACTGGCTGTGGTAGCTTCAGATGATGGAAGTGCAAAGCTCGATGTCGTATTCCCTATACTTGGAACCAACCGTAAGTCCGTAATTAAATGAAATATACAATAAATAAGACAAAACCTCCCTGGGATAGAAAATATGATGACACATAGGAGAATGCGAACGTTCGCAATTTTTTTGATCATCGGACAGGTGTCTTAAAAATTCCTCTCTCTATGGTTTGGGACCCTTTTTGTGACAAAATTTCCAATTAATTGTTATTCAAATCAAATCAAATCAAAATTATTTATTCAGTCTAGGCTGTTACAAGCACTTGTGAAAGTCGAGAGCTACGCCATCGGTTCGTAAATCTACGGCGGGAGACCTTGTACCGAGAAGAACCGGCAAGAAACTCGGCAAGGGCTGCTTTTTTCTCCCTGTTTTATTTCATACAGAGCGTCAAGATTGAAAAATGACTTCATTAAAATTTGAAGTCACTTTACATTCCATCTTAAAGTACAGCAGATCTCAAAATTAACTTCAATTCAAAATCTTTCATGTTATCCATTAAAATCAGCATTTTTAAAATCGGTATTATCGGTATTTTTATACTTAAAAGCAGTTCTCATTTAGAACGTTGATATAAAATTATCATTACTAAATAACAGTTTTTACCTATTTTTCAGTTACAATCACAACAAGCTACTGGGTGCTAGATACAGATTATGACTCCTACTCTCTCGTTTACTCTTGCGAACAAATCGATGAAGAATATAGGCGTGGTAAGTAATAAACTTAAATTGTAAAGTACACTCAACAAAAATTTATCACACTGTTAGTCGGCAAACAACTTTGAGACTTCGATATCAATTTATAATATATTTTTGTAACTATGCATACTACACCGCGAATAACTACCCGAAAAAGGGATTATGATTTGGCCGGTGTGTATGTAAGAATGTTCATCTGTTCCTTTATAACTTCGAAACTACTAATTTTAACTGGACAAATGAGGTATCATTAGAAGCGCCTTAGTTGTCCGCGTGCTATAGGCTTTGTGACGTTACATGAAATTGACAACAACACCATGTAGGGAGCATAAAGTATGAAACTAAAAAATGTATATTATTCAAGCATTTGATACCCTACACGGAATGATTGAATTATATCTTTTTAAGAGCTTATTAATTAAATAAAAAATAGTTCAAAAACATATGCCACAAACAACTATTTGTTTTGTAATGATCTGTGGCACACGACTACGCTGTCCTTTGGTCATCGCTATTATAATAAAGCTATGGCTATAAAATAAATTTCTTGTTTCAAACTTTTCAGAGCGTGATTTATCTGTATTCGGATTTTAGGTTTTGAACTTATTTTTTAAAATCTTTATAAAAATAACAACTTAGCCACTTCATGGCTGTTCATGTCGCGGCATCGGCAAATATTATCAATGACATTAGTTAGTTAGTTATATTAACAAGAATACATTTATGGGTTATACCGTCTGTCTCATATCCCACAATGTTCTTCATAAAATGTTGTATTGTAACAGAGCGATACAGTAGAAATAATTTTGCTTTTATCATCTAGTGGAGGGCCTATAGTAAAAACATAATTGCAAATAGGGATGACAACTAATTTTTGTATTTTTTTTTTTGTTCTTCCGGTAGGTTGTTGAAAAATATTAAACACGTATTTTTTATCGAATTCATTAAATAACGGCGATACATTGAGTTAAAATGTCACATGACGTCACGCTTTAGTACATTTTCTACAAAACTGTGACGCAGGGAACCCCACTCCTCAACTTTAATGGCTGTTAACTAAGCTATTACTTGTTAAATTGAAGTAAGAAAAATACGTATCTAATATTAATCTATAATTTGACTGCCGGACTAAATAGAATTTCTTTTTTTTACCCAGTCCTCATCCCTATTATATAGGATGTGTTTAAACTAAGTCATATTAATAAACATAGTATTCATGAGTCCCACTAAAATAAATTATCTCTCTCTCCTAGTGTTAAGTTGGAAGCTTAGCAGGACCAAGGTAGCTTTCATTAGAAGCGACAAACAACATCAATAACACAATTAGCGGTATTCAAGTGTTGGATGACCGGTATTATTATGAAATGGACCAATCTCCCGACGGTTGCTTCTACTATCCAGAGCCACAGCCTGGCGTGCCGGTCGTCTTTCCTGGACAGTGCGACGAGACTATAGATGTCGTTCAGAACTTCAATCTGACTCAGGTATTTATTTAAGTATACGTATCATATTAATTTATAGTCGATCTTTATGATATCGGGTGTACATCACCTTCAATTTCCGCCATTAACGATTTTTCTCCATGGCCGTCACTGAAGTCATATGAAGTTATTTTGCGATCAATATGACCTGCCTAATACCACTTTTATCAGAATACGCTTTAATATCGTTTATATTATAGACTAGCTTTCCGCCAGCGGCTTCGCACGCTTGTATTATACATAGTAACCTTCCTTTTTAATCACCCTATATATTTAAAAAACCGCATCAAAATCCGTTGCGTAGTTTTAAAGATATAAGCATACAGAGGGATATAGGGACAGAGAAAGCGACTTTGTTTTATACTATGTATTGATATTTACGAAATTATTACAATATTTACGATAATTCCAATTATAGTAAACAAACCATGTGCATATTTAAAAAAATGGTCATTAAGGTCAGGGTACAATAATTACCTATGGCATCAGCAACAAGGTATTAATAGACATTACTTTTAAGGGTTCCGTAGTACACAACGCCTTATAGTTTCGCCATATCCGTCCGCATTCAAAAACTATTTGTACTAGAATATTGTAATTTTGCATGAGAAAACACGTTAAATACGCCGACAAAGTTTTAAAGTAAAATTTAAAAAATAAAATGAGTAGGTACTCATTTAGGTACTTAATGACTAATTACATGTAGGGGAGGTCCCCTACATGTAATGTGGGGATGTCTATTTTTGGTCGCTTTCTCCGTAGGGTGGAACATTGTGGGATAGGCCTTTCAAGAACATGGGAGGTGTGGGAAGGCCGTTTTTTTTTACGTTTGTTATTTATTAAGCTACCAACTCAACGATCGATGGTAAAAAATCCATCATCAAGTAGTGCCTATATATAGCGTAGTTAAAGGAAAAGAAGTCTGGCACTGCAAGTTTACGAGTAATAGTCGACTTACTCGATTGTACGAATGATAGTTAACTCGAAAATTTCGAACAACTCCATAGAAAACAGCAAACGTGATTTTCTTCCCCGTTCTTTTAATGGAACACTTCGTGCGCGAGTCGGCCTCGCGCTTGAAGATAAAAAAATGTAAATATGATTTACCGTAAAAGACACAATATCAATTTATCTGGACTGATTCCAATATCCTGCTGTATAAGATTGATATCATATCATCACAAATCACTGTTCACAGTTCCAAGGTATCTGGCATGAAATTGAAGCATACCCCAAGACCGAAGTGCAGGGCCAATGTGTTATTCATGAATACACAGAAAACAGCCAGAGCAGCTTGAATTTACAAACCTCGCAAGTCGACGGCCAATCTTTAATTACTTCTTCAGGAACATTATCTTTTACATCCAATGACAACAGCGCTAAGATGGCTATTAATATCAACGTTAATGGACAAGGTTTGATTTTATTTTATTATATTTTAATTAATTAAATATTTTATCGAAAATTTATAACTATCATGTGTGGGGATCGGATCCAAGATGTACAGCTTTCTAACGGCGTGTTTACACTGGTCGGAGTGGTCAGTACGCAGAGTACGGGTGACTCCTGCACTCTCATCTCATTAATCAATAAAATAGTAAAAGACCAGTGAAATCTAAGAAAACAAAGTGAAACGCCATTGCTAAGACATTGTAATTTATAGTGTAAAGTATGTTAGCACTTCTTTGTTTTATATTATTACAATCAACATATTATATTGGCAATTCTGTAGCACAATCTAAACTAATTTTAGTTTTCATACTGTACAAATGCGTTACGTAAACTTTGATTACAGAAGAGAAATTGTAATATAATAGTTTAAAGGAGTACAATTAGGTTTGTTTTTGATTAATTCGATTCGATAATCGATTAATGTGACTGCGGAATTAAAACAAATCCATATAAAAAAATTGTTTAGAGTGAGGTACAACAGAATTGGCACCAATGTATATTTTGTTATTGGATATTGTAGTAAAATATAAAGTAACCAGACATTAATATGGAACGTCTCATTTCAATCTTTTACTGTTCCATTCCAGTTGTACTAAATATTTTAGATTTTCTATCATTATATATTATACTATATATTACTTCTGTCTTATGTTAAAGTGATCAACATTCCATTCTGGATATTAAGTACGGACTATATCGACTACGCTTTGGCATACAGTTGCGTCAACATTGGCGTCGATACAAGAGCAGGTAATTACAGTTGTATTTTTTTGTAATTTAATTATAAATTAATCATTATTACGTTATTAATTCAATACGTCACTTCCTTTTTGTTTATTTATTTTTCATATATTGATTATTGAAAGTATAAATAAGTACCCCATTTTTTTTGTTCTATAGTTTACAGTTGGAAACTCAGTCGGTCACAAGAGCTTTCAGAAAATGCTAACGTTCAAATTGATGAAACGATGGCCAGTGTACCTGTCCTGCGTTCCGACTACTATGAAAAAGTCGATCAATCTGCAGATGCGTGCTTCTATTTCCCTGAACTGGGTCCTAATGAAGCCGTTACTTTCAGAGGACAATGTGACCCTAACATTAAAGTTGTAGAAAACTTCGATGGAGTAGCTGTAAGTTTTAAACTATGAAGATCATATGATTCAGTAGTAAACAAAAATATCTCTGTTTTACTGAATAGACTGATAAAGAAATTGGAATAAGTAACAGAGAAGTTTATTTCAACACTGATTTTGCCTTTCCCGTTCTCGAAATTTGGCAATTTGTTATTTTTTTGTATTTACTTTTCAGTATATGGGACTTTGGCGACTGATAGAGACCTACCACTCGGATTTCCAAAGTGGCGAATGTCAGGAAGCAACTTATATATTAAATGTCGACGGAACTGTTGACGTTATCAATACGCAGGTGGTGAACGAGAACTTATTGACTGTTAATGGCTTAGCCACTGTTATAGGTGACGGGAAACTGCTGGTCAATTTTCCAGGCGGTAAGAATATTGATTAATATTAAACTTGTAATTTTTCCAAAAAAGCGTTTAATCTACCATTACAGAGGTTCAGCTATATTCACATTGAAAGGGTTATCGACCAAAAAGATCCTCTGAATCAAAGAAAAGGCATGTTGACCTACTATTCCCTGAAGCATGTTTTATGGTCTTTTCGCCCTGTCTGATTTTATTAGAAAGCCTATTAAATAATAACAGTGATGATCGGTTTATAATGATATTGGTTTATAATAATTTTACTACTTTTTAATTTTAGCTGAAGAACCAACTGAATATTGGATTATAGACACCGACTACACATCATACTCTTTAGTCTACTCTTGTCGCAATCTTGATAATCAACGGAGAAGAGGTATTTTTTGGATTACAATTCTAATATGAAGAATATATTCATCTTATTTTCAGTTTTTCTAAAGATTTTTTTTATACTTTTTATCAAAATAGTTACTACCTATTTCAGTTTGGAGTTGGAAGATGAGTCGGGGAGTGGAATTGACAGATTCCGACAGGGAAAATATCGATAGTGCGATGGAAGCCATCGACGTGATAGACAACCGTTATTTCTATGAAATTAGCCATACGCCTGCTTCATGTTTCTACTTCCCAGAGCCGGACTCCATGACACCGGTCAGATTCCGAGGACAATGCGACCTGGACATACCAGCCGTATCTAATTTCGATGTTGAAAAGGTATTAAAGAACTGAGCATAAAGTCAAAATACAATGAAAATGGGTTCTAAATGAGGTAAAGATGATATCTAAAGTTCAGTGGTTCGATCGTTCGAGAATGAAATTCGATATATTGTGGTTCCGTCGTCTTTCCTGCTCTTCGTCGTCTGTCGTCATGTTTTTTTATACAGTAGAGAGAGGACCGACCCTCATTAAGTTCGCGATATATCGAACATTCGTTTTTAGATAACGCGGCCTGTTCTTGCAAGTTGCAGGCAGTAGGTATTTGACAAAAAAAAAAACCGATTTATCAGTAAAATAACACAAAAAATCTGCCCAAAGATACACACTCGATTATCAGAATTGCTGTAGTTACAGATAATTTGACCTTGAAGAGTAATAATATAATACTAATAAGTAGCCAAAAAGCTTACATTACAACTAATTCAATCAATAAATTAACCAATGTATTTACCTCGTGTGTTCGTAAGTTTTGAGACGAAATAAAAGTTTCGTAACTTTTATAATAATTAACTTATATTTCTAAAATTTTCGAGAACAATTAAATAGATAATAATCAACAATAAAATATATATTTTATTCAAAATGATCGCCCTTGTTTTTAATACAGGCCCTTAGAAGATTAGGCCAGTCATCAATGGCAGCACGAATCTTTTCTGGCGGAATTAGCTTTGCTTCTCGAACTAGGATTCGCTTCAGTGTCTCCAAGTTTGAATGGGACTTTTGGTAGACCCTGAGCTCTAATTTGGTTCATAAAGAATAATCCAGCGGGTTGAGGTCAGGGCTGGAGGAGGACCACTCGTGCGCGGCACGAAGGCCATGAAAGCCAGCACATTCTCTCTCAACCAAGCTTGGGCAAGCTGTTTGCCTTATGGAATGGCGCCGAGTCTTATTGAAAAACCCAATCCTTATTGTTAAATAACGTATCAAACAGGGGTTTCACCACGGGCTCTTAAATGTCACTCTTTTCAGCTTCTTATTTAAGTAAAATAATATTTTAATTACATTTGGAAAACTTTGCAGTACTTGGGCTTATGGCACAACATCCAACTATATCCATCAGAGTTCCAAAGCGGCTCTTGTAGCAATGCTTACTACAGTATTGGACTAGAAGGCGTTGATGTCCTGAACACACAGGTCATAAATCAAACCCTCGATACAATCATTGGACTAGCAGTCCTTGACTCTGATGACGGAAGTGGAAAACTCAAAGTCACTTTCCCCGTAGCAGACACTAGTGGTTAGTAATAATAGTAGTAAAAAATACATCAAATGACTATTTACGGGCACCACGTTGGGCGCCACTAACGCAACTGGCCGCAGATGTCTAGTGGCATACTATAGTATATTCTTAGAGCAGGCGAAATGGATACTGAATGACCCAAAGTATTATGTGAGCGCTGACCCTAAACGATATATACTTATCATTGTCCATATATACTGTGTCGTTTCCACGAAGCATTGCATTCTGTTGTACGAGACGTCATGATTCGATGATCCCATCGTGTACAACAAACTTCGACAATATGATAATATGATACATGTCATTTACATTTTATGCACACATAATACTTTGAGTAAATGCCTGTTTCTTAACCTGTTGCAGCAGCAAATCTAATAATTTAAGAATTTTTCTTTAAAATAAACTAGGTACAATAATTTTATAGTAGTTTTAAAACTAACTAGGAACAACAGTTTATTGTATGGAAAAAATCTTAAATTATTAGAAAAAATATCATTTTTCCAATATTATTGTGCAAAGTTGATTAATATAATTAGAATAACATTTTCATCTAAAGCGTAATTTAATGTATTTGGAAAAAATCCTTTATAAATAAATACATTAACAATCGTTGATTAAATTTATATACTAAAAACCGTAAATAACAATCACCACAGATTACCCAGTCCGATGTTTTAACTCTTTTTGGAGTATTCATAAGAGTAATCATAGTTCTCGGTAAGACTTTATATAAAGTGTGGACTTTATTTGAGAAGTTTGTCTAGTTCTGATACAAAACTCGCCCGTTCGCGAAAGATTGTATTTGAATTGACTCTTTTGTAAATGTCAATAAAGCATTCTAAAACAATTTTTTTCTAATACTAGAATGTAGATACTCCAATTGTGTACTAACTTGCAGCTTAACCGCTGGAATGTGCTCGATTTGGAAGAAATAAACATCAAATATTTCTCATTTATGAATGAGTACTATGGTACAAAATACTATGGTATTGCATTGATTAGAATTTATTACTTATTAAATTGGTCATTTATTATTTATTGGTCATTTAGAATTTATTAAATTGGTCATTTATCTGAATAGGTATCTAAGAGATAGTATTAATCATATTCTAAACATTTCCAGATACCGTTTCAACAAGCTACTGGGTGTTAGCCACTGATTACATATCCTACTCTTTGGTTTATACGTGCATACAACTCGAGAACAGTAGGCTTGGTAAGAAATACTATTACATAATATAAGCACAGATACTAACGATCAAATGCTTCTTAAATAATATGAGAATCAATCTCTCATTATAGTGTACAGTTGGAAACTAAGCAGAACAAAAGAGTTATCATTGGAAGCAGAAGCGGCTATCAACAATGTGACTAGTGCCATTCAGGTGTTGGACGAACGCTACTACAATACTGTAGATCAGTCTCCTAGTGGTTGTTTCTACTTCCCTGAGCATCAGCCAGGAGTACCCGTTAATTTTCCAGGACAGTGTGATGATAATATCAACGTTGTTCAAAACTTCAGTCTAGATCAGGTAAATATGTACGTTTTCGTTTACTTACATGATTCTTAAGCAAATTTAAAGAAGAAAGATTGACAGTTAAAATGTGTGTATTTTATTTCTCGCCGTATCACTGTGTACAGTTGGTACTTTCAGCAAGTTCGGCAAACTACTGAAACTTGGCTGAAGTCTACTTATTTAAGCATTTACAAATCGGAAGTCGCGTGCGCAAGTCAATATCTTCAAATATCATTAAATTGCCAGACATTTCGCTCAGATATTAAGATATTTTCGGCAAAAGTCAATATATTGATTTTGTTTATATATTTCAAGGAGGAGATTCTACAAAAAATCGATTCTTCCAAATTACAGTTTGCATGAATCGTTTTTTTTAACCTAAATTAAATCACATTCCATTTGTCACTAAAATCACTAAATAATTTTAAATACTTGAGTCGAGTTCAAAACATAGTAATATATTATAAAAATCTAAATCTAAAAGTATGATTACTATACTAGTATTATTATTTATACTACAATATAAGTACTTACAATTATGGCATAAACAGTTTATCATTTTGGTGTATTCTGTATTAAATAAACCGTTATCTTTTCAGTTCGAAGGTTTATGGCATGAAATTGAAGCGTATCCGAAAGAACAACAGCAAGGACAATGTATTAACCACCAATTCAGTTCAGGTCAAACAGGTTCAAACACTTTGAACCTACAATCAACGCAAGTCGCCAATTTATCTTTGGGCGTCAACAATGGTGTTCTTAGTTTCGCATCTACAGATGGCAGTGCAAGAATGACCATCACTATCACAGTCGAAGGGCAAGGTGATTACAATAATGATGAAGAAGAAAAATAATCTTATATAACACATTCACGACACGAAACAGCTCAAAACAAAACGAGAACTCATTACCAGCATGTTAATGTCCCCTCTGCTGAGGCTCAGACCTTACTTATGAATGGAATTGAATCGAATAGGGAGTACGGGCCAAGACCCACCACGCGAGCCCTGTGCGGATTGGTGGTTATTAACGACTGCAAATGCAGCCGGACCAAAACGTGCTTTCCGAAGCACGAAGGAGATCAAATATAAATTTAATTGCTTAATAACCATATAGCAGATCGGGCACGCTAGCCTTTGCGCCATCGACCTCGAAGCGACAGACGACCGACTAGAATTAACAGCAAGTCAGGTTAAACAATGCTGACCAATTTCTTTATTTTTGCAGAAATCACCATACCTTACTGGATCTTAGCCACAGATTATACTGACTACGCCCTTGCTTACAGCTGCGTCAATCTTGCCAATGAACGTAGAGCAGGTAAAATTATTCATATATTAAAACAAATATTTAAAATAAATACAATTTGAAAGGAAAACATACTTTAACAATAATTCAATTTTAGTTTACAGTTGGAAACTCAGTAAGAACAGGGAGCTGAGTAGTGCTGCTAATGATAAGATAAATGAAATCATTGACACTATCGACGTTCTGGGTCAACAGTATTACGAAAAGATTGACCAAACTGATGATGCTTGTTTCTATTTGCCTGAATTGGGTCCTGACGATTCAGTAATATTCAGAGGGCAGTGTGACGAGAATATTTCTGGTGTCCAAAATTTCGACGCTTCTTTGGTAAATTACTACTATTATTAACTGTCATGAGACATATTACTTCAACAAGAACCATGTCATATATTACTGCAATTATGTTCTAGTACATTGGACTTTGGAGATCAATAGAGACATATCAATCGGACTTCCAAGGAGGCACTTGTATTCAAGCCACGTATATCCCCTCTGACGAGGGAGTGATAGTTTATAATACTCAAGTCATAAATCAAACTCTGGATACGATAAACGGAACTGCTATTGTTGGTTCAACTGATGGAAGTGGACTGTTACTTGTCGACTTTCCGACCAGTGAGTGCAATTTTAAATATTAAAACTATTTGTAGATAATCCTTTCAGGCAATGCCGTATTCAGACTACTTAATAACCTAACAATTTCTTATAATCTGTGCATCCCCAATCTACAAGTAAACAAGTATTGTTGTTTAAAAAAATACATATTTAATACAACAAGTTAGATCTTTACGTACCTTAAGATATGTTTAAAGGTTAAAAGATACACATGGAGTACAAAACTCATAGATTTTCTATTTGCTAGAATTTCATTTGATGCTATTTTATGGTGCCCTCCAAGACTTCTAATCTGGCACTGCTTTCAGGAAAATTTATTAATTAGACTCTTTCGATATCCAATTCTGATCCTAGGATTATTAAAAAATAAGATAAAATCAAAATTTATATTTTTGTATTCATTATTAATCGTATTTTCTAGGTCCTGAACTGGCAAAGTACTACATATTAGCCACAGATTACTTCTCATATTCCTTGGTATATAGTTGCAGAAATATTAATCCTGAACAAAGACAAGGTAAGATATGTGATACATTTTAAATCTTAAGTCCAATTTACTTTATGGTTTATTAAAGTTTCAATGTTAACAGAACCAGTATCTACTACTGTACCAGGGTACTGTTTAATTTACACCATTACGAAACTATGTAGTTAAACATATTCCAAAATTAGTTTTGTGAAACTTGTTTCATTATACATGTCACTAATTTCGTAACGTAAATTTGGATTTACGTTTTAAAAGCATCACGTGGTTTGAGTAATAAATTTATTTAACAGTATGGGCCTGGAAGCTAAGTCGCGAAAGAGAGCTGAGTGAAACAGCGAACAATATCATCGACGAAGTCATGGAAAGCATCAATGTACTGGACAATCGGTACTTCCAGAATATTCCACAGGACCAAGCAGCGTGCTTCTATTACCCAGAACCCAACGGTAAACCCGTAACCTTCAGAGGGCAGTGTGACGAGAGCGTCGCTGTTGTTCAGAATTTCAACGTTGAAGCAGTAAGTTGTCTTTATATTTCTTTGGAACCAATAGAAATCATTTAATATTCATAACTAATTAATTTCTGGCGATAAACAGCAGCTACTAACTTTATGTTAGATTAGCAGAAGCCAATAGGTAATGAAATAAATCAATCAATAATACTCGTACCAACATCCAGTAGGTATAATGTTTAAAACGGCGACAATTCAGCTTGTATTTCGGATAACATCAACAGACTTATTTAGCTAACACCTTAAAATCTTAACGATCTTTTCATTATGTAAAAATAAAGTTTAAAAATTGTGCATACATATAAGTTTAACATCCATATGTCAGCATGAAAGCACCAGCCGGACGACATGCAAGGGAATATATTAAAAACTCCTATAACGTCATCAGCTTAATTCCAACGTCAAAACTGACAGTCGCACTTTTCATAGAAGCACCTACAAGAAATTTTAATGCAGCGGAGGATTACCTTGATGCTCTCAAAAGATAGTTAAAGTGAAGTCACTATGACCTGTACGAACAAAGGCTAACGTAATTTGACTTACATATTTTTTTTCGTTTTCTCCAGTACCAAGGAGTCTGGTACGACATAGAAAGTTTCCCTCAAAACTTCCAAACTGGAACATGCCCCACAGCCACGTACACTCTTAACGATGAAGGAACAGTGGATGTTTATAATACGCAAGTGGTCAATCAGCAGTTAGATGAAATTTCGGCTGTTGCCGTCCTGGCTACCGATGACGGCTCTGCTAAACTTGATGTTACCTTCCCAATCGCTGGCACAGATTGTAAGTGAATTACCGGATAAAAATGTAATAAAAGAAGAAAAAAAACTGCATTAAATATTTTAAATATTCCTTTTTATTTCAACAGTAACCATAACTACGCCGTACTGGGTCCTGGCTACAGATTACTCCAATTACTCCCTAGTGTACTCCTGTGAGAAAATTACCGAGGACAGTTATAGAGGTGAACTACATATAATTAATATAATATAATTATAATAGCTGTAAACTTTAATAATTGAAATCCAAACGATAAATTAGTATTGTAGTTAAAATTTTCTAAAATTAGGTTAAAAACAATATTTTAATATGTATTAACAAAACCATTTTTTTTTTCTTATAGTATCAAGTTGGAAACTAAGTAGAGAAAAGGAGCTCTCGAATGATGCTATATCAGCTATGGCAGAAGCGCAACAAAATGTAAAGGAGCTTCTCGATATATATTACGAAGAGCGAGGACATACTGAAGAAAATTGCTTCTTTTACCCTGACAATAATGGTGGTCCAGTCATTCTTGATGGTCAATGCGAAGATGCTGATGATGTCGATGTTGTTACTGACTTTGATGCTAATAGTGTAAGTTTATAACAAACCAAAAATATGATTTTTTTAATGAAAATATCAAAAAGAATTGTCAAAGATGATTTAAGTTTAATTTATATGCAATTACTCCAGCGGCTTCGCCCGCGTGGTCTTGTATTATACATAAAAACCTTCCTTTTGAATCACCCTATCGATGAAATAAACCGCATCAAAATTCGTTGCCTAGTTATAAACATTTAAACATACATATGGATGTAGGGACAGAGAAAGCGACTTTGTTTTATACAATATCGTGATAAAATAAATTAAAAATAAATAAACATTAAACAACATCACATAGATTGCTCAGATTCCAAGACTACGTAGGTACCACAACACCTAGACTCGAGACAACAGAGAAAAGTGCATTTTCTACATTGACCGTACCTGGAATCGAACCCGGGACCTCGGAGAGTGCGACACCTTGAAACCGGCGTGCAAACCACTCTACGGCACTTGACATCAGATTCAGGCGGAATCACATTTTTATGTCATGTGTTGTAGCGCGACGATAAAATAATATCAGTTTCATATATTTTTATTATGCTTAGAGACATAATTTTATGTTACGTTATGTATATGATTGTTACGAAAAACTAAAACTAAACTCTTTTTCGGAGCTAATTTTTACACCCACTTCTGAGTCACCGCGTTACACGACTATGCAATTTTAGTTTAGTCTACTTTTTAAATCAAGAATTTTTCGTAAGATACATTAATTTTTCCACCACCTGACCTCCGCACTGGGTACTGAGTGATGTCTACCCTTACTACTTCAACATATTGAGCGAGACAACAAATTGAACATATCAAGCTTTAGAGCTCTTGCAGATTTTTATCGCGATCTCTTAGACTTGAATGTATGAAACAACACGCGCGAGCAACGACACAACCAACTGTAGACCTTAGAATAGCTTCAGCATTTGTCGTGCAAGATTTCTAAACTGTAGAATGAATTCTCTTTTCGTTAACCTTTTAGTTCAGCGGCACATGGTATGAAATCGAACGGTTCCCATCAGAAATACAAAATGGAGAATGCGTGGCGAACCAGTTTGAAAGCAACCAAAACGGTTTTGCCATAAACAAAACTATAATATACAATGAAAGACTTCAAACCTTCACTGGACAAGCGACTCTTTCACCAGACAACAGGGGAGTTTTGTCAATTAGTCTCAGCAATGGAGTAGGTAAGAAATCCGCATATTTTATTAATTATGAAATATAGAATTTTTATCTATTCATCATTCATATGACTACTCGCTTACTTTTCGCCTTTTCTTTGGATAGAATCACACAAGAAGAAAAATTGCTATAAGTAATAAACCCATAACAGACTTACTGGAACATCGACAATATTAATTTGTTTTGAAACATAATAGCGATACCTGGAGTTCATCCAAAATCTTTAAGAATTATTTTGGCTATATCTCAATAACTTGATGAATTGATTTCGAAAATATGGCTTTATTAATTAAAATATAAACAGACAACTGTTAGCAATCTTGCTAAGCTTCTGTGTTGTTTTGTGTGATTACAATTTAAAAACAACTTTCAGTTATGTGTATTAGTGTGAAGTTTCATACTAACCATACATGTTTTATCTATATATACATGCATTGAATAACATTTTTTGTCATCAGATACCATAAACGGCAATCTTTTCGTCCTTGACACTGACTACGTAGATTATGCTCTCTTGTACAGTTGCAGAAATGTTAACAATGAACAAAAACAAGGTATGCACCGCTTTTTTTACTTTAAAAGGATTCTTCCTATAGTATTAATTAATTTACATTAAAAAAATACATAACTCTTAAAATCAAATCCGCAGTGTACAGTTGGAAGGTCAGCCGAAACCAGAATGAACTCTCCCAGAATGCCAACGTGAATATCGATGCTATTGTCACCGACCGCAGGTTCCTCTTCCAAAACTATTATGAGAAGACCGAGCAGGACAGCAGTGCTTGCTTCTATTATCCAGTATTTGACGGCCCACAAACTAGTATCAAACTGCCTGGTCTTTGCAATACCAGCATTACAGGCATACCAAACTTCGATGCCGCAAGTGTAAGTGAACCTTTGGTTTATATAATTATATATTTTTAAAATATCATTAACAATAAATAAACTTTAATGTCCACACTGAATGACATAATTTTATGCGTGTGCTTTTTCCTAGTACCTAAACCAACGGTACACAATTCCGTAACCATACACTCAATACCTACAGTCCCGAGCAATTTCTAACATTATTTAATCACAAAAGACGAACCGTGATAGTTAAAATTTTCACAAATGATGTATTTCTTTTGCCGCTATAATAAAAAGAAAATAAAAAAATAAATATTTAAGGAGTTCCCATACAACAACGCGATTTTTTGCGTTTTTCATGGTGAATGCTTCGGCATTTTTGTGCGAGAGTCCGACTTTTTTGAACCGTCATAATTAAGGTTTTGGTACGAGTCATAAACCTTGATTTTGATTTCATTAACAAAATGAAAAAAAAGGAAGCATTGTATTAAGTGACTTGCTTATAAAAGAATTGAAATTCCACCAAAACCATTTGTTTGTTTTTTTTCAGTACCTAGGCCTGTGGTACGAAATTTCCAGTTATCCTGAGCCCAATCAAATTGGGGAATGTGCTCGTGCATTGTACGCCCCTGGCAATAACGTTGTAGATGTCACGAACACTCAAGTAGCGAACAGAACGCTTCTATCACAAACTGGATCAGCTGTAGTGGCTTCTACAGACGGCAGTGGATTATTAACAGTGACATTCGTCGTAAACGGAGGTGAGAATCAAAACAAAATGATCATTATATGGCCATTCTTAGTGTTTAAACAATAATGTAAGACTGCAATTTAAGCAGTTTAAGGTTTATGTTTCACTTGACAACATCTGTCACGTAAACTTTAACATTGACTGTGGAATGCGATGCACCATCCTCTTTCTTACAAAATAAAATAATAACTTTAACCAGCGAAACTTAGACGATCATAGTTTACGTATGACGTTATCTAACCATTGACAAAATATGATAACTCATTGTTATTTGCTTAACCGGTACTATAACATCTTTTTTAAGAGACTGCTCTCACTACGGGATGTTGGCAAAATTTCCGTGTATAACGGAACAAGTCCATATTGAAAGAAAAAAAAAACTTTTTTATTATTAAATATAGTTGGTGCAACAAACCCAGTATTTTTCGAAAGTTTAAATAAAACTTTGTCTTGATGGTATTAAAAAGATTTATCATTATTTTCTAGAAACTAGGACAGCCAGTTATTATATACTCGCTACGGATTACGCCAGCTATTCTCTCGTTTATAATTGCCGCAACTTAGAAGATGGAAGACGAGAAGGTAATTAGACAATATATATGTTTTATAAAAAAAATATTAAATTATATTATTAAACAAGTAACAATGTTTTCACAGTGTTTAGTTGGAAACTAAGCCGAACCAAAACTCTAAGCGACTCAGCTAGTGCCGCTATCGATACGGCCATTGGATCTACTCAAGGTCTTCTTGAAGATTACTACGAACCAACTAGCCAAAGCGACGAAGATTGCTTCTATGTTCCTGAATTCGTGTCAGATCAGACGTTGCGTTTCAGAGGCCGCTGTGATCAATTCACGGGGACATTCCAAAACTTTGAATCTCAAAAAGTGAGTATTATTTAACAAGCTGTCCCCTTACTTTTTTTTGCGTTAGGACGGTAACGCATTCTCATCTCCCAAGAGAGGGTACACCGTAGGGGTTTTGGTGGGTAAGCCTCCGGGAACTCACTGGGCAGCTCACCTGGCGAGTGGGTTCACGGAGGAGAGTCCCACACACCCCCTGTTGCTTTCCAGGTAACAGGGATAATGCCAAAAGCATTTCCTCGACGATAAAAAAAAAGGACAGTAACACATTGACAACCTGGAACGTAGAACATTTTTCACTGCCAAATCATTATCCTCTTTGAAGTTGAAACAATATCGTAAATTAACTAGCAAGAAAAAATCCGAACAAAGTTTCACGCATCTTTGAGAATCCTATGTCGATTCGTAAACATGCTCTACGATACGCTTTGTTATGTGCCAGCTTATCGTCTCTGTTTGTTTGACTTATTGACAAACTTGTAGTTGTAATCTAACAAAACAAACCTTTTAAATTATGTTAATTTTTTTTATTCTTTTTCCAGTACTTGAACAAACGATGGCATGAAATTGCAAGATACCCATCGGATGAAAATGGTGGCAACTGTGTTAGTACCAGTTACCAAACTTCTGGCAACACTATAACGTTTGAGGGAACCAGAGTCTTCGGCATCAACGATGGTAGAGTCACCAGTGGCACTGCCACTATGAATGCTAATGGTCAAATACAAAGAACTTACGCCGATGGATCAATGGAAAGTGAGTAACCTAATATTTTTTTTTTTTATGTTTTTTTTTTATAGTCTACCAATATAAATGATTACATTTCATAAATTTAGATTTTAAATAAATATAAAAAACTTCCCATGCCCGCATTTCGCTAATTGGGCGATTGGACTATCAAATCAATCGCTCAATTAGCGAAATATAATAATTTTCAATGTTAACAATGTTAATTTACAAGTTCGTCTAAATCGTAATTAAAAATATTATAAAAAGATTTAAGATGGTAAGGTAGTTCATCTTAATACATTTATTCATTCTATAGGTGCGCGAGTAATATTTTTTAAGAATATATCCGATTTTCTGTTATGTTATTAATTGTGTTATTTACGGGATTGATTGCAAACGCTATGGTCATGATCTTAATAGATATAATTTTTATTCACCTTTGAATAATATTTATTCACGGGATTCTTGCCAAAAGCCTTGTTTGTACATTTGGCTCTTGCTTCTTATCAAGAATATGAAAGGCAGATCTTTCTCTTGGTTACTCAAACTGCACAAACAAACTGGGGCATTTTGGTTTTTTACGTTTTTACCTTTCTAATATGGTGTATGATAATACTTCAATATTAAATCTTATTTTGCAGTTTTGTGGGTTTTGGCAACCGATTACGATACTTACTCGCTTCTGCTCTCATGTGAGGACATTGATGATGAATACATGCAAGGTAACTTCACAAATTAGCAATTCATTTAAACTTTTTATTTCCTTCGAATTATTTTCTATTTAAAATAAAGTGTAGAGTTCAATTATGGCACCTTCTCAATGTGCGCTTCATTATCATTACAGCCCCTTTACGTCCCCACTGCAGGGGCTCAGGCCGTCCTTATGGATGGTTAAGGAGGATAGGCCATGACCCTCCAGTACGGATTCGAGGGTATTAACGACTGCAAATGCAGCCGGGACCAACGGCTTAACGTGCCTTCCGAAGCACGGAGTAGCTCAAGAAAATAATTTTTTGTGCCACTCATCTTGTGACCGACCCTGTTAAAGTTACGCTTAACAACAACAATTGCGGGCCGCGGCGCTTATTTTATACTACGCCACCGATTTACGCTACTCAATCTACACTTACTTTTTTGTTGATAGGTATAAAGTAATGTAAAAACATTGATGTAATCGAAACATAAAAAAGACAAAATACCATGTTCCAATGTTCCTTACATGATATAGGTACATTTGTTGACGTTACATGTTCAGCTTTGGCTTTCGGATTAAATCAACTATAGCTGGCAGACAGAACGACAAGCGAGTGAACCTGGGTTTCGTTTATTCCTTTTGAAACAGTGAATCCTAGATATGATCTTACAATAAGTATGGTAGTTTACCCTTTCCCAAATCTTACAGTTTGGAGTGCTAAACACAGTAGCACAAGATCTCTCAGCTCCGAAGCAGAGAATGCTCTAGCACCTGTGATAGACGACAACGATCTGCTCTACGATGAGTTCTTCATGGATGTCGATCAATCCGACAGCGCTTGCTTCTTCTATCCAACACAAGATGGACAGTCAGTAATACTGCCTGGACAGTGTGATGTCAACATACAGACAGAGCAAGATTTCGATCTGACAGCAGTAAGTATCGTAGTGACTTTGAAAGCAAAACCTGTCATGCCATTGAGGATTCAAATTGAAATATTAGATGGTCCACATTTTGTTTTTTATAAATATTAGACTACATCACATAAATTACTCAGATCCCGAACCAAGCAGCTTTTATCACTTTTACTTTAAAACTCTCAAACAACTAAAGTAATATTAATACACAAACCCGGCACAATATAGAAAAGTTCATCTTCTACATCGAGCCGAACCCGTGCCCTCAGAAATGGTGACACCTAGATACTTATATGCTAGTCACTGGGCGTCGAAAGTCGTAATCTTCATTTTTGAGCCCTTGAGTACTATAAACCACCTAAAATATGTAAGTACACATTAGAAACCTGTGATCTTACTGGATAGTTAACTCCAGAACTGCAATCGAAACTTATTGTGTTAGTTTTTAGCTCTCTGGCTTTCAAAAACTATGAACGTCTTATCTATCCCTAGCACTAAAATTTACCCCGTGGCTGTTACCTACCATTATTTCATGATAAGAACCTAGAAACCTTCAAAAAAAAGGAAAAATTGATACCGTCGATTGAATTATATTTTTAAAAACTAATTATCTCCGCTGAAATTGTTACTACTATATATGATACGATTTGTCAATTAATAAACTATTTATCCTTCCAACAGTATACTGGCACTTGGTATCAAATAGAAAGATACCCATACCCTCAAGTCAGCGCTGATAGTACCTGCATTGGGACCAGATACACGCAACAAAGCGATAATGAATTAGATGTATTAAACTGGGAGATCAATGATGGAGATCTAAATACAATTCCAGGTGTAGCTACACTCGAAAGTGCTAATAACGCCACTATTCTGAAAGTTGTTCTACAAACCGACCCTGATGACGAAGAAGGTTAGTATTAGTCTCAATGGCTCACATGCAAACCACTTTAGTTTATATAGCACATTATTGCTTTGATCACTGTCTCATAGTATGGCACCGGTAACCTAGCTAGGTGTGGATGAAGCAGCCATCGGTCACGGTCTTGTACTAAAACTATCGAAGGTTCGTTTTTGACTTGGTTATTTCAAAGACACATCATCACCACCCATTTATGTCCCTACCACCTTCTCAATGACCCACCCACCTCACGCTTGCTCGCATGCTGGTCTCATGCGGATCGGTGAGTGTTAAGGACTGTAGATGCAGCAGAGCCAACGGCTTGACGCGTCTTCCGAAACATGAAGGAGCTGGAGATAGTAAATTTTCAGGCACCCATCCTTTGACCGGTTTTCTCTGACACAGTATTCCCCCGAGTTAATATAGATTAGTCCACTCTAAGTCCTGAGTATGGCAGAAAACGATTGCTTCACCGGCTCCGGTTTTAGTGGATCCGTTATTATTTATCGATATTCATAACTTAAGCGTACCTAATCGACTATAAAATCGAACAAATTATGACTGTAGTGAAGTTTTTTTTTCATTTGTTTCAGCCACAGTCACAGCTAATGTTTATGTGCTGAAGACGGACTACGTATCTTACTCTCTGGTGTACACATGTGAGAATATTGACGAGTACCACAGAACCGGTAAGTGGAAGTACCCTTGACTTGAAAATTATTATACTTTAATGGCTCACTTCTCTTGCTCAAAAAGCGTGCGAAAGTGAGTCATTAATATCATTACTTGTTCTAGGAAAAAAAAAAATCATTATGTTTTAAAATACTGAAAAATATGTTTATATGAAAACAATAAGAAAAAAAATCTTCAGAACTGACATTCTGAGATAGGATGAAATTGATTTATTAGCATTTTTGATAAAAAATATTGTTTTCTTAAATTACATGTATGTAATAGTTTTTATTCATAAATAAAATACTCCTAAATGGGCTTATTACTGTTTCATAAAAAAGAACATTTTGTTTTTGAAAAAGGAACTTAAAGCGGTGATCGGTTAGTGGTGGGACCACACTAGCGGTTAATTAAATGCCGTTAATGGCAGCATTTATCGATAGCGTAATTCCACCATAAAGAAGAAAATAGCGATGTCGCGAAGTTTCAAAAATTCATCTCTCTTTCGTAATCAAAGTGCAAAGTAAAATGTAAGACCCGGCTCTATAAACTCATAATAAATCTGTTTCTATTTTTTGGAATACCACATATACAATGAGTTTTAGCCCTTTATATGTATAACAATCTCATTTCTGTCAGCAAATACCTGACACTTGCTAATAAGCTTAATATTGCCTTTTACAGTAGTCGCTATCAAGCTCAGTCGCACGCGTTCATTGCCATCGGCAGCGCAAAATGAAATCAACTCATTCATGGCCACTAGAGATGAATTGCACCAGCCATTCTTCATACAAGTGACGCACAACGAAGAATGCGAAGATCCCAGCTCTTCGTATCTTATAAAAAGCAGTATTATTGTCACGTTGTTATGTCTCATTATACAAACTTTAATATAACTGTATGTTTTAAATATAGTGTAAAAAACTTTAAGTTAAAATAGTATGTTAATATTAGTTTTGAAATAAAGTTTATTGTTGTTTAATTAGTTTTTTCTTTGTGCATTTTTCTTGCCTAAATTTTAATGTTGCTTCATTGTATTTTAAGTCGATTTACGTCGATATCATTTCCATGTATGTAATGGCTCGTTATCACATTTTTAGTGCCTCATTTTCATTAAGCGGTCATTGGTTTATAAACTAACGACATTAGCCCACAGAAAATGTGTGCACCTCGCATGCGGATGCTATGGACCTATGTAAATGAGTCATTGGGCTCTAATGCTAATAAAACAATGAGTGTAACCACAGAAGATTAGTTAAACAATGTAAACGTGTGGAGATGAAAATGAATAACTTAAAATCAACGGACTGGCAGATAATGAAAAGGAACGGCTTATAATTTCTTCAGCCAGTTATAGCGAAACTGATTTTGATTCATAATTCGAATACATAGTGACTGTATTATAACTGGAATAAACCCAAATGATGACCGAATTATACGATTACAACTATTTGATTTCTATATTTTTTAATTATTTCCACTCATACTTATTGAAATAACGTACGCAAAAGATTACTGGGCAGAAATACGTCAAAATATTAGTACGATGTCACTATTTTTAATCGTATTTTAATGTATATCTAAATGACATTTCTTTTAATTTTATACTAAATTTATGGGGACATGAAATTTAGAAGTATCTTTTATTGAAATAACCTGTGGAAATAAGTATTAATAATTTAGTAATAAATTAATTTTAATTTACCATTACGAAACACTTTTCTGAGCTCACATCAACTTCTCAGATCTGCTAAGTCGCCGCATTTCATAAATAGGTTTTTCTAAATTTAAAACTAATAAATAGCACTTTTAAAGCAAGATGATATATTAATGTCTAAATACGCAATATATACCAAAAATATGAAGCTACTAAAACTAAGACGTTTGTCGTAGTTTTTTTGTTTTTCGCTTCAATACTCATTCAACTCCCACCGAGAAAGTACAAAAAATGCTCCGTTAAAGCGGAGAAAAACGGTGGATTCTCTGTCACAAATGCCCATGATATGAAAGAATATTAAGTTTCACATTTCAGTCATTAACATTTTTGACAATAAAATCAAAATTAAAGCTAGTTTCAGAAAACAACAATATTTAATTATCACAAATAAAAATTTCACATTTTATCGTCAGTGTTGCAACTGCACTTTTCACTTTTTTATTTTTAAATATTGCAGACCATGAGTACATACATGAAATTCTATGTCGAGGAGATTTGTGACCGATATTAACAGATTTTCAATCTCATGAGTAAACAAACACACTTGCGATTCTTCATAGATATTATAAGTGCACGCGATTCATGCGATATCGCTCATGGGGTAACCTATCTTAATTTCAAAACTTTAATGTTCGAATTTCAAAACTTCGAAAACGGTATAACGAATTTTTAAATACCAGATATGTTTTTTGACATAATATTCTATGTAATAAATTTATTTTACACATGTTTAATTTTCCATAAAAATTAAAAGACAATTTTCAAAAGCTGTTTTTTTCTTTTTACAGATGTATTACTTTCAATATTTTTTTATTCTAAATGTATGAAATATCGAAGTAATCCTATTTTTACTAACGCACTTATTTATTTTTCAACATTGATAGACAAAAAAAAAACAAGTTTTTATGTATCGTCTGATTTATTTTTATAGAAAAAATAAATTCGAATTCGAATTAAGGTTTAAGACATGCTGCATGCATGTTTCAACTGAACCATATCACTTATGAAGTTATTGAAGATTATAATAAAAATACTTATAATAATAAGAATTTGAAGATATTACCTGTAAAAGTGTCCAGTAGTTTATAGAAATAAACAGGTATTTCATCTGGAGGCAGAAAGCTAAGTGCCAATAAACATTTAACATTCATTTTAAAAACAATTTTCTGGAAACTAAATCGTCTGAAATATGTATATTTATCAAATGTTGAGTAAGATTTAAAAACGTATTGATTTAAAAAATATGTATATTTGAAAATCGGATTATCAGCTAAATGTCAATTGTTTTTTCGGTGAAATGAAAATATGGAAAACAAAAATGTGGCAAAACCTTTTCGGTTTAATGAAATTCGCACTGAAAAAAATCGATATTAAAATAGGTAACCCGCTCATGGTTATTGTATTGCATTAAAAGCCTAAAAAATAAAAATATTTTTGTTGTATCAAAAAGTTTAACAAGATTATTGTGAACGTTAACCCCTTACCGCATGTGAATCCATATATGGACACTAAAGTTTATGATTTTTTTACAAGTCAATAATATAGTTTATCTTAAAAAAGTAACTCATACCAGAACCAGAGTTTCATCGTGAAACGGAATGTTAAAAATCTGTGTCTGGCAAATGTCATCTCTCACATATTTTTAAGATCATGTGTAGCAGTGCGACGGGCCGGATGCAGGAAAAAATATGGTATTTTGAACGTGAAAAATAAATACCAAAAAGGTAAGTAATTGTTTTGAAAAAAATCATATTACATGCTCTTAACTTTTCAAAATGAGGGAAAAGTTTCGATTTCGCATTATTTTGTTTCTTTTGCCTTTTTTTGCCCACTCATTTGAAGTTGCCAAATTTGGCTTCGTATGCATTCCGGTCAAAACTTTTCTTTTCATATATGGCTTGGTATGCATCTGAGGTGGTTTTTATGCTTATTCCAGAAATGCACCCAGCACGCTTCTACGGCACCGCTAATCTTAACTACAAGATCTGTTTTGATTACTGGTTCAATAGCCCATATCTTCAAGTCCTTCTTTACAAACAAGGTCTACTTCTCGAACTCGAATATGCCTACTAAGAAAGAATTGAAGAAACAAGGGCGTGGAAGTATGGCAGAAAAAGTAGCGGTCATAGATAAAGTAAAGCTAAGCCTGGTTTCCTGGTTTGATAACAATAATGGGAATCTTCTTTCTGCCTACGTTGGTAGTGAGCCTACAACAACAAAAAGGCGTTTATTCGACAGAATAAAAAATATGTTGACATACCTTCTTCCCATGCTGTCGATGTCATGGAGGGGATAGATATGTGAGGCAGCAGATCTAGCATATGGGAGGAATAGATCTGCTTGATTCCATGCTGGGTTACTACAGAATCCTTTTGCGGTCTCGTAAGTGGTATAAGAGGATTTTTTTTCACATGGTGGATATGTCTCTCGTAAACGCTTGGTTGTTATAGCGCCGAATCAACAAAGACTGCTACATGCCGTTGTATGACTTTCAACTCGCCGTTTCTGAGCATATGCGAAAGGCAGAGAAACCTGTTTTACTAAGAAACGTGGTCGTCCATCCAGCATTCTGGGGACACTATTAAAATGTATAGTATAAAAGGACAAATAGCCTCTGTACGTGACATCTTGCTCGGCTTGCTTTTAAACTGGGAGTACTCTATCCTGTAATATAGTACTAAGTCCATGGTTCCATCACCTCACCCCGCACTAAGATTCTTTCTTCCCTTTCTTCCCTTTCGTAAATAGATCTGCATTCATTGCAGATTCCATAGCCGAAATTCATTCACAAATCTCCCATCTCACTCACTTCGTTTCATTCGTTTATCAGTCAGTCATAGAGGTGTAAAAGTAACGAATAAAAGCGTACTCATATGTATTCGTTACTATGACAATTATTAATCGTTATTTACGTATCGTTACGTTACTCGTTACTTCTGATACCTCCTAATACCTATGGTATGTTAGAGCAATCAATCAAATCGTATGAGGAAGTATAAAAAAAAATTAGTTCCCGAAATCCACAACGTACCGCACCAAATGTAGCTGCGGTACGTTGTGGATTTCTTCATGACAACCCTTCCGGTTTCCTTTCATGTTTAAAAGTAAATTAGTTTTCAAAACTCAATAAACAACTCATATTCTATTTGTACTTTTTCGTATTTGTATTGATATCTAAGTTTCGAACTTTTCAAATTTCAGATTTTGTCACCCTATAATTGGTATATATATTAGATTTAAACCTAACTGTAATTTACTGGAGTAAGTTGAAATATGTATGCTGTTGGTTGTCCATATGAAATAAATAAATAAATAGGAAGGAAAATGACTGTCTTTGGTCCATTCGTTTCCTGCAAAAATCAACTTTTGCTGGAGTCAGCATCTAGTGAAGGTGCTTTTTTAGTGCTTTCGTTTTTTAAAATACTTCCTCATTACGTATGTCAATGGCGTTTTATTTTTATACATCATTACTACGCGTATTGTAATGATGTATAAATTTGTAGAAAAAATAGTTATTACCCACTAAAAAAATATTGTTTACAATAACATCTTTATGCCATTTTTATATTTGATCAATTTTGCATTCACAAGGCTATACTGAAAAATAATCTTAATAAAAAATACTTAAAAAGTTTGGGTAAATTGCCTGTATAGGATACACTGTCTTAGCGAAAAAGTGACTAGTACTTGAAAAATTCGTCAGGCCTGTTAGGTCTTGGGTAGCTCTGTGGTTAGAGCAGTCGCTCGAATTGCTAAAGGTTATGGGTGCGAGTCCCATCTCAGAGTGCCAGGGACAAAGTGGATTTTTAAGCATTTTTCATTAAGAATCTGTATCTTATATTCTTATAATAAAATTAACCACAATAATAAAATAAAAATACATTCATGCAAATTGAAATTATAAAGTCAATCTTTTTATTAAGAATTAAATTGAATACGCATCGTCGATACTTGTACATAAAACTGAAACAGGTACAAAAAATACTAGTAACGAAATACATTTGTAAGTATCTCGGTACTAGATGTCGCACCCGTTACCCAGTACCGAAACATACGATTTGCTCAGCTCTAGTCAGTCAGTCACATCACGTCAGTTGGTTCAGTTTTGATGAATTGCGATAGTATGTAAATTATTACAAGATCACGGTTCTTAGGATTGCATGCTTATTTCAATTTGAAGTTCTTTTATTGTATTGTTTTTACGCGTTAAACAATGGCAAATACTCCAGAAATCACCGGCCCCATTTCACAGGAAGATATAGAGGCTGCTGAGAAATTTAAAAATGAAGCTAATGAATACTTTAAAAGTAAGTAAATAATTTATATTGCAGTTTTAACTTATATATTGATATAGAAATTATAACATTGATTAAATATAGTATCGATCGTGATGAAAAATAACACTTTGACAGACATAACCTAAAAATTTTTACAGAGCAAAATTACAATTCTGCTATCGAATATTACTCGAAGGCTATAGAGAAGAACCCCAATAATGCTGTATTCTATGCCAATAGAAGTATAGCGAACCTTCGGTTAGAAAATTTTGGTTACGCTTTGATAGACGCATCGAAAGCCATAGAATTGGACAAGTGTTATACTAAGGCATATTACAGGAGGGCTGCAGCCCATATGTCATTAGGAAAATACAAATTAGCACTTAAGGATTTCGAATATGTAAGTATTAAGAGTTTCTGTATTCTTTCTACTTTTCGTTTTCACTTATTGAAGCACATGGCTGTCTTGTATTTGTAAACATATTATTTAGTAGCTAGAATAGCTAGAATATACCTTTCAACTGCTAAAACAATTTTTCATATAGCTGCTCTAGTTCATGAGTTGGCCTCCTCATGTGTACATGGATTGTATACCTATTATCAAATGTGTAACATCTAACAATTTTGGCTTAAATAAATAATTGATTTGGAACACTAAAATCTTGTGTAGGAGTATGCAATTGTTTTCACTATAATTATTAGAAATTTGCCTTTGATACTATTCTATAATATTAAATATATTTCATAATAATTGCTTATATGAATTTAGTGATATGGTGATAAGCATGTTTGGTATACAATGCAGAGTCTAAGCACTTTTAAACAAATTTATGATGTACTCTATGCTTTTAAAGGCATGTCATTAGTCCTGTCTGGATCTGCAGTGATTTAACACTGACCATTTGAACTGAGCAGAAGTGGTGGATTGTGGCCCATTCTCCTGATTCAATTAATTCCATCCTTAAGGAAAGCCTGTGCCCCAGCAGTGGGGATATTATAGGCTGATGATGATCATATTTGCTTTAATTATTTTATGAAAGAATTTTTATGCTCTTAATAGTATAACTGCACCAATTTTTAATTATTTTATCTAAAACATGAGGTAGCAGGTCATTCAACCACAATATGTCATATTTCCTAAGTTGATTTTGAACTCTACTACTAACACATTAAGGTTTCAAATTGGACATATTTATGGTAAATATTTTACTGTACATATTTATGATAGTAAATTTTTCTTCATAACAATAGTGTAACTCATGAACTATTTAATTAATCAATAGTACAAATTATTACTGTATAATTATTTAGAGAATATTTTCACTTGAATTAAATTTTTTTGGAATTTAATATTTTTTGTTCTGAACAAACTTCAAAACAAAGGTTTCTGCTCAAAATAGGAAAACCTGGTTAATAATCTTTATTTGCTGGTATTTTGCAAACTGTTCCCAAGTATGCATGGGTCATTCAGTTTGTATACTTAATGTAACTTTTAACTTCTGCATCAGTATTTATGCAAACCAGCCTTGTAATAAATGTTTTTAACTACTTGAACATTCAAATTGGAAACTGTCATCTCTTAGAAACTTATAGCTTGAAGTTTCTAATTAGTTACAGTATGCATTTATAGATATCATATAGACTTATCACACAATATATAAGTTACAGACTATTCAGTTGTACTATTTTTTAATAAAGGGTTATGTATATTTAGTATTAAGTACGAAAACCACAGATAAGTACATAATCATTGAAGTTGCCAACAAGAAATGTTTTATCCATGTTACCACTAGTGGCCCCTTTAGTAACCATGATGTAAGTAAACTAAAAAATGTTTGGTTAGAGTAGTTACAAAATACAAAGGGTTTAGCCGGATACATATGACATATCACGCAATTTTTATGGGTGATAGAGCACACAAAGGAGCATAACATATATTAATTTCGTGATTGTAAGTCACAGACAACTCAGAAAAAAAAACATGATTTTTTTATTTTTTATTTTTTTTATGTATTTTTTTATTCTAAAAATTAAAAAAAAATATACGTGATATACTCTGTAATGTAACCTAACACCTCGCGTTAGTTTCACTTCTTTATCTTAATTAGCTTCAGAGATATATCACATTCAGTAATGGTCAAGCATACGGATATTTTGCTCTCTATCTCAAGGTCAAAGCGGAAGTCGGTCGCGAAAAGTACATAAATCGTGTTTGAACATCAAGTCTATATTAAAACATAAGTTTCGATATCGATTCCCATTTGGGGGCCGACTCGTCATACGTATCCGGCTAAACCCTTTAGCCATACCTATGGCTTACCATATACCTGTAGTTGTTTTGATAGCCAAATAGTATTAAATTGTGTTTTTCTTTTTAGGTAACCAAAGTTAGGCCAAATGATCAAGATGCTAAAAAGAAGTATAATGAATGTAATAAAATTGCCTTGAAAATTGCCTTTGAAAAAGCCATATCTGTTGATAAAAAGGAAGTTAACATTGCTGATTCCATCAATTTAGATGCTATGAGTGAGTATTCACTTTATGTATCTACACAGAAGCTGAAACCTATTTATGCATGGGTTGTGTTTTAGTTCACATCTTGTTAAATCAAAGAGAAAAATCTTGTGAAATTTTGCTGACCCACTACTAATTTCTTCTGATCCTTTGTACTCACTCTCTCGAGAGAGAATGAGAGTCGCCCCCCCTCAATCTTCCTATCTATCTCTAACTAGATTAACATCTCAAAATTAAAACAACAATTTTAACTTTTAAACTCGAACTGTCATTCTACAGCCATTGAGGATGAATATGAGGGTCCTGAGATGGAAGATGGCAAGGTGACACTGAAGTTTGTAACGGAACTGATGGAGTTCTACAAACAACAGAAGAAACTTCACAAGAAATATGCTTACAAGGTATATTTGAAAACATAAAAAGAATAATTTCACTTAACCTCAAAATGTCAAATATCTTATTAATTTGAACTTTCCTTTTAATAGATTAAAGTTAAAAATTGAATGCAGACATTCGAAGTTTTGAGTACACTTCATTTGTGCTAAAGATTACTCAACACATTCATTCATATTACTGAGAAAGAAACAATATGATTTCATAGTATATATTTGTGCATTGAATGAGTGACCTAAACAAACAAAAAATATCAAATTTGTGATAAATTTCGTATTGTCACTTGCAGAGCGCAATCTGGCTTCTCATATCACAAAGTATAAAAATTTGTCTTTTGTCCTCCATAATAATTCGATTGTTTCACTTATTTCAGATATTGATAGATGTAAAGGCGTACTTACAAAAACAACCTTCACTAGTTGACATAAAGGTGCCCGACGAAGCCAAGTTCACAGTCTGCGGTGATATACACGGACAATACTATGATTTAATGAATATATTCAAACTAAACGGACTGCCTTCGGAGACAAACCCTTTCCTGTTCAATGGCGACTTTGTAGATCGGGGGTCCTTCAGCGTAGAATGCATCTTTACACTGTTCAGCTTTAAACTTTTATTTCCTAATCACTTTTTCATGTCTAGAGGTGAGTAAAATAAAACCAATAATTTATTGTATACAGCAGCGTGTCGAATTACCACAATGTATCAGTTTAACAGTCAGTGGCGTAACTACAGGGTACAAGTCTGCACAATGTCACGGGCCCCCAGCTGGAAGGGGCCCCCGGTCAGAGGAGACTCCTTTCTCCTGACATTTATAACACAATTAGTAAAAAAAAATAGAATATCCGAGGTATTTGCCATGGGTCTCAAACAGTGTAGTTACGCCACAGTTAACAGTTGTCCATAGTGTTTGGACATCACTGCAGTTATTTTGGTCGGATAATGGTTTAAACCTAGTGCTAAAGTTAATCCTCATTTTATAATAAGACAGTAAGTGTTGTATGTTGACAACTTGAATTTCATTTTACAATTGGTGAATTTATTATTGCCATCAGGCATTCTTTACTAGTCAACTGGAGAGTCGTAGCAAAGAACTTTAGAAAGGCGGTATTAAAATTCCTTAATCAATATAAAACTGCGTTATCAGCGTTACGAAATCGCTGACTATGATATTGATATTTTTCACTTTTTATTTGTGAAATTAAAAAAAAAAGTGAGAGTGCTTTTCGCTAAAATAAGGAACAAAACAATAAATAAAATAGGGACTTATCAATGTCAAAACAAATTTTATTTTCTTTTTCATTTCTATAGTTTTTCAAATATGTATAAACATTTTTAATTAATTTATGAGACAACTATTATTACCATGTTGTGTATGACCTAAAATTATATTGTCGAATGTGTATTATTTTTTATGACTGTCATTTTGCCAGGTAACCACGAGACGCTAGACATGAATCGGATGTACGGCTTCAGAGGGGAAGTGACGTCAAAGTACACGTCACAGATGGCGGATCTGTTCACGGAGGTGTACAATTGGTTGCCACTGGCGCATTGCATCAACGGCAGGGTGTTAGTTATGCACGGAGGGTTATTCTCGAAGGATGACGTCACACTAGACGATATCAGGAGAGTGGATAGAAACAAACAACCCCCTGAAGACGGTGAGTCACTTGAGTAATAAATCTATTTTGAAAATATTTTTACTGCTTGAGAGATGAATCGACCTGTTTCTGAAGGCAATGGTTATGTACTAATGCAGAAAGGTTATGTATAAAAAAACTAATGCAGTGCACTATGTGTATCCAGATAGTACACTGCTTTAGTTTTTTTTTATATATTCAACTCATTTAGGCATCTCTATGTTTGTTTTTTTTTTTTTCAATACGTCGGTTTAGTCTTCCTGGATTAAAAAATAGTTTTTGTAAATTCATAAATGCAATATTTTTGTCACAACGTGATCCCTCCCGCATCCTATAGTTTAAGACTCCCACATGGACCATTATCAATGTTACATTCTGTATATTTTCGAAACCTACTTGCTTCATTCTCAGTATTATCTATACAACAATATCACTCTATAGTTTCACCAATATCACTCAAAAATTAGTAAAAATCAACATGTGGACCGCACAACTCACAACTCGGAGGCTTGCATAATCGCATTGAGCTAGCTGAATGATATTAAATTGATAACCTTCCATCAAACTTACTCGAAGCGAGTCGTCATGCTTGATTCTAGTGTCCTTACATGTCCACAAGTCGAGCATAGACAATATGCCAAAAACAGTATCTTTATAATGCATCCAGCCTCCGTTGGTCAATCGGCTCCAACATTTCAATAATACTGAACATTGTGAGTCGTCCAATAGATCAGTGAAAGAAAATGGCTAATTGACTGTTGTAGGAGAAGTATTTTAAAACTTTCATATTATCATATTAAACGACTATCAGATATATTTCCGCCCAAAGTGTTAAAAAATAAAGGAAAAGCATATTTTATTCATTATTTAAATTTTCCCCTGAAAACAATCAGTCAGGTGGCATATCGAGCTGTGAAGTCACATTTCAATATGCACGAGTACTGGTTGAAATCACAACAAAGAGGTTGACGTTTAGTTTACTAAAATGTGACGTCACGCGATGCTACGTCATTACCGCCCGCGTTTCGTTACCGATCGAAGTAGAAGCTGGTCATAAATCGCCTTATAATTGTAGGTTTTGTGTTAAATATATCAAAGAATGTTTGTTGGCAAAACCGTTTAGCAAAGAACCAGCCCTATAGGAGAATGAATTTCCCCATTACAGTAAGAGATTATATAATATAATAATTATGATGATACTGAAGATTTTATCCTTCCATCATTATAAGGATTTCTTATTGTCCAATTATTTTAATTACATATAACAAGTCTGTGAATATTATTGTTTAGGAGTTACTAAAACTGCGTCAATTTTGTGTGGATTGTTTTGTGATAATGTAGTCTAAGCCTTGATACTCGTACAATTAAAGTAGTAGTATTAGTATCCGCGGGAAGGAGCGCTGGTGACCTGTGTAACGGGTTTTGTAAAAAATACCTATTTCAGACACCAGCTCTTCACAGTACGGATATATACATAAAAATTGTAATTACTATATTGTTCTAAGAAAAACTATTGTGAAGAGTAAATAAAATAGTTATTTAAGATACGAGTGCGGAAAGTAAGGTTTTACCTTTTTTGTGCGGAAAAACCTTTTTTTACGCTCAAGTTTCTTACAACATTTTTCAATGCTTTTTGAAAGGAAATAAAACAAATATATAGCTTAATAAAACTAAGCATGTATTAAAGGTAAAAATTATTTGTTAAAATTAAACGTGATATTTGAACATGTTTCGTGTTATACATTTTTATTTGAAAATATTCGTTCTAGGCTCCTTGAAATACTTTTGCCTCTAAAGTTTGACATATTTTCATCAATTTCTTTAATGCCGCGACCGCACGTTTGGCACTTGATGCAAATTCCAAACCTCTGCAAACGTTTGGCTTCATTTAGGGAATCAAACATCGCCATCCACACGCTTGCGAGTGATTTAGTGTGTTCTGAAGAGCGAAGCATAACGGATATTGAGGTTATTTCGGCCATAACATTTTGTTTAATTTATTTTTGCATGGTCCTGTCTGGTAAAGTTCCTGAAAATTTAAAATATCTTCACTTGACCAGTCACTCATGTTTTTACACAATACAAGCGTACATCTACTCACCACCAGCACACAAACGAGACGCGCAAACGTGTGGACGCGTCGCAAGCGCTGGCGCAAACTTCCATTGATTTGTGACAAAAAACCGACATTCGATCGGATCGACTACAAACGCTTACAAGTCAACACAAACCAAGGCAAACACTCTATTCACACGTTTGAGTTTGCTGCGGCTTGTTGAGGTTTGGCAAGCGTGCGGACGCGGCATAAAATTTCTTTGGTGCTCGGCCAAAAACAAATTTAAAAAAATACTTTTAAGCACATCTGCAGTAAAGGATTTCAGTACATTTTTATTTAACACGTGTTTAAAGATTCACTTTCGGTGTTTACGATGGATTAAAAAAAAAAGCGCTTTATGAGTAACTGCATTGAAAAATAAATAAAACGAAAATGATATAAGAGTGATGGTAACCCCCCCCCCAGGTATAATGTGCGAGTTGCTCTGGTCGGACCCGCAGCCGATGGCCGGTCGGGCGCCGTCGCGTCGCGGCGTCGGCTGCCAGTTCGGGCCCGACGTGACCGCCGCCTTCTGCGACCGCAACGGGCTCGACTACATCATACGCAGCCACGAGGTCAAGAACGACGGGTACGAGGTCGCGCACGACGGTAAATGTATCACCGTGTTCTCAGCGCCCAATTACTGGTGAGTCGTCTGTTTATGAGATACGGTCACGGGATGGGTGACCAAAAAATATTATGTCACTGTCCAATCTGAATTGGGCCAGCGTCATAGCCCATCCTTCCTTAACAATCCGTGAGGAAGGCCTGAGCCCTTGCAATGGGGACGTAAAAGGGCTGATGACGATGACAAATACACAAAGCGTGTGATGTCATTAAAAAAAGGCTCCTTGATAACTACGTGAGCGAGGACTATGTGATTTTAACATGAAATGTTTAATAGTTTTTTACTGATGTCAGTCATAGATAGTTTTATATTGCTATGGAGACAACTAAAAAATAAAAATATCAATCAAATTCAAACGGATCATGAAATAATAATAAAAAAGAAAGCTATATTCCATTCATTATAACATTAGAAAAAAGAGGAACTCAGAAGCAGCAGTGCAGAACATTTTATTTACAAGATAAATTTAAAAAAATATTTATAATAGTTTTGTTGAAATTTTGAACTTTAGGAAGTCTGAAAGAGTTGGCCAATTTTACATTTTCTTGGGGTTGAGATGAGACTAGCATTTTCTAAATTCATCTTAAAAGAAATAAAACTATCTATCTGTTGTTTTGATTGATTCTAATTGTAAATGTATATAATAAGAATATAATTTAGTTATATCTATGATCAGAAAATAAAGGTAAACAGAATGAAATTTTTATTATTACTGTTATAACATTTATTCAGATATTATTTAGACTATTGATTAAGATATTGGAAAAACTTGCTGAAATATCAAAGGTAACTGTTGTAGGCCTCTCGGGCCTGCACCGGAATCGCAATTTAGCAAAACTTAACAACAAAAATATAACAACTAAAACAAAACTATAAGAAAACAACAATAAAACAGTAATTACTTAATCACCGAAAGTGGCAAAACAACAAGAAAGGCATTCACAATGAATGACAATCCCAGATTACGTATTTTGACTATTATGAATAAATCATAAACTGAAAAAATTAAAAAGCTCTACTGCCGAAACGTTTAAAGGGATTAGGCAACGTTTTAAATTTGGTAGAGTTATAGTGACATGAGAATCGTGCCGAAACTATCTAACCCTGCTTCTTTAGGTTCTTTAAGATGAACATTTTTTATTGTAATAATTATTAAATGTTTTAAGTCAGTCAAATGCTCATAAATTTGTTTAATATGTAGCTCAAAAGACAACGGTTAAGTATAGCAGCTGGTATATAAGTGGATATGTAGCAAATTAGCCGTTAGTTTTAAGAGTGACATGATTGTTGACATTTTGTTTCAAAGTATACCATAAAAAGAACCTTATTTTCATTCTGTCTAATGCTATAATGAATGGAGTATAGATACTTAAAATAGACAAGACAATATGCCACATTCCAACCAGTTTCTAACACTATGTATTTTCATAAAATCTTACAAAATAATACGACAAGGAATACTTTTCTTTATCCTAATTATATTTGAGATTTCAAATAATCAATAATATATACATAAGATTTATAAGCCAAAAATTATGATTAAATATACGAAAAGATATGACAAAACGGTAATATCAAAGTATATTAGAAATAAGAGTGTTATGAATTTCATTTTTTTTTTTCTTTTAAACCGCAACTTTTGTAGGTTTACTGTAAATTGCTATGCTGCACTCGTAGCATAACGAACTCGATAGTCTCGAGAAAGACACGAGATACTCGAGAAACGGTTGGGAACGAGATATGATCATACAATATCTCACTCTCGTTTTCGATCGTGTCTGTTTTATCGAGTTTATCAGGATATGGTTGTTACAGCCTTTTTTCTTTCTCTAGATTGCAACATGTACTCAACGACCTTTGTCTTTGCGTAAGTATTCACTATTTTTATTTTTTGTTTTCAGTGACACAATGGGTAACTTAGGCGCCTTCATAACGATGAACGGCAAAGATTTGACGCCCAAATTCACTACGTATGAAGCAGTGGTGAGTTATGATCTTATTTAGAATTATTTTTTGCATCTTCACTAACGTTCAATGAGGTGTTATAGATTAAAAGGAATCTATATCATTTTCTAACCTCCAAACACAATTTCTCATTTTATAATGTTAGAATGAATGTGTAATAATCAGAGGTCGGAATTAGGTAGAGTTATTTATGTACTTGCATCGAAATGTTGATATTAATGTGGACCTTCCCGGGATTTCTTTATTTCTTTCTTTCATCGATGTAAGTTTGGCAACGTCGTGCGTGCAGTAGTTTAAATTGTGTAAAAGTAAATAACTTTTAATTTAAAAAATCACGGGATTTTTTCTGCTCTTTAAAATTAATCTCGGGATTTGAGGCATATCCACTTTATTCTTTCGCTGTATGAAATCAGTGTAAGTACATGAATAACTCTACCTAATTCCGACCACTGGTAATAATGGAACCATGTTATTATAATGCTTTGGATATATTGGACTATAATTATAGTCTTCTAACTGGCCATAAGCCACTGCGCAGACCTAGTATGGATATGTGGATTCTTTGTTTGGTCAACCATTATGACCAGCTTTTACGAAAGTTACTTATGTAGTCTTAAATAGATTATTAAAATACATCGTTTTGTTTACGTTTTAGCCTCATCCGGACGTCAAACCTATGGCATACGCGAACTCGTTCTTCAGTTTACTCTGCCAATGATCGCGCTCGCCGCAGCTGCGCACGGCCCGGAAGCGAAAAAGGCGTACCATCTTCCATTTTGTCATAATACCGCACACTAAAATGGCGGATGCACTTCCGGCAATGGTGGATAGTGAGGTGGAGTTTTATTTTTATTACCATTTAAGAAACACTGGATGATTTAGAAACTAAATTTAAACATTTTAAATCTAAATATAAAAAATACAATAATAAAATATACAACAACATAATTAAATTATAATTTCTTTAACAAAGAAACCGAATTCGACCAAATATTTAGTGATCTAAGTAATGTCGGCATACATTTATTTATATTATAGGGCGTGTTTAAATAAATCTAACCTATCTGGTTTTTTATCCATTTTTTAGCAATATATGATTTTAATATTATTTTTTAGACTATTATATTGAACATATTTTTATCAATTGTACATTATAGAAACTTTCAAAATCAACCACTAGATTTCATCCACTCACGCTCGATAACTCACTACTGACGTTGTTAGCTCACAGTCAATAAATCACTTTGCGTTGATAACTCACTTTTGTAGTCAATCATTCACAGTTTCACTATTCGCTAATATTTAAACATGCCCAAATATAAATACAATTTAATTTTAACATAATGCCATTAGTGAAATATAACTATTACAATTATTTCTAATGAAAAATTACTATTGTTTTAACATTCGCTTTACTACGTTCTTATAACACAATTAGTTAACCGTACAGAAAACATAAGCTTACAATTTAGCTTACACATAATAATTTATACAAACTGCTCAACGCTTATAAAACCAAGGTTAGTGCTGTCATTTTGAGGATAATACTTAATAAAATGAAGATCTTCCGACAGGACATTTCTCTACGACAATACGGTACGCCTTTTATGGGAAGGCTTATTCACAACGAGCTTACACTGCATTTGTTGTCTCTTTCCCTCGAGGTGGCTTTGCGGGGAACAATGTGTAGCGACTGCTAACTTCTTGTATAATACTAGCTTGTAAGTTCTAGATATTATTATGTAATTTTCGTTGTTATTTACACAAGATTATTTTGTCACTGGCGACATGGACCGTAATATTTTTTTTATTATAGAAATTAAAAAAATAATCTAATCTGCGCCATTGTTTTTATTGAGCGTAATATTTGAATATTCTACAATTATGTTGTATTATAATATAGGTGAACGATATTTTTTTATTGTATTAGAAAATATTATTACGGTTCTTGTAGCATGCAAGATTGGGAGCGTTACTATCGTAAAGAACGCTCTTGCAACAAGCCATAATTGATTATTATTATTTTATTTTATTTTTTAATGTATTAGAACAATTTTGTTTTATTTCGTCACATCACAGGTGATGTCAAAGATTCTTTTATAAGATAACTTGGATGAATTTATTTATCGTACTGGACTATTATTAATAAAGTCACGCTGCATTTTCTCTGCATTACAATGGAGTTGCTGTGTTTTTGAAAACTAAATAACTGACTGCTATAATAAATTAGATAGAACAATTTGAGAATCGGCAAACTCTAAAGTTGTATTAGTGTGGATATATATATTTTTTATTTTACTACTTAAAAAAGCAATAAAATTTTAATTATAGACGTTGTAATTACTTTGTTTCCTTGCTAATCATAAACGTAACTGTGAAAGTAAACATTATGAAGGTAACAGAAGGAATATCCATACATTTATAACGTTATAACTTGCATCTTTTTTTCTGTTTTCCTGATAAACATATCTTTAGGAAATCTACAGTCTATTCAACTTCCTCTGAGACAAAATGTAAACAAATAAACCAATGTTTCTCAAACTTTTTTATTGATGTTGGTATGTAAATAAAATTTGTTAATGGGACAAATTATTGTATGGTAGGTATGCAATACAATAAGTCTATTTCTTTTACAAATAGCAATTGTAAGAGTCACATAATATTATTCAGAATCTTCTTCGTCTTCCTCTGAGGAACTAGTCGCACCAACTTCTACCACAAAACGGTCAACCAAATCATCTATGATACCATTAATTTTTAAAAAATGTTGTTCTTCCTTTATGACATGGTCAATGCACTTTAGCACAGTTCCTACTGTTACCCTTTTTAGAGCATCGGTTAAAAAAGATTTTATTTCATTTAACTTAAAACTTAGCAATAACAGTAAACAACAAACTTAACAACTGGAATAAACAAATAACAAGAATTTAACGAAAGCATTTGCACGAGTCAACGAGTTGATCGAGAGTAAAAATGGCCGGTTATAACCCGACTAATTACAAAATTTCACGTTTCTACGTAAAGTATTCGTCTTATCACTACTCCTCAATTTAGTAGTTTTACAATACGTCCAGTTTTTGGGAACAGCTTCAATTTTAGGTATTTTTAATGTTACTTTCTTTTTTAATTAATTCTAAATGCATTTATATTTTGACATATTAAAGAACCTTTTTCCAGTTTGTTTACATTCTGTCTCAGAGGAAGATGAATAGACTATAGGATTGCCTTAATCAGACACTACACATAGTTTACTAACCAGACATTAACACAAATGAGTTGAAAAGTAAACTCGAAGGTTACCATTGCACTCTAGCGCCATTTTACGGTATATAAATGGATTGTGTATACATTGATATGATGTAGTTAAAAAAAAAATATTTAACAATGCCTTATATTGGTATACTATCTTAATTCTCTTTACAGAGGTAGTTGGCGCTGTATAATTATTATGTCACAGCCGACTGTATTATTCAAGTCTAGATTGAGCAAGTATGACATATAAAACGTTCAAAAAGATCGCTGACTTAAACTCCATGTATCGTTGTATAATGGCATTATTTGTTTTTTTTTTTTTGTCATCCTTTATACCTTTCGTGATATTACTGTGTATTTATACTGATTATTATAATTTCTTAAAGCTATATTTCTACCTTTTAAAAAACCTACCTTTTTTTATTCTTTGTAAAATCGTTTTCCTGCTAAAATAGACACTTGTTAATAACGTTTTATGACCACTTAAGCATTTAAATTTATAAGAAGCAATAATTACTATTTCTAAGACTGTTGATGCATTAAGCCTTTAACTAAATTAGGTGCTTTTGAATATATTAGGCGAGATTTTGTTGCACTCTGTCTCTCTTAGAAAGATAGGTGACGAGTATTATTAGAACTGCCAATTTTAAGTAGCAATTAAATGAAAATAGTTTTAAAAGATACTGTAATTGGGTTGAAAATTAAATTATCTATCTTATTTTTACCCATTTTTAGTGTGAGAAAAGTGTGTAATTTTATGTGCAACAAAATCGAAGGCTGTTATATTTTTTTAGAAAATTCAACTTTTTAGGTAATATGTAGAAAGGAAATTTCGATTGATAATGCTCCTACAGTATTTAATCACAAATGATGTCATAAACGCACACGATTATATAACGGCGAAGTAATAAATTCAATTAAAAAATAATCCTTATTGCTAAATACCCTATAAGTAGTAGCGAAAAAATAAAGAGTGCTTGAAAAATTCGTCAGTCCCATTAGGTCCTAGGTCATGGGTTCGACTGCCATCTCAGAGTGCCAGGGACAAAGTTGTTTATTTAAGCATTTTCCATTAAGAATACCTTATTGCTATTTTATATATCGATTTATATGTTAAAAAATCGTGTGAATGAATTAGTTGCCAAACCATTCCTTATGGAGAATGTTATAGAGTTGTCTTTACGTCTCTGTAGTACAAACTTTAACATAACAGCTGATTTTCTGAACTACCGTCACAAACAACTATTATTATCTTTATTGTTATAAAATCAAATTTGTATTGAAAAACCAGTTTTAGTATTTATTACCATGTAGCTTATATTCTAAGCTTTATATGGTGTCATTTAGATTACTGATAAAATATGAAACCGGTTATGGCTTAAGTCCATTAATTAAACAGAGAACATTGTTGTCTTCTGATAGATATCGTCAACTTTTTAGATTTACTTTACTATGACAAATTTGGCTAGATGCATATGCGCGAGCGCAATATGTTTGCGTACGAGTGTAAGAGATACCTGGATGTTGTACGAAACTGTTCAGCGACCGGACTTCAGCGCTCTGGCCTATCCAGTTAAACAAAGTTTTCTATGGCATTGAATTGAATAGATATGTTGTACGGACGATTAAGGTAGCTGACCTCACCCGTACAACAATAGCCAATACTCATTATTAAGTCATTCGCTCTATAATACTTTTAATTATAGTTCGTTTATTCACTTGCCCTAATCAAAGACTTTAAAGAATGTGATGATGGCACTGTATAAGACAGCAATAGATTTCACTAAAAAGCTGTGGGCAAACAAACTTTTTGAACGTTTATTTCCAAATATGCAGCAAAGATGTATGATTGGATAAAATTTTAAAAAAATCCTACTATGCTTGACTACTTTACTCTTTGCTCACTACTCTGTGATTGGCATTTACAACGAGACAATTTACGATATACGCTAATGCTGCATTCCGGTGACATAAATTTGTAGTAATACATCCTATTAATTGGAAACGCAATAAACGTTGCAATTTTAAAACGTATTAGACAAAATACTCCATTATATTAAGCAAGGTTAAACATATAACCAGTGGTCGGAATTAGGTTGAGTTATTCATGTACTTACACTGATTTCATACAACGAAAGAATAAAGTGGATATGCCTCAAACCCCGAGATTAATTTTAAAGAGCAGAAAAAATCCCGTGATTTTTTAAATAAAAAGTCATTTACTTTTACACACTTTAAACTACTGCACGCACGACGTTGCCAAACTTACACCAATGAAGGAAGGAAATAAAGAAAGAAGAAATAAAGAAATCCCGGGAAGGTCCACATTAATATCAACATTTCGATGCAAGTACATAAATAACTCTACCTAATTCCGACCTCTGCATATAACATATTGAATAAAACGAAACTAACTGTTGTATTAACGGTATGTAGAATATGAGTTCTCGTGTATGAAATATTAAATTAATTCTTTATTATTTATACTTATTTAAATGTCGATAACGTTTTAAAATTAATTAAAACTGTATTAAAGGATACTATACTCAGTCAGTCGAGCAATTGCCTCTAGTTGCGTGCTGCTCGCACCGATGATGTCCAGAACGGTTCATACAATCAAGTCGCGCGTTTCACTTTGCGGCCTTAAACTGTTCTTCATAATTTGGTGCATAAAATAAAGGAATACTGTTTTTTTATACGAATTATGGTGACATATTCGAAAAATTTACTTTTAATACTACCCCTTCTTATTTGTCAATAGATATGTTACAAATTAAAGCAACCATGAATAAAAAAAGAAGTTCCCGTGAAAGATGCATATTAATACATACTTTAAGGTTGAATGCAATCTATCGTCAGATAATTCGATATACCTCCTTTCTTCTTTTTTCTACCGCGAAAGAGAGAAAAGGGTAAACTGCTTAAGTTTGGAGAGAAACAATCTTAAGCCCAATTTTAATTTTAAGAGTTGGTGCATCTGATGGAAGACGGGTCGCCTCTCGTTGATTGAGGAACTTTAGAACTAACGAATATATGATACTAGTTTCGTCCGCGTGATCAAGAAGATATGCATTTTTTATTTATTTAATGCTTTATGCACTAAGGCGGACTTAATGCCTTAAGCGTTCTCTGCAAGTCAACCTTTACATTACTAAAAAATCCCTTGGTTCCTTTTCCTTCCTAAAAAGAACACCCTTCCAAAATTTGATTTTCTTAGCGCTTGTATTATCTAGATACCTTCTCGAACCTTACGTGCACGATGGTGCAGTGGTCATCCCTTGGTCTGTGATACGGTTGTCAGCAACCGCAAGGGTCGGTCATAGGATAGGCGATCAAAAATTGATTATCTCGAGCTCCTACGTGCTTTGGAAGGCATATTAAGCCGCATTCTCACTATACGATTTGATTCGATTCTATTCATAGGGAAAGCCTGAGTCCCAGCAGTGGGACATTAATACGCTGGTGATGAAGAGTAACCTTTCGCATTTATATATATAGGACATTCAACCTTGTATATTAACAGAGGGGTCCCGTCTTGTCCTTCCGTGAGATGCTTTGACAGGTCTTCCGTTAGATTTGCACCACTAAGTATGCGGGTAGAAATATAAACCTTGTTTTAGCCTTTGTCAATTTTTAAAATGCAGTGACTTGTGACTAGCTTTATTCAACATATGTTTTAACACTACGTTTGCACTGACGAAACATTTACAAAAATAAAATTGGTAACAATTCCCTTTGCCAGCAAAATAGTTATTTATTATTAATTTCAGACCGCACTATGGAAACTTATGAGGGATATTGCTTGCACAATAGCGCCAATTTCGAAAACTTTAGCTTGTAAATATAGATAATGCCAGAGTGAAATGAAAGAAATGGGTAGCATAATCAGCATTTAAGTTGTAGAGTGGGGGCTCGCTACGTCACAGCTATGTAGAAAATGTGTCGAGGTGTGACGTCAGTGATATTTCATAATAAAAAAATACGTATTAAAAATTATCTGATAAACTACTACACTCTACCACATATTTTCACACTGCAAACAATTTTAAACTTAACTACCATCGTATTAAGACTTGATAGTAGAAATTGGTCAGTTTATAAATCTGATTAATTTGTTGACCGAGAATACAGCAACACAACAACATTTAATTTAAAAATATATATTTATGCATAATAGGTTGACTCAATAGTTTATAGATATTATATAGTTTTAGTATGGACTTTACAGTGTTTTTTTGATAAAGTTTCGTTAGTGTGAACCAAATGTAATACTGATCTCTTTCATGTTAACGGAAGTGGAAATTGTCAGTGAAAATCAGACCTTATAAGCAAGCAATGTTACATGCGATGCTCAATACATAATTTATATTTAACATCTTAGTAATAATCGAGGCTAATGGCAAATGTAACGATAAATTTTGGTTCCACATAATATTTTAAACATTCAGTTCAAAATAAGCTTTAGCGCATAGATAATAAAGTTATTTATTTGGTATATTCCAATGTAACTTATTTGTACCTCTCTAATGTTAATCATAATTCTTTATGACTGTGAAATCATTTAATGTAATGTATAAAAACTTAATAAATCACTTAGAAATACTGAACATAATTTATTTGTAAAGTTTTGAATTCTTAAGTATTAAAATCAATATAGAAATATGAGTTAATATCATATTTCTTCGTTTGTCTTCGTTTATTTTAAAAATTATTTAAAAACGGACAGTTTTTCATTACATTTGTCACTAGCCTAAACAAGTTATTTTTAGATGTAGGTACAGTATGTATGTCAACAGTTGAGATCGGACCGTATTCCAGTACGAGTGTACATTTAGGAATTGAGTTTCGAGCATATCAGACGATGTAGATAGGTTTTGGTGTTGACTTTAATTATTAAATAAATTGTTAAATTTGTATAATGTTGGTTTAATTTTTCCTTATATTTTTTGTACTATATTAGTTATTTAACAATAATAATAATAAATAAATGTTTAACAACATCACATACATTGCTCAGATTCCAAGATGAGTAGCTAAAGCCCCCGTATTATGGAGTATCTGAGACAACGAAGGTACCACAACACCCAGACCCGAGTCAATATAGAAAAGTTCATTTACATTGACCCGACCGGGAATCGAACCCGGGATCTCAGAGATGGCGACACCTTGAAACTGGCGTGCGAACCACTCGGCTACGGAGGTCGTCGAAGTTATTTAACAAGGTTTCAATCTCTGAACCGATTTGAGCCAGATACGCCATCATCCTTTTACGTCACTACAGGGGTTCAAGCCTACTTTATTGATGGTTCCTAACAGGTTGGGGGATATTAATGACTACAAATGCAACCGGGACCAAGGGCTTAACATGCCTTTCAAAGCTCGGAGTAACTCGCGATAATATTTTTTTGGTCACCCATCCCGTGACCGGCTTTTGCGAAAGTTTCTTAGCAATAACGATCGCGGGCCACTACGTTAGCGCAACTTCAAGATACGCTATCTTGCTACAAGATATTCTAATTTGATTCAAAGACATAAAATTGTAATTACAATTTACTCTCAACGAGTCAAGTTTTTATTTAACTTTTCACTACCATCAAGATTTTATCATAATAAAACCGCATTTTTGAGATTCTAAAAAAACGTGAATAAAGAGCGGCCATATTTTTTATTGATATTTAATTATTGCTATCATTAACCCATTTATTATATAGAAAAAAGGACAGTATGTAATCGTTCAGCTATATTTTTTTCATATATTTTAGACATCACCGGTATAAGTGTAATACGTAGTTCCATATTTCGGTGTCCGTTGCGCTGTTTTGAGTTTCTAATAAAATACGCAATGTATTTTTTTGTATTAGATAAAATCAAAATATTTTATACGAATTATAATAATTATTTTACACTATAATTATGCACTTACTAAAGGAAGATATTTATATCATGATACATAGATATTTATATAATGCTGTTAAAAGTTGGCTAAGAACCTAACCTTACCTAACATATAAATAAAACATATATTTTTTTTAAATAGTGTAAATATGACGCAGTATGGTACAGATAAATCTCCTTTCATATTTAGATTCACTTACAGTCAGTTGCACAACCGTCCATTAAGATTTGATGACGCTTTATACTCTAATGAATCATCATCAGCCCTTTTACGTCCCCACTGCAGGGGCTCAGGCCTTCCTTATGGATGGTTAAGGAGGATGGGCCATGACCCTCCACGCTGGCCCAATGCGGATTGGAGGGTAATTATACTCTAATGAATAGGTATCAAAAATAGGTAATGTCACTTTAAAGTTAATAAACGTTTGTGCAACTGGTTGTTGGACAAGTCTATACTAAACTATTCATAAATCGCTAAAAAGAGTTCAACATTGTGTTTTGTCGCCTTATACAAGACTTCGCGTATACCATGTTACAGCCCTCCACACGCCGACCCTTCAGGTCATACCCCCGTCCGATCTGGCTGATCGTTCCCCTTCAGGGAATCAGCTGTATTACAATCCGATGTGCCGAGCTCCCCGGGGCTAACGGCTAACGTCTCGATGTCACAATTCACGTAGGTGGATAGTGACGTCTGCGCCCCCCCCCCCCTAGCAGGGGGCGGTCGTTCCGGTCGAAGGTTCGTTGCCTCCGGGCATGTAACCAGCTGTCCAAGGCGGTGTTTAGTCAGTAGGAGTCTGATATAACCTCACAGCCGGCTGTATGGTATCTAACGAAGGATTCACCGCCTCCTTTCCCCGTTGGGAGGGTGGTTCCGAACCCTTAAGGTTGAGAGCCGAAAAAAAAACATGTTAGATTTGAAAATAATCTTTAAAATTGATGCACGGACTTTCGACCCAAAATAAAACTGTCATCTCGATCAAATTTTGTAACAGCAACTCTTTATTCATAACAAATTGGCTTTAATTACGAAGGCACAAGTTGTGTTAACATCTTGACGACAGTCTTCTTGTCCAGCTTGCACTTCGGGTAAGTAACTTGGCAGTCGGTGTCGAGAGATCGGCCCGCTGATACCGCTTCGAAGATAGACGTGCCGTCCAACATACGGCGGACGAGGGAGTTGCTAGCAAAAGAAAAGAAGAGTTCAGATTTACATTTCAAAAACCATCTGTTTCTGCAATAAATTATGCCTTTGGTAAGGCCTGTAGACTATACAGGTGTAGAAGATTTTTGTTATATTTTTTTATTTTTATAGATATACATGAAATATATTTAAAAAACTATATTAAAAAAATCTCTCATATATTAATTTAAAATCTAAAAATAAAATTCATTTGCAAAATTTACCGCTAAAACGCAAACCGCTGTCTTGGCGTCGATGTGACGTCATAGCCCCCCGAAACTAACAAACATCGTTCTATGTATGTCAAAGTTAAATTTATAACATACCCTTAGAGGACTGTGACGTCACGCGCTGTTTGCAGTCACGTGACGACCAGTATAAGTATTTTTCTTCATAATTTACTTAAATAATATTATAAATAAAATAAACACGGTAAGTGTGATTATCGGTAATAGTACATTGAAAACATAAATAAATTGTATTTATTTTCGATTACTGTCTACACCCGTATTAATCAAATTATCTTTAACAACGACTTTAAGCTCCAATAAATGTCTTAAATTTGAAAATTTGTAACGGTAATTTTGCCTTAAACTAATGACAATTTTAATGGACGCTTGGTCAATATGGTTTTCTAAGGACATCATTTTACATCTTGTTACAAGAACAAGATGTAAAAATCTTTCCATATGAATATAATTATTATTATTATTTCTGTATTCTCTGTGTTTTTACCTGTGTTTTTCTGTGTCCTTATTTATTTTAAATCATGAAGAACATGCAAAGAGACTCAATGTTTTAATCTGTATCTCTTGTATATTCAAACTCGAATTACCGTTTGAGAAGCTCAATAACGCAGTAATTAGCGCTCCCGCTCTACAATACAGAGCGCTTAGTGTAAGTTTTTTTGACGTTTACGTTCACTGATTTTAGTATGGAATCCGGCACAGCGCCAGCGGTAACTATCAAGAACTACAAATCTCCATACAAATTCTTAACGCGCTCACTAGTGAACGCGTTAGCGTAAAACTTACACTTACCACTCAGATGTCAAACAACTTTCGGAAGGGCAGGTCATAGATTGGGTGAACAAAATATTATCTCGGTATTCGGAAGACGCATTAAGCCGTTGTTCCCGGCTGCATCTGCAATCGTTAACTCCCATCAAACCGCACCCGCTCGGTGGGTTCTCCATATTCACAAGATTAAATCAATACATTAAGGAAGGAAGGCGTATGCCCTAACAATTCACTAACGTTGATAATGAAGAGAGTAGAGCATCGAAGTCGGTAGCGTTTCCTGTGATCATGTTCTCGTTGGCTAGTTGCACGTAGGAGCAGGCCAGGCGCTGCATGCACGCGCTCGAGTCTATATTATAACGGTTCAGTGTGTCGTCCAGCTTGTTCAGCATCTCGGACAACTGGGACATATCTGTTTCGATGCCTGGAAAAAACACAAATATATGAAATTATTTATAATACACAATTTCTCAGACCTCAAACTCAAACAAATTGAAAAGTCCTTGTGTTGGATGAATATGCCACGACATCCAGATTCGAGGGATAGGGGTATAGACAAGTTTCTTAAAATATTTTGATAATACACTAGCTTTTGCCAGCGACTTCGCCCGCGTGGACCCTAGGGAAATGTTTAGTGGGATAAAAAGTCCTATTATCTAAGTCAGCTAATATCCTATCTGTATACCAAATTTCATCAAAATCCGTTCAGTAGTTTCGGCGTGATTGACGGACAAACATAAACATCCAAATAAAGAAACTTTCACATTTATAATATTAATAGGATAGGATGAAATATATCTACAGAAAATATTATAAAAAACATTGATATAAGAACTCAAAATCTAAAAAAAATAATAATTTTAAAAATTTTCCGCGAAAACTCCACTTCTGTTTTGAGGTCACGGAACTCTGAAACGAATATCATTCTATGTATGCATAAGGTTAAATTGTCTTAGGTCTGATATGAGTAAGAAGGGCGTGACGTCACGCACTGTTTGCGGTCACGTGACAACAAGCATAATATATTTGTTTTTCATAATTAATTTAAGCAATATTATAGATATATTAAGCATAAAAGTGTGATATACTATAGTTTACAGTCTACACGTGTATTGTAGTAGGTAATTATCATTTTGTATCCGATCGGAATCCAACCCGCTATTCTATATGTCCACATATTGAAAACGGCGTGTGAGCCATTCGGCCATAAAGATGATTAAAATACAGCAATCTTTTTAGGGTTCCGAATCTGAAGGGTAACCCTATTACTAAGATCTCGCTGTTTGTCTGTCACCAGGCTGTATATCATGAACCATGGACAGTTGAAATTTTAACATATGATGTATTTCTGTTGCCGCTTCAACAACAAATACTAAAAACCAAAATAAAATAAATATTTAGAGGGACGGAACCCTACATTCGCGAATCCGACTCGCAATTTTTTTTATATTTAACTAGCTGACCCGACAGACTTCGTCCTGTCAAAAAGATTTGTAATGCGGCAGTTTTTTTGCCTACGTATTTAAAAAAATTCTCCTGAACAGAACCGTCACCCTGGTGATAGGGCGTTGTGAATAAAAAATAATTAAATAAAACATATATAAGGATTTAAAAGTAAGTAATCGCTTTATTGTTAATCATGTGAATCATAATTATTATTGCAATGTATTAATAGTAATAGTATTAAATATAGAAAAAAGAGATTTTTATGATCATAAAAACACATTACACACAACAGCATTATAAAAGTAAACTATTCGAATTAAAAAAATATATAAACATTCTCAAGGAAAAATGCTGGAAGAATCCATCTACCTGTACCCCGGAATGGGACTCGAACCCATTCGCGATCCAGGGACTGCTCTAACCAATGAGCTATCTAGGACCCAACAGCTTTGCTACTACAGAGCGTATTTTCATCAATGTTCCGGCAATACATGTAATGACGTGGAAACTGATGCATTTTATCTCGCGTGCCGAAACTAATACAAAAGAAACGCGAGTTTCGGAACGCGACATTAAACTCCTCCAACTATGTATTCTGTGCTCCAACGCACACACGCACATTGTTTTGATAGATATGATCTTTGACGTTAGGAACACACCTACATTGCTTAGACAACAGTGAGTGCTTGTAATTTAATATGAACTTTATACCATAGCAATAAAGCTCAAATTGACTACCTTTTAGTTACAAATCATTTGTATGGGAAAAAGAAAAGGGCTATTTTTAGGGTTTTTCCAGCAATAATTCTAATTTTTCTCGCCGTAAAAACCATCCTTGAACTTCAACGAACATTTTAAAAAAAGATTTGGCCAAATTGGTCGAGGCATTGTTGAGTTATGCGCTTACCAACACATTTTGCGATTCATTTTTATATATATAGATTATTATTATTTTGTTTTTTCTAAATATCGAACAACATCACACACATTGATCTGATTCCGAAGTAAGTAGCTTAGGCACTTTTGTTACGGATATCAGAAACAACGGGGGGAATACAAATATATACATAATATAAATAGAAAACACCCAGACACAGAACAGACATAATTGTTAATCACAAAAATGTTTGTCCTGGGTGGGGATCGAACCCACGACTCTCGGCGCAATAGTAGGAACGCTACCACCGCGCCATCGAGCCCGTCAGAGCAATTGACCGGTTTTATTTGATATGTTTACAAATAAAAACTTACTCAGAACTTAAAAAAATAAATAATTTCCAACAAAGTTAAATATTTTACTTACTCCGACCATAACCACCCCCATAACCATACGACAACGCATGAATGATTTTCGGCAAAATAATCACCGCTCCGAAGCCCAAAATGGAGCCGATGAGTACTCCACCGAGATCTATCTTAAGTGGTCCATAGAGACCTGGAGCTGATCCGCCATATCCTCCCTGTAACAAAACAATTATCTTAAACAGCTGTTTAGGCGGTATCCTGCTCGAAGGACCATGTTTTAAATGCTACCAACATAATCAAACTCTCTGTAACTGTTAAATCGGGCCTCAATTTCCAAAAACTGTATTGTGGTTAATGGTCTTTATTTCTTTCGGGAATTCGTTTATTACACTTATGTAAGGCTTTTTCAAAAACAAAATTTCATTAATACGGCAAATGTGGTAAAAGTTTATCAAAATGATTAATTATTGTAAAATATATATTATGCATAATTAGCGATTGTAATTATTACTTTCGCAAAAAAAAAAAACAGTTTTGACCGAATTTCCACAAAAGTCTACTAAAATCGTCGGTGTTCTAACCGTCACGCACGACGTCTACCGCCGACGCACAATTATTTACGCTGAATTTATTAAAATACTTCAAACAATTAAAAATATTAATAAATATTATAATATTATAGTTTTTCTTCGTCTGTTAAAAGGGTTTAAAAACTGATATAAAATTAATAAAACCATGTCTGGTACCTGCGAGCCCGTACTCCCATAAGTCGATATGCCGAATCTCTGCGTCCTCTCCGGCTGACTGTCCCTATCTCTATCTCCCTTTTCCACCCTAGATGAAGGCTCCGCTAACTGGTCCTCCGTACGGTACCCAGAACTCGGCAAAAAACCCCTGAAATCGAAGCTATGAACGGTAACCAAATTGAATTTAATAAAATCATCAACATCATATACTTTATTGATTTCTAATGACATACCTGTAATACAATACCCCATTACTAACACTTAAAATGTTAATTAACATTACAATTAACTAAAAATTAGCTCTTAAATGCAAGTTTTAATTACGCGGTGTGGTATTGTTTAAGACAATTGCATTACCTACATAATTAAAAAACTGACACTCCTTTTTAATAAAAAGATATAAGAATGAGTAGAAAAAAAGGAACTATACTGTTTGATCAATTTCATGTTCACTGTTTGGGTGGATTACCTGAACATTGATGAGAATACACTCTGTAGTAGCGAAAAGTAACAAGTGCTTGAAAGATTCGTCAGTTCTGTTAGGTCCTGGGTAGCTCAGTGATTAGAGCAGTCGCCCGGATCGCGATAGGTTATGGGTTCGACCCCACCTCAAGGTGCTAGGAACCAAGTGGATTTTTTAAGCATTTTTCATTAAGAACTATATTGTTGACCATATGATCCAGTTCGAAAACTGATTGTTTTTTACCTCAAAGCTTATTCGAAGCCTGTGGGACAGCAGGAGTAGATAATTTCAAGTATCTTACCCATCGCTCCCGTAATCGGCCTTCGCTACCAAAAAGCAGGTGACTACCACAAAAATCTCTGTTCTCATCTTGTCAAATACAAGCACGTCACTGGCGTCACCAGCATCTGTAATATATGATATATACAACGCGTTCCGTACCCTGCCCATGAACAATCGTATGGGGAAACACCAGAAGAACTATTGTGTCTCACCGGCAACTCGTTGCGTAACACTTTTACCTGTGCGACATCCGTTACGCGTACTGATCAGATGGCATCTAATAGGGAAATGGCCGCTGAAATTGTGTTTCCTGTTTACAGAATTACGTTTTGCCGATGGTACTTTTGTGGAGGGTTGGGCCATGTCGATTGTAGACTTGTTCTTTCAGGAACAGTCAAGACACCTACGCAATACAAAAATAAATAAGAGAATTACAATTTAAGTGACATTTGCCAGAATTGCACTTTTATTGTAATATTTAAATCAAATACATCGAAAGAATTTATAATTTTGAAATTTTTATTATATGACCCTACCGAGATCATAAACATGTGTAATGATTGTCTGTTATCGTGTTCATTCTTTTACGCAATCTTACTCGTCTACTTAAATGTGATGTAAACAAAACAATGAGAGATTCTGCTCTGGTTAATACTAAACTGCTACGTTCAAGGGCTTATTTGGTTACCTACTGTAACTAAGTTACGAAATTATTGTTAGTTAAGCAATATAGAAAATAATTTCTCTATTTTGTCTCGGATCTAGGTGTGATATTGTCAATAGCTGCTTATTTTAAAGTATGAATAATAAATATGATTTGTCGTATATTTATGTTTAAACTTCAAAACTATTTGTAAAGCTATTTTCATTGGTCGATAAGTTGATCGATGGGGTCTCCCGTAGGCTGGATAATCAACAGTCAATAATGTAGTCGTTATGAGTTATGGGGTCCGCATCAACGACCGATGAGAATAACTTTTTATAATAATGCGTAGGAAATGCTCGTTGCACCTCAAATACAAGCCTTACCAACTACTAGAACCTGCCTGCCCTCTGGGCAAAGTGTTTTTAAGTTAAATCATTTTTATGTTTGTCATGTAATTAAATATTTATAATAAAACATTTTTTCGAAATCTCAGTAGTAAGTAACACGGTAATAAAAGAAGTTTTGTAAATTTCAACAAGTATTAACTTATACAAAAAAAGATAAAATTTTTGAACAGACCGCACACAGAAATCACTTTTTTTTAAGTGATTTAAAAAACGACGAACTAGGTGTAGTGATAAAAAAAACAAGGAATTTAATATGATGAGTAAGGAAAAAATAATGTGTAGTATGAGACGTAATAGGATGAATGCCGAAGAAGCCTTCATAAGTGGGTAGAGAAGTTGCTCTCGGTGAGAAAGAATAAACTTACTTACCTACTAACTACATATTATTAATTTCCGTAATAACATCCTAATGCGTTCAACATCCTTATGCGTTCAACATCCTAATGCTTGTTTGGAGATTTGGATGTGTGATTGTGGCGAATTCCAGAATGATTTGAACCATTGACATTCTAAGTTAAATTTACGGGACACTTTTCTTATTTACGATCCTCGCACCGTATTATTTCATTGAATCGATACCTGTTTTTGTATCGTAGAGGGAATACTTTGCATGGATAGCCGACAGGAGGTGTGTGGGACTCCATCTGCTCGGACCCACCCGAAGGCTAGTCAAAACACCCACTAATACCCCTCCGTGCACTCTCACATTTGGGGGAAGTGCCTGGGATCCAGCAGCGAGTGCTCCACACTCAATTAATCAATACCTAAGCTTTTCACTTGCATGACATCAGTGGCGGACTAACCTCATATCGGAGACCCGGGCCGCCAATAGGTCCGGATCAAAAACTTTTTTCAACCAGGGCAAAAACTCGATATTGCGTTTACCCCCCTACGCATACATTTTAACTTATTACATAATTTTGATTCTGGCAGGCCCGGAGCCTCCATATTCGCCGCTTCCTTCGCCACTGCATGACACTTTTGTTCTTAATATAACACCCTTTTTACGAACAAAACTCGATATAACCAAAAAATAGTTACGTTGATGTATGTATAAAAATGATATTTTTCTACATATTCTTTGAAGGTAGTGAAATAAAATTGTCAATAACGAAAAAGGAAAAGAATCAATAAACGTTAATTCTTCACAATTGTTACAGGAAATTGATTTCTATTTTTTGCATTAAGAACGTCAATTATTACTATATTTAAGTTAAAGAATTTAAAATATTTATGTGATTTTACTAAAGATTACGAAAGATAGATCTAACTGAAACTCAGGCGTTTAAAAAAAATTTAAAAAAATTACAGAGACTTGAAAAACTAGAAAAATACTAATGAAACCTTTATCGAAGTCAGAGATATTGTGTAGGTTGTTTATATTATCCACCCGCCATCGATAGAATTTCACAAGAAAGCAAAATACGCTATCTTTTCCTTTTTTAACGATAAAATTATGCCATCATTATTTATAAAAACGCAAAAAAAATATATTGTTAATGCAAGTTCTTAATTAATCCACTTTGTCCCTAGCACTCTAATGTGAGACCTTTCGCAATCCGGGCGAGTGCTCTAACCACTGAGCTACTGACGAAGTTTTCAAGCACTTGTTATTTGTTCGCTACTACAGACCATGGGTTCGAGACCAATCGCACAGTGCCAGGGACAAAGGAGATTTTTGAAGCATTTTTCATTCAAGAGATTATAGCCTTATGACATATGGAAGGACGACGGAGACTTAGTATTAAAGTCCTGTTTTCCGTTTGCGTAGGGAACCCTAAAAACTACTTTTCGATTTTAAAGTTGGTAAAAATGTTCTTAGTTTTATCTTTAAGATTTATGAATGAATTCTCGCTCTGAATTGACTCATTAGAATTACACGAATTTTACACCAAAATAAAAGTGTATGTTGTATTCTACAAAAAATCACGTTTTTTGTATGGGAGTCCCCTTCAATATTTACTCTATTGTGTTTATAAGAATGTTTTGTTGAAGCGGCAACACACAGCTGATTTTGTTGCTCGCAATAACATAAATAGACAAAAAGCAACATTCGTAAGTATGACTAGTGATTTCTTCGTATGAAGACTTTCCAAATCTCTCAGAAGAAGAACTTATTTTATTTGCTCTCGGTACTATAAATAAATTGAATAATATTATATAAAAATATCACACCTCTGGGATATGGATTCCTTCATGTAATTGATGATATTTTTGTATAATATTATACAATTTATTGATAGTATTACAATTAAACAAATATAATGTTAAAGCTACTAGCCCTATGGTGGAGGTAGTTTGTGGGTGGAGGTGTTCTGAAAAAAGATTATCTATCAGCAAAATAGGACACCGCTAATTCGAACGCGGAAAAAGTAATAATTGAAAATATTAGCTGCCAGCATTGACCATAAATTGTCCAGAGAGTAAACTTACCAGTCCAGAGAATAAACTACAGTACCTACCAAATCAAGCTAGCCTTTAGTTATTATGTTGAGCAACTGTACAGGGTTTGCATAATATTAAGGTGTACCGAGAGCAACAAATAAGTGGGCTTAGTGAGCATATTGAGGAGTAAGAGGTCTTGTTCCTACAAATCCTAATTCAATCTGGACACTTGCAGTATTTAATAATAATAAGCGAGGTTTAGCGTTAGAGTAAATTTACACTGAGTCTCAGCGCTTAGTATAAATAAACTTAGCATTACTCCTAGAAGGTATTAGGTTTGTTATTCCCAGTATAATATGAATTTGGACTAATAATAAATTGAAATTTTAGCATAAATTTAATCTTAACCTTGTTTGTTAATAGCATTCAACAGTGCTGTCCAAGGTTTTATTATTCTTTTATCGTAATTGACCGTCGATCGCTCATTATTATTGTTCGTATTTGAGTGGAATGTGCACAATCCACAATCCAATGCTGCCCCCACACAATATGTATGCACATAATGTATAACTTCGGCTTGAACAGACTGCGTAGTCTGGTACCTCGGTTAGGAAAATATCAAGCCGAAGATATACGATTAACGGCTGCGAAGTGCTATTATATAACATGAATAAGATTTTTTATTTCATCTTCGCTAACATTTCCTCTTAACTTAAGCTAGGACACTTACGCCCGTTTTCACTAAGCTTAGGAGTTGCCCAAATCTGTCACCTAAATATTTAGGAATCGCCTAAGGTAAACATGCATTTCACCATTGACTAGGAACCACCTAACTAAATCAAGCAATGTCTAAAGTTATGATATTCGTTATGCGGCGCCTTGCGCTAGCCATTTGCGTATAGTCAGCTCATAAATATGTCAAGGGATAAAAGAAAAAGAAACATTTATTTGCAATTAAATTAATCTGCTTAAGTGAATCGTAATATTAGGCGTTTCCTAGTTAAACTACGCCTTGTTATAGGTTAGTGAAAATGGGTGTAAATCAATTATTGGAAAATGCTTCCAAACAAGAATAATTTTATCACTCTCAGGTATATTTTGGCGATGAAACATCTCCATTGTATTTGTAGAATATACTCGTACATATATATGTTAGAAATATTGATTCAGACATACCACTTTTCCCAATCTCCTTTCAACTGTCTAACTTTCTCGATTCATGAGATACATCCTGCTGATGGCCAGACAGCGAACTCTTAGTAAAAGGGTTTCCGTTTTACCCTTTGAGCAAGTTCTTAAATAAAGAAAGAAGCTCATTGGCGCAGTAATTAAGCGTTCGGTCTGCCATGCGAAAACTAAGCAACTTTCACAATGGCTGGTTATAGGATAGGTGACCAAAAATTAACTATCTCGAGCTTAGTACCACGGAAGGCACATTATACCGTTAGATCAGCATGGTGTGTTAACATTTCCCTATTCGATTCTATCTATAGGGAAGACATTTTGCCATTGTTCAATCTACCTAAAGTCCAATATAATTAGTGCAATATCTTCCTCACACATCTACTGTATCAATTTAATATTATTGGACTTCAGGTACATGGTACCAAGGGAAAATTCAAGTAATTGAGATTCTATTAAGATGCGGTTATACATAAAAATTTGCAGAATTGGCATGCAGACTGCACGCCAAGTACGTCCGAAGCCTTCACATCCAAAACTTTGTTATTTTATTTTTTTCTTTTTGTATAGCTATAATATCGGTTAATTGCATCACCCATTGTTCTGTAGGCGTCTTTGTTCAGTCAAAATATCAAAACAGTAATCTAAAAAACCACAAAGATGAAAAGTTTTATGTAGTATTAACGGTACATCATTGTCATAGTCTAATGTTTTTGTGTTGTGTTAAAACCTGTCTTTAATAAATTGTAAGCTGCAATTAAATAAAACATGTGTATAATAAGAATGGCTCTATTAAGAGTTATCAACAGACTCTTAAACCGTGAAAATGGTAACACAAATTGAGTACTTTATATTACCATAGACTTATGCATGTACAGATTTCCTATTCTGTAAAAAATGTAATAAAACTCAATGTCGCGGAAACGCAGTCGCAGGAGATAAAAGTTCAAATAAAAGCTTTTATTTTTACCTTTTCAAAATTTCTTATAGGTTTTATTAGACTGGATCTATAATACTGTGACAACGTTATGTATATAAAAAAAATAGCATTGCAGAATTAAATCCTATCCTAGCGTACTATTGTGCCTACCCTGCAAAATATTTGAAGCATGATGTTATAAAATCCTACTTTCTTTAGTAAAGAAAGAAAAGAAAAACATACCTTTGACTTTATAATGTTTAAATTGTCATCACAATGGACGTTTGATAGACAGTATCGGACTGCGCAAACATGTCGCTACGATAAATCGTTGTGTAATAGCCAATATAAATTAATGAGTTTGTTTAACACAGCATGTGAATCGACTGACGAATGAATTTTAATCTATTCATGTTATATTCTTAATAAAAAATGCTTAAAAAATCCACTTTGTCTCTGGCACTCTGAGATGGGATTCGAACCCATGACCTTTCGCAATCCGGGTAACTGCTCTAAATACTGAGCTACGCAAATGGCGTAGCAGGTATGGCGAATTTTTCAAGCACTTGTTACTTTACGCTGCTACAGAGCGTATTTTCAGGCAATTCACCCAAACCGAAAGAAATATTCTTACAAATATTTTAAACTTTCGATAAAGATGAAAAATTGTTCTAATAGATTATTATTATTCAATTTTGCTTCAGTGTAGCATTGTGAAAGCTAAATTGATCCAATATAATCCTATTTTTGTTATATTTAATTTTATGGTTGAAAGTGACTTGAACATGAACAGCCTAGACTGAATAAATGATTTTGATTTGGTGTGTAACGTTGTGTCATTAAATGTAACTGTAAAGCCAAAATACTGTAGAATATTATTTCGAGAAGAAAAATTCACTTGAACTAGTGGGAATGGACTAATTATACAAAACTTCGTGATTTTTTTCTATCGTGATAATTCAATTAAGTCACGTTTTGACAGTGACAAAACCCTTAGAAATCTGATGTGATTTTATCATCTTTAATTGCAGCATATTTAGACGTTACTTTTGATAAAAAAAGAAGAAAATAATGTCAAATCACACATTGTAAAAATCATGACTATCTTATTATCACCAAAATTATCTTCATCATATTGCAATAGAAATTTATTTTTAGTGTATCGCCCTCCTTATATACCGAGTCTTCTCTACCTTCCAAACTGGTACCACCACCAAAAAGGGAAGTTATAATTTGCATTTAAAACTGCGAATATTTATTTATGCCAATTCTAACACTTTTATAGTATCTACACCAAAGCGAAGGTGTAAAGCTGACAGCCTCAAATCGCAGTACAAACAATACACGGAACAACACGACTTTATTTCCCTACACTATTTCTTTGGGCTCACCATAAAAATGTCGTCAAAGACACATTCGTTTTGCCACGAGGACCACATGATTGGCTCAAATTAGAAAAAAAAAACAACTTCAGATCACGTTAATTTAGTTTGAAAAAAATGTGCATAAACAAATTCGTGTTTATCTTACAAATATTTGTTTTAGTGTCAAGTGAAAGTAAATATGGACCGAGAAAAGCGAGATTGTTCTCATTTAACTCAGTGAATGAAGATATAAAGGTTAGTGATAAAAAAATCTGGCACCTTTGAATATAGGATGGAAAAAACTCACCGCCGAAAGAAAGTATAATAGAGGATTAAAAGATACATTTTAAATTCGGGCAAGCATTTCATGGTCATTCCTTTATAATTCTACTTCAAATGCAGTTTCTTCAATTTATAAATCTTTTGTAGATATTAATAATTATTTTTCTTATGGTCAGTATTAGATTTCAGTTTTTTATTTTTTTATTTTAAAACTTCAAGAGAGAATGTCGTCATGAACATAAAGTTGCAGTTCTTTTTAATATAAAAACCATTATTTGATCCGATTTCGAAAAGATTATAATAGGAACTCGAATGAATGGGAAATCCTTGTTCAACAAAAAAGTATACCTATCAAAATCCGTCCATTACTGATGAAGATACCATGAAACATTAATCTAAAACATTCACACCCTGTTGCATAAACGATCTTAAAGATTTAATGTCAACATTAAGCTCCAAAGAATTTTCTTTTGAAATTCGAAAATTTGCATTGTTAATGTAGGTTTAAACTAATGACAATTTAGATGGACGTTTGTGCAACGCACAGTTAGAGCTCTGTATCGTTAACTGCAGTTTGTTCAAGTACCTACGAGACGCTTTACTTTTAAACCGTTAAATATAACCTAAAAACATTCAGTTATTATATATTTGCAACAGCGTTGCCAGATTTTTTTTTTGACAAGTCGGGATTTTGAAACTTTTTGAGTGAAAAAAGCGGGATCCTATCGTCAAAAGCGGGACATAGTAAAAAAACTCTAATTAAAAATCGTACAACGTAACAACGCTTAAAATTTTAAGGTCGTTATTTCCACCTCTAATTATCATTATGCACCGGGCGGGCGGCTAGTCCACACTTGTTCATGGCACCCGGCTGCACTTCCTCAGCACGCTGCACCCACGGTCGAGTTGTCCCCGAAAGCGGGACCAAACCTGTCCAGCGTGGGACATTTAATTTCGATTTAAAAATCGGGTCGTCTGGCCTAAATCGGGACGTCTGGCAGCTGATTTGGAATTACCTACTGTTTTGCTGAGACTTCGCCTATAAAACTATAGCCTATAGCACTTCCGTGTGATTTAGCTTCCCGCATGTAAGTGAAGAAATTTTCACGATAAGATCAGTATCCAAACAAACAAAGAAACTTTATCTCTTTATAATATCAATATAGATTGTTACAGCTTAATATTGTCGACTTAGTTTAATTGTTTTATTTTCAGATTGATTTAGATTTTTCAATACCTTTTATCAGCATTCCCGTTAAACAAACTATGGACACGGCATTCGGATTCTCATCCTCAGTGAGTATTGAATTATAATTTAATATGCATAATCTTCTCACTGTCTTGCTCTCGCCCGTTCCTAGAGTCTCAAGTTCGTCATGCTATGCGGGCAGGGCCTGACATATCTTTGAAAGTAAAGGGGAGCTCCAGATAATCATGTCTCAGATATCCATCTGGTCGTCTTTGAGCTTAGACACTAATAAAATACGTTACCTTATTTTTAGAACTATTTTCCTTACAGAAGTTAAAATCAAGTCAAATAAACCAGATCGTACCAAAATAATTTTGCATTTGATTCAGGGTTTGCCAACGATAAACATCAACCCAGCCTCTCTCGCACTGGGCAGTGCTGTGGTGCTCGGAACTACTGTACTGGTGCCATGGTTTATTAAAAGTTACGTGACATATCATCCCCAGAAGAAATATCTGAGGTGTAAGTATACTTATTTATAACACATCCAGAACCCTTCAAAGATAAAGTAATAAAAGGACAATTGAAAGAACTAGTATTTAAAATGTATATTTCCACCCAACGTTTATTTTCAAAATACACGGACATTCATAAATAACACCTAGGCATCATAATAGAAATGATTTTACGCTCGACAAAGAGGCCTACAGCATGCCATTCGACCCGAAGTCTTTTTCTTTGGCCTAACGGAGCTACATGACTTCTTTTTCGGCAAATCCACAATCCCTGCATCTGCTGGTATATACTGAGTTTCTACGTGTATAAAATTCTTTCTTTTTCTTGGTGCCAAATCAAAACACCCGAAAGGTGGAGTATACTCTATATCCCAAGTCGCATTACTGGAGAGAGAACTCAAAGACTCATCCTGACATATACAATCAGGTTCCTTGAAAACAGGACAGTTGTCGATAACTTTGTCGATGGCTGAAAGGTCGTTGCAAAAAACGTCCATGTAAGCACATTTACAAATGTCTTCAACAGCTTCAGAGAGAGCTTTCCTTATTTCAGCATCTCGCTGTTTCTTCAGTTTGACCATTTTACGGGCTTCCACTTTAGCCTGCTCTTCGGGACTTCGTTTCTTGATAATTTTGAATACCATCGGATCACAATCGACGTAAGGGTCCTCGTTTGGTGCAATTTCAGTCAAGTCTTTTAAGGGATTTACCTAAAAAATGTTCAGCATATTTTGGTTATTTACTGCCTATAGTGCTTATCTTTTACTTTCTTTTTCATATTTCATTATATTCTAAAATTGGAATGTTATATAAGGGTCTCAACATGACATAGACCATTCTCAGATGACATTAAATAATAAGAGTCAAAGGTAAGAAATGATATCAATTTATATTATTTACATAATTACCTGTATCGTAAAGACATCACCTTTTCTCTGAACCTTCAACGTAGGTTTAGGTTCCAGAGGTTCATCAGGTTCAGAGTCTCCACCCCCCAGATCTACGCCAGGTCTATTGCCCTTTTTCTTCTTCTTTTTATTTTTGTCTCGTTCATTACCTCCTCGAGGGCATTTGAAAGTCATTAGTTTAGCCACACTTTTGCCAATAACGCCTGGTTGCCAACCTCGACGAAACTAAACAAAAAAATTTAACAATGGGTCATTATTACATTACAAACTTTTTTTATCTAATCTAGGTAAATATTTCTATACCTTCATTCCAGGCACATCTTGAGCATTCCAAAGCCAACCCATATTTGATGGGACTGCATAGCCAGGTGCGCGATATAGACATTGTTTGTGGCCAATAACTACCCCTACGAGTATACTTAGAAAGTTTATATTTTAAGTAAATTAACAGAGATAAATATGCAATCAATAGCAGATGAAGTACTTATCAAAAATACCTGGATGAATATCACCAAATGTGTAATTATATTTGGATGCACTTTTCTTTTTTTTCTTCGAAGCGCTTTCTTCATCTTCGCCCATGTCGTTTTTCTTCAAACTCAAATCTCTCTGGAGGCAGTATAGTTTATAATTACAAATCACTAGTTTTTGATCATGCAGGCTACGTAAACAGCCATATTTTTAATATATTCCAAACCTTGTTTCTCGTATCTACTACCTAACAAATAAAAGTTTAGTTATATTATTATAGCAAAAAATACACCAATTTGTTTTTTTTTTTTATTATATAAAGTTGTTTATTTTTATTCTTTATATACACTAATGGGTTACAAAATAAAAAGGTCACTGTTATAATACATTCCCCAGTTTTCATCGTCCTACTTATCTTCCTTGAATTTGTCTTGTATTGCCAATTTGTGTGAACCGCAGCATCCTTTACCAGTAAGAGCCATTAGTCTTTGCTCCTTATCGCAACACCTTCTCTCTGTGTCAACATTAAATTGGTTGATGCAACGATAATCATGATCTTTTTCATACTTCATGTATTCTTTGATGGCCTTCCTTATCCTGTCATATTCTTTCGAACAACACACTTTTCCTGCGTCGCTATAACTAGGCGGGGCTACTGGCTGGGCACCTACTTTATACATCCTAGCGAAACCGTCGGGATAAGTACATGGCTTACCCAAAATAGGGCATGGGCCAAGTTTGATTGGTGGTAAGCCGTATGGTAAGGGTTCTGCCACGTCTTCTTCATCATCAAGTTTCTTCGTGTCTTCATCTTCGTTAATTATGTTTACAGGGCAATTATCTTTGTGTTTATAAGAAGGACAGTAAGGTTTATGATGCTTTCTAGCAGATATATTTCCGGCTTCGGCTATACAGTCACAGTCAAATGTTTTACAGGGAGGTGATGGTTTTGGGGGGCTGCATTTACAGTCTTTATCGTCTGGTATATCTGTACAAAAGTTGTAAGCAGCTATCTTGCGACCTTGTTCTTTCACTTCGGCATTATAAACGTTAGTTGTATTTACACCTACACTAGAAATATACCCTTTCGTATCTAACTTAAAAGTAGGCATACTTGCTACAGTAACCACCTGACCAGAATGTGTTCTGTCCTCTGGTTGCCTACTACTCCGACAACAGCAACCGCCACTTGGTTTAATAGATTGACTTGTCGAGCCTTCTGACTGAAACTTATAATTGGTTATACAGTTTTCAACTACAAAATTTTTCCCATACATAGACTCCTTAAAATCTGGAACTTTAGTTACGCTAAAAACATAAGCTATGGTCGTCTTACTTCCTTTCGGAGTAACACCTGTGCCATAAAGTTTTTGATTCCTATCCTCACATGTTTCACCTGCTGGTGTAACACCACCACAATCTGAGCATACCACTTTCTCGCGTTGTTCCATTTCTGGACAAGTATCTCTGTGCCACTTATCGTCTTTGCAGTCACAAGTACCACATATTTTTCTAGATCCCTCGGGTTTAGGTTGAAACATTTTTCCTACAGCTTCTTTCTTATATGCTTCTAAATTTCTAATATATGTCCTTACTCTATGAGCAAGAGCACAGTTAGCGTTTCCACAAGGACCAACTATATCACCCATGCGTATCTTATCAATGGGATACTTCTTTTTATCCTTATCCTTATTTTCATCATCATCATGTTGACATTTGTAGTTTGTATCTCTCTGTCCAGCTCCACAACTTTGAAGTTCTGTACAAACTTCTATCTTTTGATTAGCAACATTTACTATATCCGGATCTTCTAATGTGGTCGTTTCATATAGGCTACCCACCATACAAAAGTTTGGATCGTCACCTTCCACTCTTTTGCATTGAAACATACTTGGGGCTTTATCAGTTCTAAAAACAAAAGAATCTGGATCTTTCATGAGCTGCTGAAATTCTGTGATGATTGTTTCACCCAGAGCGCTTAACCTGAGTATAAATGAAACGTCGCCGACTTGTCTACAACAACACTCTGCAAATATGGGTGTAACTTGTTTTATACTAAGCGGTTCATGTAATTTGCAAGCCTCCGAAGATTCTTTTAGCATATGGAAAAATTGAGTATCCCAGTGCATAGTACCAATACCAACAAATATGTTGTCTTCATTTTCATCGTCATTCCAGACTTCTATTTCTAGTGGAAACTTACTTAGTATCATGAGAACTGTGTCCGGGTATGACGGAAATAGGTACGATTTACCAACTCTGATAGTTCTACTCCATTTTCTTCGGCCCTGGGCATCACATTCTATCATATCATCTTTAGTTGCTTCGTTTACAGCTAACTGGCCTTCCTTAATAATGAATTGAACTCTGGGGCCAAATTTTATTTTCACAATGAGACTTTTTTTCGCACCGCTCTGCTCGTTCTCGTCGGATGCGAAAATCGTCACTTTGTCAATGAATATTTCAATCAGGTACATTTGCTCCATGACCTGCCGAGTTCAACAGTTTAGCGTCAGAACATTTTTGCTTCATGTCTTCAATGTGATTCGTAATGTTTATTTATTCACTTATAATGTTTAGGTCAAAGCAAACTCGAACACCATACATTTAAGTTCGATGTCAGAAAACCGAAAGATATAATAAAAAGGGATAATAACAATACGAGCTATGGATATTGAACAACTCATACTACGTACTATCATCAAGTAAATCATATGCAGCAGAGGTACTCCAAATATCTAGAATCGATGTATCGTAAAGTTCTAGATACTCTACAGATCAGGATAGACGAGATATTATCACGATATATCGCTACTTAATTTCAAGAGTACAGCCTTAGGTCCTTTCTATTCTACATTGTTCACATGAACATAAAATACACTTACGATATGTTTCTATTTCTGGTCCCGTATTATTTGAAAAACTTCATAACTATTGACACTGAAAATTTTATTTTGTAACCCGAAAGCTAGATGTTTGCCATAATTGCTTGTTTATACAATTGTCATCGTTGTAACATAGCCACAATTTGCTTTTGGAAGCATGACCAACAGATTTTTATTTTTTGTTTTTATTACTTCAGTTCAAAGAGGTTTTTATTATTGTGGAACACGAAATACTCTTTAGTATTATGCTCATGTTTGCAAAAATTCAAGTTGATTTTTTTATATCCTTATTAAATTTCAATATGGTTTCAATCAATTGTAGGCAAAAATTATGCCTTATTTTTTTTCGACTTCGCTAACTTTAAAGTGGAGATAAGCCTGCTCTAGACCACTCATACTTGTCCATGTTATTTTAATAAGCTTATGTATAATAATTTAAATATTTATCGTTGAGATTTTTTTACTCGGCATGAAAATCAACTGACGAGTGAACTTTTTTTTTAATATATCTACTTCTTATATTTTTTTCTTCTCAGTTCAAGATCTCCAGCTGTAGATTTACGAACTGATGGCCTAGAATTTCAACTTTCACAAGTGTTACAATTCAGTCTACTGAATGAATGATTTTGATTTGAAAAATTATACCTTAAGGCGATTCATATTCGAATAGTTTCGATATTTAAGCTAGATGTCATGTCACTAAAAATATTTTGTTTAAATAAAACGTATGTACTTCAAACCTTGAAATAATATTCATCTAAAGATGATTTATGAAAATTATTTGAAATAATTTGTGAAGGTTGTGTGTGTTAATATTAACGACCCGATTTCGAAATTATTCGAAACTATTCGAATTATGCAAAAAATCATAAAAAAAAATTATATTAGTCAGCTATACAGAGTCAGCTATACATGTAATATTCTTAATGTAATTTTATTAATAAATAGGCAAATGATACTACCATTGGAAGCACTGCTAAAACCAAGTCATTATATTTCAACAGTATTAGATGTAGCCGAGTTCGAGACCGATGAGATGCTGGAATTAATGAGCAAGATGTTGACCGATAGCCAAAATATGCGAGGTTGTGGTTTGAAGTTAGCCTGTCGGATAGGTCAGACGCCAGCCAGCGGTAACCTCCAAGAGATGTGGAATTATGTATCAAAGTAAGAATAATTTGTAAAAGCATTCCTAACCACCGTGTTTTAGAAATCCTACGTGATGTAAAGGTACCGTATGCCGCAATTATTATAATTTCTTAAAATGGACCGTACTTAACGTGTTCTTAAAGTTTTCTGATGTTTTCTTCCATGTTACAAGACGCTCGCAAACTAGATTTAATAAGTGATCGACTAGATTCTCATGCGTGATCTTTGAATATTGAATAACAAATGCGGATGTGGCTGAAGTGCAGTGTGAGATTCCAAGTCGAGTCACGTTAGCGTGACGACAATATTTATAATAGTCAACGATAAAATTCAACGTCACGGCGTCGTAAAATATATTTCTAAATCACGCGCCGTGTCGTGAAAACGTATTACGTCGTCGTGGTCCTGCCGTGTTTATGTCGAGGCACTGATTCCGCTAAATTAAAGTAGAGTAGCTCGTTGGCGTAGTGGATAAGCGCCGCGGCCCGCGCTCGTAGTCGTTAAGCAACTTTCGCAAGGGTCGGTCACGGGATGGGTGACCAAAAAATTATTATCTCGAGCTACTCCGTGCTTCGGAAGGCACGTTAAGACGTTGGTCCGGGCTGCATTTGCAGTCGTTAATACCCTCCAATCCGCATTGGGCCAGCGTGGAGGGTCATGGCCCATCCTCATTAACCATCCATAAGGAAGGCCTGAGCCCCTGCAGTGGGGACGTAAAAGAGCTGGTGATGTGATGTGATGAAAGTAAAAATGGCGCGTGATTAACTTGCCATTAGGGCTGACCCCTATCCGCCCTTTCTTTAACTATCTATTATTTTTATTTACAGCAACAGACTACTATCGTCGATGGTGAACGCTACGGCCGTGGAAGATGCGATGCTATCGGGTCGTCACGGCAGAAATTGTGATTATTACAAACCGTGCCTTTTGACGGACCGTCATATACCTATGATATTGGATAACTTCTCTTCGCTAATTGGAAAACTGTAATAAAATAAAAGTTCTTGTAAATCTAATTAACTATTATTTAATTTTTTTATTTACTATTAATTTCATCTAATAATGTCTTTTTAATAATATCATGTATACTTCCATTATTTATAATAGGTTTATACAAAGAATTTTCGAGATCCTTCTCAAATAAACCGATGCCACCGGATCGGTATATTTTGGGGCAGTAGGGCAATCAAAATAAACATATATGATAATGAAGCGATAAAAAAAAAAATTATTAACTTCAATTGCATTTCGTGCCGTAAATTATTTTTGTTCAGTCTTTAATAATAAATAATGTAATGATTATGGCTGTTGAAGTTGAAACGTTCTTATGTAACACATTCTGTGCATAATTAACAAAAATTACGAGTTGTTTATTCGACGAGGTAGCGGCACTTTTCTACCTTAAACCGTTTAGTTTGATAAATAGTAGTCTATATATTAATCCAGGCTTAATATTATCCTTATACCGAATTTCATCAAAATCCGTCCAGTACTTTTGCGTGAAGAAGTAAGAAACATCTTTTTTCAAACATTCACCTTTATAATATTACCTAATAAGATAACGTAAACATATAATCCTTGACTGAGCAAATAATTCCTCGACTGGCAGAACGAAAGAGGTTCTAGTTCCATTATAAATGACGCCTTTAAGCTCTAATGATGTATATTGTATGGGTAATGTCGCCTTAAACTAATGGAAATTTTAATGGACGTTTATGCAACTTTCTGTTAGATTTTTTCATATAAACGTATTCTAAGTCTTTAACAACAAAATAAACGGACCATAACACTTGGTTAAGTACAGTTTAGAATATTGAAAGACTACAATATAATGATTAGTAAATAAAACTCAGTTGAAATTGTAACGTTTATTCTTGTAGTATCTCTGCTATATTATGATAATTGAGTTTCTTCGCGTAATCGAGAGGCGTACAACCTAGAATATCTGTAAAGTTTCTGTCCGCCATGTGCTCCACTAAATAGCGTACAGTCTCAGGATGATTGCTCAGCACCGCCTGCGAATAATTAAATATTGCATTTCAATCAATCAATGAAATCAAATAATTTATTGGCCATATAACTCAGAAGGTTACACTCGGCAAGTCTTTTACAATAAGCATATTAAATGAAAAATAAATGTTTTAAATCATGCAGTTCAAATCATTGTAAGAAGGAATGTCAAATAAATTAAGTCATCTTAACAATGTCAAAATGGTTATTTTTCCGATCCTTAATAATCAATAATATCACAGTCATTTAAATTACAACATTACAAATGAAATTATAATATATATATATATATATATATATATATATACCGATTATCACAAATTAGATTATTTTATCATGCAACAGTACATTGTTATAAGGAGTTAGGACGATCCGTTGCATACGAGGTAGTTTTGCTCTACTTTTCACTTCGATTGCGAAAATATAATATTACAATACCGTTCCTGATTCCAAATTGAATTGGAAAAAAAATTGCGCCTGCGCTATTTTTGTTTTATATGGCGAGGCCTCACTGAGGAAAAATGCCCTAACGTCATTTTACGTCAGTGTGGTTACTATATCGTTTTTTTATTCATTTTTACAGTTGGGTCATTATAATAGGCCACATTTGACATCTCTCAGTCTCAACTTCAATTTAACCTTGTAATGTAGTAAACATATTATAATTATTTTTTAAAAATTGCAGCAAACTTATAATTATAAATTTCTTTGTTATTAAAATATATTTATTGTCATAATATAAAAAGCAATTTTATGTTTTATTTTGACCAATAAACATTACTAAATGTAATAGATCTATCTAGTTCCATACTATACGCCAAAATTGAGCAATATTCATTTATTATCTGTAATTTCTTCTTTTTCTTGTTACCACTGTAACTCTACACAATTGATAAATTAATAATCAATCTCACGAAGTAATATATCGATAATAATCATAAAATTGATATTACTATTGCACAATAACTTCATTTGATTCACTTTTCTTTGAAAACCATATCGATTCGTTAAATAATCGATTGTTTTAAGAAGGACGCCTCACTATTAAGTTCAGATTGATAGATGTCAAATGTGGCTTTTTATAATGACCCAACTGAATGATTATATCAAAAACTTTTTTCTCATGCTTCTAATATTTTACGATAAATAGACACACATTACTATGATTCCGGAAACGTATAGTAACTAAATTAAAACACTGCAATGGTTCACTCATAAATAATATAAGTACTGAATGAATTTAATGTAGAACACTAATATAACAATGAAATACAAAAATACTATATCAAAATCTCAAGAAACATGCTTCAAAAATACACGCGCGCGTCAGCAAAATTTGAAAGCAACCGTCGACGGTCGTGAGTTAGATCAAGATGGCGGCTGACAGTTGAGCTTTGCAAATTCAGTAGACTTCTATGAACATTAAGTACTTTAACGTATGTTCATAATAATTTTCGAGAAAAACTAATCTAGCAATTCGCTTATTACTTTTATCTTTAAACTATAGCTATTATGATATTTATCAGAATAGCAAAAACTATTAAATATATTAGAATAATGAAAGCTACATGCATGTACCTGGTTTTTGTTGAGTTCCAGATATTTTGGCGCCATTGCAAGCGCCATGATGAATGTCGATGAAATATAATAATCATATGTTAGCTTACCTTATGCAGGGGGGTCTGTTTCAATTCATCGCATGTGTTCAGATCTGCACCGGCTAATTTCAAGTGGTGTAATTTGTTGACTGCACCGGTTCTAGCTGATAACGAGAGCATCTCCGCTATCGACTTGGCCTCCACGGTGGATATATGAGCGCCGCATTTGATCAGCAGCTCGATCATACTGGGGTCGTCCTGGTGAACGGCCGTCAGAAGAGGAGGTTCCCCGCATCTGAACATTATTGTATATTGTATTTATTATTGGTATAATACGTACTATTATGGTAATGACATGATTAATGTAAATGTCATTACTTATGATAAAGGGCTGGTAAGTTTCTTTCGATTGTTCTTCTTGTCAGCTAAAAGACGTCCAGAACGAGTGGTAGGGGAAAATTTTTTTGGACAATTCAAAAGTGCTTGAAAAAAGCTTACGTGAAGAAAGACATTTTCATTTCATTGATATGTTATAACAACGCTATAACGAAAAATATTCTTAGACCAAAATGTTAAAAAAAAAATTCTTCAAGAAAATTTTCCAGTATAGCATAGTGATGTAAAGTTGACCAAATATTATAATTAGAACAAATTTTCGTCTTCATCGAAAGTTTGAATATTTATAAGAACATTGCTTTCGGCCATTTGTGTGGATTGCCTGAACATTGAAGAGAATAGGCTCTGCAGTAGCGAACAAGTAAACAAGTAACAAAAACTGATCAAATATAATAAAAATAGTAATTCTCACTTTGTTTTTAAATGAACATTAGCTCCATTCTTCAACATGTATTCGACGATCGATTTATTTCCGCTTAAAATCGCTTCGTGTAAAGGAGTCTTCCCTTCAGAGTTCTGAGCGTTTACATCAGCTCCCATATCTGGTGAAAGGAAATATATTACCTTGTTATCTTTTAGGGTTATGAGTAATTAGACTGGATCTTTTTAAGTGGTCGTAGGGGTGGTCATTTACAATTATTTTCACCTCACAGTATGTATCCAAAAGGAGGCGTTTTTTAAAATATATAATGACATCATAGCTTTGCAAATTATCTTCCACACCTCACCTTTCTTGTTAATTTGAACCAAAAAAACGTAAGTAACTCTTTTTTAATATCTGACTGATGGACTAAATAAAAATCTAGAGATTTTGACCTCTCAAGCGCTGAGATGGTATTGGAGAGACTGCTCTAACCAATTAAGCTATTTCAATGTGAATGGAGACTTTTTCATGTACTTCCTTATAGTTTCCGATTAAAAAATATCAATATTATGTAAGTATTGTGTATGTAAAATATAAAAGCCTTGACCACACTTTACTTACATACACGACCATTTCAAATAAATCGACCAGATCCAAACAAACTCATTAAATGTTATGCAATAATTTATAATAATGATGCGTACTTTTCATTTTAGTCTTCGTTAATAAAAATGTCGAATGAAGTAATAAATTCTGATAATTAAGTTTTATAAGAAATTCAATAAATACATGTGACCGCAGATACGTCTTTCTGTATTCTGTGCTTATGACCCTTTTTGAACTCTCCTTCAGTCTATCAGTGCAATAAAAATAAGATAATATTTAGACACTGCCATGGACATTGGAGTTGCTTTTAAAAGTTCGTTTTCGTTTGAAAAGTGAGCTTTAACAAAGTTCTCATGCATTAAGAGGTTGTAACAAAGTGAATGCTGATTTTCTTTGCGCACAAAAATGCTTAGAATAATCGCGTAAAACCGATTATGAAAATTCGTCACTCAAATCGGTACGGTATAAGAAATTTTTAAAATAAGACTTTTAAGCAAGAGCTATATAAAATTATGCTGTAATTTTTCGTCTACGCTGTGACTTTAGCATTAGATGTGGTTGTACTGGTTGTAATGGCCACAAACGTTAAATTGTGTTGTTAAAAATTATAATAATTTAAACTTTAAAAAAAAGGCGTCGTTTTAAAAAAATAACTTTAAAGGTTTTTTTAAATTTCTCCGCCTAGTTGTATAAACGAGCTTTAATGTTAACATTAAGCTCTAATGGATGTTCTTATTTTGAAAATTTGTAAAGTTGCTTTAAACTAATGACAAATTTAATGGACGTTTATGCACTTGGGACCAACAAATTCTCTCTTTAAATGGCTCAAGATGAATACATGATGTTGTACCAAAAAAAATTAAAAGTGTCGTTTACAATTTGTATTATTAGTACATATTTATAATCAATAAATAATATGTTCTTTTAAATATCTCTAGTAAATAAAAACTATTAAACTATATAAAGTACTAGCTGTTTATATAAAGTACAATAAGCTCTATATAAAGTACAATTTTTAAAATCAGTCCAGTAGTTTCAAAGCATTTTCGTTGCAAACATACAATCAAATCTTTTCTCTTTATAATATTAATATATATAGTATAAATAATTTTAAAGTTAACCTTCTAGATTAGGTATGTAGTAATTTAAAATAAAAGAAAATACTTTTTACGGACAACTGATACATATTTACTGATGTAACACGAGAGAATACAACATGGATAACACTCACAGAACAATATGTAGCGCGAGATGGCGCTAGTTTATTTAACAGCTAGGGTTGCGTTCCATTACACTAACAAGGTAACAGAAGAGCTAAAAGAACAGAAGAACTAGAACTGCACAGTTGATAGTCTCAATAGATATAAAGATAGTATAAAATTAATTATATCTCAATTAAAAAAATCATCAATAACAACTACATATTTTATGATAATCACTAACTAACAAACTCTGACCCGAAATGCGATATGCAGCCAATGATGTAAGTAATCAGAATGAATTGAACGTTTGATTACGATAACATGTTTATATTAATATTTAAAAGAGAATAAATCAGTATAACCTTGAAACAATCTTGTTTGATTATTTAAATTATTTATGTTCTTAGATAATAATGGAGTTTAATAGGTTAAATACATTAAATTGATACACACCACAGTAGTGACGAGAATGGACAATTCTTATCAGGACACGGATATAATTACAATGACAAACTGATTAGTAAACAATTGGTACTATGGTAACGTTTTAATTCCTTATATAAACTTCCCCTAGCATTTTCATACCTGTTTTGCTGTTTTTCGGGATAAAATATATGCTGTGTTAAACTATATGATGTAGCTTCCCGTTGCAAACAACCAACAATTATATTGAGTACCTATAAAGTACCTCTTGAACAAATCTTGTACAGTAGGATAATGAAAAAGTTCGTAACATATCAAAACGACTCCTTTGAAGAAGCGAGAATTTATTGCATTATGCTTAAGCTAATGCCCGTTTTCACTAGCCGAGGACAAGGCACAGCTTAACTAAAAATCACTTAGCAGTAGCGTAAATAATGTCGTTTCACCAAACCTGTAACTTTAGGTAATTACCTTACTAAGCACTTGCTTAGATAGGCTAAGTTTGTTTATGATTTTGCATATCAGATCTTCTTCTTTTTTTAAACGGATGGCCTATTTGCGTTTACACAATTACACCAATGTCACGTTAGCAGCCTTTACACATAAAGGGACAAAAACAAAAATATATATATTTTGAGATAACAAAACAAGAAAAATATACGTGGTCTTGTAGTTACATGTCGAATAAATTTCGTCGAATATAAATCATCGTTGTCTAAATAAAAAGTTCGAAAATTTAATAAAAAGCCATTATTTATATCTTAATTCTTAACTTATTAAATTGATTTTGATTGACACATCCGTTATGGGCAAAGAGTAAATATGTCACATTACGCCAATGCCCAGCGCTAGGCGCCGCACGATGTATATCCTAACTTTAAGCGTTGCTTAAAGTCGTTAGGTGTCTCCTTATCATTGGTAAAACGCATTTTCTACTTTGTGAATGCCCAAATATATAGTTGTCAGATTTGGGCGACTAAGTTTAGTGAAAACAGGCGTAAGTCACAAAATATAAAGCTGAAACTATGCTTAACTATTTGATGATAAGGTTTATTTTCTTTTTAAAAATTTTCATTGTCTTTATGAGTAAAAGAACTTGTTTTAATAGAAAAGTTTTTGATTTAGTTTAACTATAAATTTATATTATGACAGATAAATAATTATTTGATTGAAGAAGCTGCTATTGAACTGTCATTACATCTGTAATAATTGGCATAACTTGACATTATTTAAAAATGACTTCGGCAGTACAGAGCAAATCTCATACTCTTTTGGGTTAAATCATTACTGATTATCGAGTTTTTTATAAGCAAAATTCGACTTTATGGTGACTAATCTTTTCCTTCTCCCACTGTACATCAAGTGCTTACCTAACATTTTCTTGACCGATAACTCGTCGTGCCTCTCTATTGCGTACAGTAGGAGAGCACTAAACACCTTCTCAGTCACCTGTATCAACTTCTTAGGCGATTGTATATTCAGACTGCTTGCCAACGCATCTATGAGGGTACTGTCCTAGGAGAAACGCAATGAGATGTTATTCCAAAGAAAAATATCCTAAATAAAGTTCCCCGTCCGGTCTATTATTCTAAAGCACAAAGTTGTGCTTAATATGCTATATTATAAAGCAGTATTATAATGTAATGAGCTTCCTGCTAGGTTTCGCCGTAGAGAACTGTTCAGAGCGCAGAATTATTCTTTTCAAAATTTCATCAAAACCCATTTAGTAGTTTTTGCGTGAAAAAGTAACAAACATCCAAACTTAGAAACTAACTAATATTACTAAGATGAATATAGTCAATAAGCTACAAATTCTTTAATTTTAGATATTCTTTTGCTTGTATAAATTAAAAAATGTCTCAACTTCTTTGACGACTCTTTGACTCAAAGAAAAATGTTTACAAAATCCACTCTGTCCCTAGCACAATGATAGATGGGACTCGAACCCACGACCTTTCGCAAACCGGGCGACTGCTCTAACCACTGCGCTACCCAGGACCTATCAGAGTTTGGGAGGATTGCCCAAACATTTATGAAAATAGGCTCTGTAGTAGCGAAATAGCAAAAAGTAGCTCGGTGGTCGGACTGCGAAAGGTCATGGGTTCGAGTCCCATCTCAGAGCGCCAGGGACAAAGTGGATTTATTAAGCATTTTTCATTAAGCATATTTTTCAGTATAGCATTGGTTTTTCCTACACTTTTCTCGGATGGAGAGTGAGATCGTGTCGATATACGTCATGACAAACTCAAGAAATATCGATAGCAAGACGTACTGCAAGAAATTTCAACACCCAGTAACAAAATGGCGCTGTACATTATTAATATTAAGACACTACAAATCATTGCAAAGAAAACCTAAATCGCTAACAATGCGTTTAATTATCATTTCGCATAAATAGAACGTCCAACCTACATCGGTTGAACCGTAGTCCTCGGGCTAACAACACCCAGCTCGGAGGAAGACAATCTCAATGTAAATAAAGTCAAAAGTAGACAAGTCTACTGTAGAGAAAGAGTCATAGACAAGAGTTATATTTCTCTATCTACCCCCGACTCAAAACCCAGTCATCAAACTACGCATACAATGATAAGAATTTATTAGCTTTAATACATAGGTATCTATGATGAGAATTATAACAGTTATTTTTACCTCTATAGCAAAAGATGCAGTCGAGGTCAGCTCTCCTCTAATATTGGTTCCCATCATCTGGAGAAAAAGAAAATTATTTATTTCATAAGCGCCAGAATTTCATGGTCATTTACATTAAAATTTTTGTTAATTACTGGATTGCTAATATACACATTACATTTATCTAGTCCACGTTATTTCGTCACTGTTGCACACGCCATGATCCGTAATGAATAGCACCGAAAATATACGGTACAGTCAACAGCACATCAAGATATACAAATTTTTCAAAGGATGAGGATCCATAAGTGGCTTTTCTGGCCCTAAAAGGTGCCAAAAACCTACCTAAATTTCAGGCTGATCGAAACTTTAAACGTTTGTATCTATTTAAATATTTCATAACATATGTATTTTAAGTTTTCATTAACATTTTTTATCCTATTTTAATCTTGTTCATCCTATTTACAGCCATTTGCACAAACGTCCATCAAAATGGTCATTAGTTTTAAGCGCCATTACCCATACAAATTTGAAATTAATTAGAGCTTAAAGGCATCTTTAAACCTTAACGGACGTTTGTGCAACTGGCCGTTAAACTTATAAACGAGCATTTACTTTAAATATATTTGAAATGGCGAAAATTTATCTTTAGAACTACTGGGTCTAAACTTTTGAAAAAATATAATCTATAATTTTTACTCCACATATAAAGTCAATAAAGTCCATCGGAAGTAATTGGGTTTAAAAAAAAAGGTTTCATGGAGAATACTCCTTTCCGACTCGCATTTGACCGATTTTATAAAATAAAGGTAGGTAACGCAAAAGTAGAAAACACAACATACCTCGACTTTCTGTTGATATGAGAGCTCAGACTTGGACAACACGTAGGAGAGCTTCGTTAGAGCTGCCTCTGGTGTCATATCAAATCCTGACACTACGCCACATTTAGCTATCAACTGCACAAGAAACAAAACACATTTTAATAAACAAGTACTAGCTGTTTCCCCGCAACTTCGCCTGCCTAAATTTATAGCCTATGTCACCTGAATATGATGTAGCTTTCCGTACACAACAAACAAACAATCAAATCTTTCCTCTTTATAATATTTGTATAGATTTTTGTTTAACTATATATTTTCCCGCAACTTCACCCGTGAAAATTATAACCGCGTATGATGTAGTTTCCCGTACGTGTAAGAATTTGCATAATTGGATCAGTATTCCCGAAGATTACCCCCACAAACAAACAAATTAAGAAACTTTATCTACATCACTAAAAATATAAACATCATGCTTATATTTATTTACGATCGTAACAACGTACATTGCTCAAATTCTAAGATGAGTATCTAAATAATATAAGTATAGAGCATAGATAAATAAATTATCTGTATGCCATCAAAACTTATTTGATATAATTAAAATCAACCATACTTTATATAGTCAGGGTGTCTACTATCTGGAAAATCAGAGAAGTAAAATATGGTCAGGGATAGTTATCAAAAGTCAAGGAAAAATTTTAGATCAACCGTGAAGTCAAGGAAAAGATTTAAGATCTTTAAAAAAAATACAATTATTTCAAATCGCAAACATACAAGGGTAAGCACCAATGCAAACAAACACGAATGTTTGTTTGTGTTATGTTTCAGAATAGCTTCTGAGCCCTTCGAAGAAAAGTTGATCTGTAGACGATCTAAACAGCATGGTGGTGGACACTATTTGGGTTTAAGTAGGTATTTCGTCACCAGTAATGGTGACACACTCCAATTAATGAAAACTATATTCGAAATCTGGCTACAAAACTCAATGGACACAAACCGTTATCGGTTTTCAAACAGACGAATATCCAAACCCCTTGACATGCGACCTTCGCCGATTTAATACGCAGCCAATAAAAGAGGCAATTGAGCAAATTAAGTTTTCTCGAAGATCGAAATAATTTATTTGACAATTCCGATTTTTGAAATAAGAAAAATTGCCAGCTTTAAAAGTAAACAGAGTTTATAATCAGATTTCTATGGCTAATAAATATACTTGTGATATATCTATATCTTTGATCATAAAAGTCGGTTACATTATATTGATTTAGTGATTTCCTGTGTTACCATATCTGTAACATATTTTTACAATCTACATGTTATGCCGCCTTTGATACTATATGACTCATTTATTGAACAAATCTGACGAACGTTTCATCGAAAGTTGTGATGTTGCAGAAATTAAAGATGCCCAAACACCTGCTGAAAGCAAGACTTGGGTCTTCCTTACAAGTTATAGTGTCTATACTGAAGATATCCCAGACGTATCCTATATGAGATTAAAATGAGGCTTAAACAACTAAAGGCATTATACAGAGTGGACACCCCGATAATTATATATGTTACAATGCAGATGACCATATGTACTTACCCTACCAGTTTCATATAGCGGCGACACCACCGATCCTGTCGTACACTGGGTGATGTTCACAACTATAACGCCTCTCTGCACCGCTGCAGAGATCTCGTCAAATATGTCCTGTCTATTCGATGGTATGTTACCGGCTCCGTATGTTTCTAATACCACCCCTGACAAATAGAAAAAATTACACAACATGAAAAACATTATATTAGGTACTGACTTCAAAATCTGACTGAAAAATCTGAAAAAAGACGGCCACAACCTAGCACGACGAACTCGAGAACGTTTTGTCTACACTCGAGTATCATTGTTCTTCTTCTTCTTCTTTAATTAATGGCTTATCTGCGCATTTCGCACAATTCTGCCAATGTCAAGTAAATAAATTAATTTTTACATGTAAAATGAAATGAATGAAAGATGGCGATGATCTCCTGCTGTCTTCCAATATCATTGTTCTCGGGTGCACTCATACAACATCTCACTCTTGACACGAGAAAGTGACATTTGGGTGTAGACAAAGGGTTTCTCAAGTTATTCATGCCACACGCGCAGACCAGAGAAAATATAGAAAAGAATTACACTACGAGTATATTGCAGCTCTACCGCGTTTTCTAAAGCCCTAATTGATTTGTTAAAATGAATTTTAGGTCAACCGTGAAGTCAGGAAAAGATTTAAGATAACGATTTAGAATAATTATATTTTATAAAAAATATATAATTATTCTTATATCAAAGCTTTTTTCAGCGACGCACGCAGTAGAGCCACCGTCAGATATATGCCGACTAAATCAAAATATGATAAACATATTAATATATTAAAAATCACTGATAATATTAAAGAAACGTTTTTATTGTTATGGCTAGAATCGTAGCAATCTTTCAATCGAATATCGTTACAAACAAAAGGGAAATCTCAATAACAAAAAAACTCTTTGGTCATAGAGCTGATGTACAAAAATATCCACAACGTCACGTGTACTTGTCACACGCAAACTCTACTAAAGTGACTAAACATGTTAGTTTAAAAAATATTCTTCTTGTATTAAAATAACAGGAAGCTTGTGTCCTACAAGTGAAAAACAAGGTTTCTATTATATGTTCGGAAAATATGAACCATTTTAAGTTATAAATAATTAACAAAATAAATTGTATGACACTTATTTGAAAAATATTATGCATTGAATTCTTGAAAAAAGTAGGGAAAATAAACTACAAACATTTCCATATAAATACGTATAGTATTAAATTAATTATATAAAAAGTTACAGCTTTCATTATAACAGCTATAAACATAAACGCACAAATAACAAATATTTTACAAATATTGCTTGATTAAATTTGTAGGGAGCGTTAACGGCCGACTAGCAGCAGTTCCACAAACATAGCACCATATTTCCGAAACTATTAATCGCAGACTTGCTGTTACTTCGATATTATTTCTCAGATATTAATAGAGCATTTATTTATAAAATTAAAAATGCTCGTCAACTAGCCTATTTCATTAGCAAATAACGTTTGAACGAATGGCGAAGTGAGCATAATTTTTTTTTTTGAGAATACTTAGTAATCTCTTGCCAAAATCTATCTACCAAATGGATCTATTCAGCCATAATTTTATGATCATAAAGTTCGTTCGCTATTCCATCTTCTACAGTATCAACAGTAGCGGTCTTGAGGACATTTAAGTCAAAACTATCCCATAATAAAGTCTCCATGTTTTTTAGAACAAGACGAAAGAATTAGCAGACCACCCCTCACCTTCTTTTAATGAAGATCTTAAGAATGTAAAGGAAAAATCACTTTTTTTTTATTTTTCCTTCAGATTCGTGTAAGTAATAATAGTTATAATTTTGCATGTTTTTTGTTCTTAATATGTCAGAACTAACGAAACTCCCTCCTCTCCTAAATCATCTTCCTTAACACATGGATCACATTGATATAGCCACTGCTTACCTTCAATAGGCGGCTGACAGAAAGCTTTGATCACCGACGAACTAATGCTCGGAAATATTCTCAAGAGTCCCACGTTTTTAGACATCTTCGCGTGCAACCTACACTTCTCTATCACCTTAGGCTTGAACAGAGCCTTCTTGTTCACTTCGAAGTCCATACCGACCTCTACTAATGGCACGCAGTTAGGTGATGAGAAAGCAAACAGATTGTTGGCTGAAATTTTGCGGGTCCTAAAAATTAAATATTTTTATATCGTAACAGAAATATCTTTGGAAATAAAGAACTTCAAACATTATTGTGATATAGCCTTTATATCATTTTTTGTATCTTTAAAAAATTTTTCGTGGATGGATACAGATGAATAAAAAGCTTTAATATCTAAACTAAGATTTTTTTGCATTAAAGACTAGATCTTACCGATTCCCTCTGAACAATTTGCTACCAAAGAAAAGAGTAACTTCAGGTATATTTAAGCCACCAGCTATTAGTAGGGATGACACAAAATTATCAGCTCCATCGCTCCGAGGCTCAAATATTGGTATCTACAAAATTGAACAATTATTAATTTTAGACTTCGATTCCACTTAGTCTTGTGTAACCCTAAATACAGTTTCAGTTCTACCACCTGAATTGTGTAATGAGATCTATTAGCTATTCGAGATGTATGATCCTGGTTTGTTACATTACACCCAAACATTTGGTCGCAGCCCTTGTTTAGATATGAGCTACAACGAAGACAAGAACCGTAAACTAAGAATTATACAATAGATTACAATATATACTAAAGGAATAGCAAAAAAATAACAAATTTACCAAGTAATAAAGAGAAGCAAAACTTAAAACAAGACTCCTCACACTATCAGTTTTATTTCGAAATTATCCGCTTACCTGAGATCCAGTGAGTACTATACATTTGCCAATATTCTCAAACATAAACGACAGCGCCGACGCCGTATATGATAATGTGTCAGTACCATGGAGAACTACAAACCCATCGTACTGGTCATAATGATTCTGAAACAAAATGGAACAGTTTTGCAATAAATTAAAAACTCATATAATTTAGATAGCAATTACCAATCTGAGGAACAGGCCTTTAAAACCTTTAGGTTTAAGATTAGGTAAATTATGAATATAAAGGTAATATAGCAAATCAAAATTAACTCAAACAATCTGTTATTATATAAGCTTACCATAATATCTTCAGCTATTTGTATCCATTCTTTTTCAGTCATATTCGACGAGTCCAAGAGATTTTCATATTCTATTATTCTGTAGAATACCCTCAGATCTAAATCTTTGGTTTCTGCAACAACGGTAGGAAATAAATCAACTTAACTAGGATTAAAGTAACTAAACCTAACTAAACTCGTATATCTTTTCCGGATAACAGGTAGAGAATGCCTCCAGTAAAAATCTATAATTTTTTTGATATGCAATAACTATGAAATAAATAATGAAATGAATGTAAAATTGTACATTCATTTCATTATTTATTTGTAATCTTCAACCTAAATAAAAGTAGTTTTTGTCTACAATGTAAAAGCTATTTACATATTTTATAGAGTTCTAGGTTGGTACACTTTAAGTACCTACGGAAATTTATAATATAGGATGCAAAAAACCGTATCGAACTAATATTTGTAAAACAATCTTAGTTCCCATAAAGCCAATTCACATAGCATCAATTCAAATCATAACGCAGTAGCAAGTTTTGTTATATTTGTATAAATATAACACGTAGACGTCAAGTTTAGATAATGCGTTTACACGATGCAGATGTTAGTGTAAACAAATGCTGTTTGTAAAGTAGTTAAGCCTCGAATCACAAAATAAGTGTTCTTACTTACTACAAATCTCAACTTAAACTCTATAGGGCCTGCACAAACTTTCCACAGTCCCTTTTAAACGTGTTGTACCAAACAAACCTATTTGGTTGGTGGTGGATCTAGCTATTTTAAATGGTGCTTTGCAACTAAATATCGGGTTGGCACAAAAGTAATGAGACACTTGGTTTAAGTTTTTACTTTTTTATTATTATTACAATAAAAAAAGTTTAGTCAATGATGTGATTACCATTAGTAACTAAGACTTCTTGCCAACGATCCGGCAAAGTTTGGATGCCTTTTGCCCAGAACTCTGATGGCTGTGCCTCGAAAAAGTTGTTCAACTCCGCCTCTACGTCAGAGAAATCATTAAATTGTTTACCCCGCAAATGCTGTTTCAGGGCTCTAAACAAATGATAGTCTGATGGGGCGAGGTCTGGGGAATAATGTGGGTGGGGTATCGTCTCCCAGCCCAAGTTCTCCAACTGCCGGCGAACCACAGATGCGACGTGAGGTCAAGCGTTATCGTGCAGTAAAACTACATTGACTCGTCTTCGTCGTTTTTTCTTGATAGCGGCAGATAATTTAGTAAGCTGGGTTGAATATTTGTCAGCGTTTATAGTTTCATTGTGTAATAGCTCATAAAACAGTATGCCTTGCGCATCCCAGAAACAGCAAAGCAGAATTTTTCGGCGGTTCTTTTGACTCGGCTTCGGTTGAGTTGGTGGCGTTTCTTCTCGAGGCAGCCAAAAAGCACGACGTGTATCGTTCTCGTAATAAATCCATGATTCATCTCCAGTAACCAGATCTGACAAAAACTCTTTACGTCGGGGTCGCAGCAAAAGTGACTGACAGATAGCAACACGGACTGCACGACTGGCGTCTGTAAGGATGTGCGGTACCCACCAAGCCAAAACTTTTCGATAACCAAGCTCATGCAGATGGTGTTCCACGGCGTGGTGACTGCATTTAAGTGCTTCCGCTAATTCACGAGTGGTAGCATCCGGATTCAACTGCAGTTCGCGGCGCAAATCGTCATCATTCACTGCGGGTGGTCGCCCTGAGCGTGGCTGACTTTCAAGGCTCCTGTCTCCTGATTTAAAACGGTCAAACTATCGGGACACCGTCGCATGGCTTGCACTTCCAGCGCCTAATGCATTGTTGATATTGTCAGCCGCAGCCCGCGCACTGTGGCCTAACAAGTACTCGTATAAGTATAGTGTTCGAACTTGTCGCTCGTCCATTTTTCTTCAAACTGACTAAACAAATCGCGAGCGCGGCTTTATATACCCTACACCAGAAGTACCTAGAATGTTCTACAACATTCTAGAATATTATCGAAAAAATTGATTTTAAAAAGGAAATGTTATAGATTTTTCTAGTGTGTCTCATTACTTTTGTGCCAACACCAATATGTAAAAATTATTTGTGCTCCAAACGAATTCGATTGAGACTCTAAATATTTCTGGTTAAATACAGCGTATGTCGCAGTATGACTTTTTGCAAATTGAATAGAATAAAAATATTGTGTTATTGCTGATCAATACTTTGTCTTGCTAAAAAGTTTCAAAGTAATGTAACGTCCGTGCACATTACTATAAGTAGGTTTACTTTCCGGACGGTTTATGGTCAGTTCTGGCTGCAAATATTTTGAATTATTACTTTTCTGCATTAGAATTCGCGTGGTCGTGTTTTACTGATTGATAATCTTTTTTTTTCTGATTGAGACCGGCATAGAGTATCTTAAAAGTATATTTAAGTGATTTGATGTACATTATCCTATTAATATTATTAAATATTATAAATGTGAAAGTTTCTTTGTTTGGATGTTTGTCGGTCAATCACGCCTAAACTAATGAACGGATTTTGATGAAATTTTATATACAGATAGGGTATAAGCTGACTTAGATAACAGGATCTAAGTCAGCTAGCTAGGATTTTTATCCCACTAAACATTTCCCTAGGGCCTCGCGGGCGAAGCCGCTGGCGAAAGCTAGTTTAATAATATAATCGAGAGTTTGAAGAATTACACCCAGGACTTCATTGATCAACTCTAAGCTACTTCTGATCCCACCATTAGAGTACCTACGTGACGAATAAATAGAATCTATCCTACAGTCCCCTTCATAGAAAGAGTTGTTTCATCAAGGAGTGGCAGGCAAGTAAACGATCAATTCTAATCGAGTCAAAGTTTATTGATCAACGGTACCCACACCGACACACCTAAAAGGGATAAATGCAATATAAATATGTCAGGGGTGATGCACATCGAATAATTCTTATAAATTTATATTGTTAGAAGTATGGTACAAATGCGCTATATTTGTAATAATGGAACATAAACATACTGAATCGATATTGATAGGGCCGCTCAAAAGATGGGTTACCTGCGTTTTTGATTCATATAACTTTAACCCATGATTTATATGATTTTGCATGATTAGAAGTACCGCTTAGAAAGTGGAAATTTCTACGCGAAACACTTTAATTCTATCTGTCCATCCATTTCTACCTTCACGTCGGATCTCTTGCAGGGTAGGCAGAGAAGACCGAGCGCAAGTCCATAAATTCACCTGAGGTGTTTTTTTATATTCTCTATCCCTCTCTCCCCCCCTGGTGAGATGTCGTGAGATTTAATTCAACTCTGATATTCGGATCGAGTTTAATTAAATAAAATACGTTTGTTCACGATAAGCGACGTTTATTAACTAACTCATTAGCATTACACCACATCATCCCCCTTACAATAAAAAAATTATTAAAAAAATGATAAGCCTTAATTACATTTCATTCGTTAGTAACATTTCATCTTTTAAAATTTTATTCTTTCACTTTAACATTGGTACAATATAACTTAATATTTTCGATCGATAGAAGTGTAATACATTGGAATGTCTAGTCAAAACAATCTCGGGTTATGATAACAAACATTGTGTCAGTATTCTAAGTAACAGAATGAATGATCTTAACAAAAAAAAAATAGAGTTACAAAGTCTAAGCATTTAATTATATCAATCTTAACTTTAAATGTATTTTTTGTATAATAAATTATTTTATATAAATATTTAACAATATTTAACATATATGTAAATATATTTTTATGATATATATTTATTTTTATATTTTATGTGAAAATTGCTCGAGCAATTATAAACTTATGAAACTACAAATTAAGATAGAGCGCTCTATTTTATCTTATTCTAAGTAAAAAGGTTTTTTAAACATTAACTGCTCAAAGCATGATTTCGTTATAAAAATTTGTTTACACGTTTAAAACAAATATTATTTTTCCTTATATAACTTTGTTCGATTTTTATGTATAATGTCTTGCATGTTACCTTTTTGTATTCTGACATTTGTACCTAGGTCCTCTATTACATTATATGGTCCTAAATAAATTGGTTGACTTTTATCATTTGTTTCATTTTTTATCAATACCAAATCATCCTTTTTGTAACTCTGTGGTCTTATTGTTTCGTCATATTTCTGTTTACGTATTTCTTTTTGTTTTATTAAGTTTTCTCTTGCGTGATTATGTGCTATTTTTAACCGGTATTTAAGTTCGCATAAATAATCGTCAACATTATAAATTGGATCTATTGGATGATGTGTTATTGATGATGGTAGATTACATAATTTACCGAAAACGAGTTCATAAGGTGTGTATTCTGTTTCAGTATGTACTGTAGTGTTAAATGCAAAGGACCAATATGGCAGCCATTTTGCCCAGTCATATCTCGACTTTTCTGTTTGTATTCTAAGAAATGATCTTAAATTTTTATGTGTGTTTTCTAGAGAACCAATTGTTTCGTGGTGATATGCTGTCGAATGTAGTTTTTCTATGTTTAATAATTTACAAATTTCTTTCATCGTTGAACTTAAAAATTCTGTACCTCGATCCGAAACAATACAACTCGGGATTCCGTATATTAATACATAATTGTTAACAAATGATTCTGCTACAGAAATTGTATCTTTTGATTTTAACGGAAAAACAAGTACATATTTAGACATTTCACACTGCATCGTTAGTACATATACATTATCATTTTCATCTTTTGGTAGAGGACCTAGTAAATCTAAATAAATCTTTTCTAACGGTTTATATGATGTCGTTGTAATCTCTAAAGGCTGTTTTACGTTTTTCGAATGTTTCATAACTTGACACTTTTTGCATGTCGTAACAAACTTAATTACGTCTAAATCTAAATTACACCATGTATATTTTCGTTTTATATTATTAATCATACGCCTAATACCTGCGTGTCCACTAGTTGGTAATAAATGATAATCATTAAGTATCTTTTGTCTTTCTTTTTCATCTGTAATTCTTTTAACTTTACTTAATATATTTATTCGTGGGCCCTTCCACGTACTTCTACTACTTATTTCCTTTTTTAGTTCTGTTATCAACGTTAACTTATCTTCTTCTTTTATCATATTTATACTTTTTATATTTAATTTTTCACAAAATTCTTGT